TATTGTAAAGTTCAGCTAATGAAAATCATTCTTGCGAGGAGCTGCGACCCTACCCATACCTGACGCACGACCCTAGATAATAACCGGATTATGAAATTTTAATTTAACACGGGGGACATTTTAGGTTATAGTTACAAAAAGCTGTTATACTAAGTATAAAACTATATATAAATGCATGCAGTCATTACAGTGTCAGACTGTCAGTGTAGATTTCAATTGCGCCATATGCCATGCACAGTAAAATCTGTACATACCAGTATTTGACCATTGCTGCATAGCCTACAACTTTTTATGTAATTACCTATATGTGCTTTCTGTTTTATTCAATCCAATTTAATGCTTCAATTTCATTTCTTACCGTGCAGAGTTTGGTTGAAAAGCAAGTCAACGCGTACACTGATCGAGCTTTGCTAATATAGCTAGTATGCTACACGATACTACGTGTTTTATGTAATAATCCCGCTCAGATGTTTTCCAACTTCCATCAGATTAACAAGACCGGGCCGATCGAAATTTAATTGGGGGGGGGGGGTTAGAATGTTTTAGGCTTTTTTCTCTAGTTCATGTGGTCAGACGCACATACCTATAATGTAAGCCGTACTTCGAAGAGGTACACAGCATTGCAGCCTTGAGTGAGTTCTGGGAGACGTGAAGTTGGGCAAAAGAACACGGTTGAAAACTGGATAATTTTCTCGCTATTTACCTTCCAAAACTAGTAATTCATACTCATAACTTGTTATCGTGAAGTCTCTTCTGAGAAAGCGAGGGAGTCAATGGCTTTTGCCTAGAGTGAAGCTTCAACCTCGTAGGCCAGGCTTGGTGAAGTTTCCTCTGTCAAAACCTTCCCAGTCCCCAAGCAGCCACGCTTCAAATCAGACTTGTCCCTATTCGTCCTTAGCGCGCCGTGCATTCTTTTGCTGGCTTTCATTTGCTAATCGATATCTCATAGATGAATGCAAAGTTTTGTTTTCTAATAGTTGACATGCATCTAAGGACGAAAGCGGACTAATATTCATTTATGCAACGTTCTTTCGTCAAAATCCCGAGATCTTATTCGCTATGTCAGTGCATATGCTAATGCCAGCTATAAAACAACTTTTGTATGCAGATTGTTTCCTATGAACTTATGATATGATGCTAATATAGCAGCCATTCCTTTGGTTGTCATCTGCATGACTGCAAATTTCCCCCGTTATTTCTCGAAAGACGTTTTAAGTCAAATTGTATTACCGCCAGCTAGTCAACAAATATTCCACCGTCATTATGCCTTTGGGACTTTTAATATGAGCAGTATTATGCAATGTAATTTGTCATTTGGATAGCTGCACAGTCTTTCACCATACCTAACACAATATTCATAAGACAATATACGAACATTAAAAAGCGGTAAAGTAGCGGTAGGTATGTAGATGGTAAACAAAACTTGAAATATATTGTTTAAGTTCACATATAGGACATTTAAATCAACAATTTCGTTCTCCATGGTCACTTTCATACTTGTTGTTTGTTGTATAGGCAGTGAGCAATTCTTAAATGCAAATGATTTTAATAGTCAGCCTGACAATTTAGTCCCACTATGCTGATATTTTGCTGTTGACAGTGAAAACAATGAATTTCTAAAGAAATGAATAATGTTAATAACATTTCCATAGCAGGACTAAATCGCCAGTCTGCATGGGTATACGCCACTGATTTTCATAGATGAAACTCAGTAAATTATTGATCTAAAGAATATTCCTGATTTGCGGTATGTGCTTTTTCCCTTGTGGCTGTGACCAGATTATTGATCGAGGTCTGTAAAACACCGACTAATAAACTCTGTATTATACATTTACGAGGGCATTCAGTCACACTACATTCTATATCTATCTGACAAGAGCGCTAGGGGAACGCATCTTCTATTCCAATCTTGCCAAGATAAATATTTGCGTATTTTTTCCCTACCATATAAATGCATTTATCTAGCTATCAGTTTGAAAGACCCGTTTTGACTTGATCCGTACAAAATACATGCATATATCGACATTGAATTATTTAGGATTTCGTCCCCTTTCGTCACAACCAATAACACACATGCATTTTCCCTAAACATGCAAATTTAAAAGCAGCAACCAGTAGGAAGCAGCGGTGTTGCTTAGGCTTACGTCTCGGTAATGATATTAATGAGCCTATAAGTCCCCTTTCGTTCTTAGATGCAGGTCAACTAATAAAGCACCTTGTAGGAGGCACGATACGTTACACTTGTTTAGTTCGTGCTAACAAACTATACAGCCAACAGACAAAATATGAACATGCCAAAAACTCTGCAGAGTTCTAGGCAGTTTTGATGTAAAATTCGGACTATAAGATGGATGCTGTACGAAAATACAATCAGTGAATGTCGTGCACTTCTGCATTTTGTTCATAAATGTTTACAAAATAGGATATGTTGTCATATTGCATATACAAGACACATTGAGAGTAGGTCTGCAATTAGATATTCACATGTACCATTCCAAAACTATTAAATCTATACTAAACAATTTTACTGCCACAATCTATGGTTGCCAGGATGCAGGGAAATTTACTCTCAAGCTTAATTAGCAACCAAATATTTCTAAAATATCCATTTCTGGATCAAAGCCACTTTGTTGTAAACATATAGTAACTGTTGTAAAATTCCTTGCAAACGGACCTTAGTATTTTACATATGTCTCGTAGGAGTTAATTTCAAACAATAGACTGACTACTACATTGGGTCACCGATACTTGTTTAAATAAATTACAAACATTTGCTATATGTAATGTAAAGTGCAATCCTCTTTTTGACAATTGTTCCCATAGATTAAGTTTTCATTTCTCAATTTCCATTTTAACAATAAAAACATTTTAACTCTGTACACCTAAAAACATAAAAAAAGAAAGATAAAGAAATTCCGCATATGTTGTGATGTTTTCATGTCTGTATATTAACTGTCGTTAAGGGCAGAATTGGCCAATCAAAGTCGTGTATTTCAGAGTTAACTAGGATTTAACTATGCAAAATGCAGTTATTTAAAGATTTTTATACAACAAACTCCTGATATATAAGTCAAATATAGTCATTTTATGTCATCATTTATATAACTATTACAAATTAGAGTTTCACTCTTTTAGTAAATTATTTTATAACATACTGTACCTTATTATTGGACAATAATGTTATTAATTGGAATGTGGATTAGTTTCACAAAGAAGCCAATGAAACCCATGATGGCAAAACCAATGGCAGTTGCAATTGCAATTTTCTGGAATTCTACAATTTAGATTTTGACACATTATCAATATTTCTCACTATTTTAGAACATAGTATTAAAATGTGCAAAGTTTTAACATGTGGTCTACCACAGATTTGATGACCCCTGTCTACAACAAATTTGATGAACACATATTACGGTATGTCAAATTACCAACAGAGCTAATAAATCGACAGCCTAGTTTCAAATATTGGTTAATTGTATGATGGGTAGTCAATTGAGCCAAACAAGGATCATAGAAGGGATCAAAATGAGCTGGGCTGACCAGAGACAAATTCTGAAGAATAAACCATTTAAAAGATGAATTGTCACAAGAAAGGCAAGCAATTGAACTTATCTCAATACCTTACAGTCTTAGTTGACTTTATTCATTGAAATTTGCAACTTTTACTTCTAAAAATCGTAGTTTTCTTAACAGAGACTTTATAAATATATTATATAGCGCTATTATGCCTGTATGTGTTGGATAATGCAGTGTATTTCGGAATGTTCAATAAATGTATTAAACTAGAAGATTGTAAAGTATATTTTCGTATTGTAATGATAACGTTTTACAAACAAACCTTTTCTATCGGGCTTCGTACACCGTTTGACCAATCTCATGGAATCTTTGGCGAATTCTTTACATGGCTCAAAAAAATTTACGATTTGATCCATTTCGAAAATTGTTCGATAAAACGCGACTACGAACTATAAGTAAACAGCATATTATTAAAATTTTATTGTTACCATCTAAAAAAGCACAAAAAATCAAGTTACAAATCACTACTTCTTACATTCGAATTTGTAGTTTTCTGTGTCGAACAAAGAGGCTTCTGATGACGTTGCACCTTGGGATACACAGACCGCGGGCTAAAACTTGCGATTACGTGTCCTAATGAGATTACTTCATGTAAGAAAGGTTCGATTTGTTCCAAAAGTTTCATCTTCGATCATAGGCGGCCCAGAACTGATCTCGCTGACCTCGCGCGACGCTCATGCTGTCTGAACAGTCTTATAATATAAGACTGTTCAGACAGCATGAGCGTCGCGCGAGGTCAGCGAGATCAGTTCTGGGCCGCCTATGCTTCGATAAGCCGATAGCCCGATATCAAATATTATTATATAGCTTTTCAAAATCCTCTATTCTTTTTTGTTGAAAAGCGGTCCGTAAAACAAGGATCCGGAACCGAGGTCTGTGTATTCCGTATCTGAAACATTATTCCGGTTGTCTCATGTCTCTCATGCAATTCAGCCATGCTGCCTCGCTTGTTCTGTTGCACCAGTGAACTCCCTTCGTCCCTCGGTCCATACTAAAAAGCATCGGTCTGATATTTCACAGTACAGACCTCACAGGCTTGGTCAATAATTAGTTAGTATCAATGGTTAATATTGTCACTTTCTAACCATTTTTTTCTCGAAGAAGCTTGGATTGCAACCGTTAACAGGATGATGATGAGCTATTTGCACACATGGAAACAAAATGATTAGGCTATGCAAAAATTTCCCAAAGGAAGAACTGAGCCTGAGGCCAGTTGACATGTACGTACGACTAATACAGCGATTTAATGTGCTAAGAGTATTTGACCAGTCAACAAATATGACCTGAATGCTTTCGCTAAATATACTAATATAAGTGCCTTTATTTGTACATTCGTAACTTATCCACTTGTAGACATCTATCACAAGAAGGAATTGTATATTAATTATAAAATCGCTGTGCATATAATTAAATGAAAGCGGTAGGCAAGTGAGACGATTTTCGTAATATTGATGCAACATTCTATAATCATCAGTCGATGTTATTTGATTGAAAAAGGTAAAGCTAGATCCATTTAGCTCCATCACGGAAAGCTTTAACTTGGAGTCTTGGATTGCATATGACGATATTTCGCTATGCCCCTGACATCAAGGCTAAGTTGACACGAGCGCAGACGATTTTGGGACCGTGCCCGAATTCGACCCCCCAAAAATAATCATAGTTAAAAAAGCCCTGGGTGAAAAATTACTGTGAAATGGCCGTTTTCACACTAGAGACGCATAATGCGTCTTCAATATTTTTTGAATGATTACTCGACTTCAGTATAAAGACGGATAACAGACGCATAGTACGTCTAGACGATTAATGTTCATCCCTTATCCGTGAATTAATAAAGATACGTATACCGCAGAGGGACACTGGGTATTTGCTTATATAGAATCCCAAAAAACGTGGCAACGGAAGAGCGATAGAAATTTTTATACTTTCGCGATAGATGGATCAGTGATCAGTAGAAAATCAATTTAGAATTGTTTCTATATATTGAAATGAATTAATTGAAAATTGCCGTCTGCCGCAGTTGCATCATCAAGTGTCAAGAACCGCCACTTTTCGATTCCTGTGGTAGGTCTCTGTACATTGTATTTACATGGCAGAACATAGTTCCGTGAAATTTGCTTCTAACAATTTATAACAACGCTGGCGGCGTTGGCAAAGCTGCCGATTCAGGAGTTGGGGGCGTTTTATAGTAAGGCGAAGAATTGCAGAATCCATAGTAGGCTGCTCGGTGGTACAAAAGCCCGGTTGGGTAGCCGGAAAATCGAAAGTGTTGATCCAGTTGTGCCTTCTCGATTCGTTTGTCTTTTGCCCGTCTGTTTTGGAACCATATTTTCACCTACAGATCAGGGATAGAGTTAGAATACTATTTGTTAGAATGCTATGTATTTTATTTTTGAAGAATTTAAGTAAGGACAGAGAGGGATTTTGAGACGAATTTGCCTCCATCCGATCAATGATACTCTTCTGTTCTGCTCCATCCTACAGTGCTCACTCTCATCGTCAAAATTCAAATGGTCTAAAGATCCTAATTGAAATAACTGTCATGCACTTGCAATTATCGCGAGAGATGGTTCTTCAGTATTAAACTGATGCCCGCGTTATGTTTCTGTTAGATAACATGCAGTAGCTCTATTCTAAAACGTCCTTAGTATGCGTGTACTGTACAGTCTATCTAATAGCGGTGAGAGAAGTTTATCTTACCTGTGTTTCTGTGAGCTTTAAGGATGCAGCGAGTTCAAACCTCCTCGAGCGAGTGATGTATTCGTTTTGATGAAATTCCAACTCGAGCTTCAAAGTTTGTTCACTTGTAAAAGTCGTTCGTTGACGACGCGCCTTGTTCTCTTTTTTCTTTTTCTTTCCAGACGAAACTATCAATGCACGGGAGAGAATTAAACTTTGTAAAAGGTAGAACAAGGGCCGCGAGTGTGAAATGCCAGTTCACATTTTATATTCTGCGTGTATCAGTGAAGGTCTCAAGAATCAGAATCAATTCGCGACACAAATTTACCATCTCTTTTTTTTATATAAAGATGCATATGACTATTCCAACTATCAGAATTTAAAGGGAATAGCTATTGCTAATCTATATAGGTAAGATCATATCATGCATATATCTAGAGAGACATGAGAGACATATAATCGTTATGCCGGACAATTGAACTTTTAATAAATTATAATACAAGTAAATTTAGTCTATATATAGTCTTCATAGAAAGTTCTACTTTCTATATTTAGTCTATATATACTCTTTATATTACTCCATGAGCACGAACATCGTGAATATCCTGAGATTTTAAACTAAATTTTTATAGACATCGGTAATTGCAAATTTCTTGATTGAATAGCTATAGCTACAATGAAAATAATTTTCTAATGAATTTGGGACTTTAAGGTTACTTTCAACTTGTCCTAAGTTAGGTTATGTTATGTATGTTTTACCTTTTGTGGGAATGTAAACGTAATCTGCGTACGACCTCAAATTAGGGATTGTCGGGAAAGCGTTCACTTCACTTCCATTACCAAAGGTGTTTTTGAAAGGTGAAAACGCTGAAGGCTGAGTGCAGGCAAAACATGAACATCGACTTGAAGATTTCGTCGTTTGAGATTTTCCTTCGTCTTCCAAAACAGCCTGGCCGACAGAATGCTCAACTTCTTCCTCGGAACTCCGTTCCAAAGCGTCACTTGAAATATCCGTTTTCGGTTTTACTGGATCTGAAGCTATCAATGATGCAATTGAGTAGGAACTAGAAGCCACAGAGGCCGTCATGATCTGTTTTCGATTATAAAGGCACTTGTCTTCGAATGGCTTTCTTAAAATGTGACGTATTTCGGTCGCTGGGCTGGATGATTTGAAAAGGCTCAGTGCATGAGCCTTTTATTGAAGCTTATCCGATCAGGGGGTGGCACCCCATCGACCTGATATGATTATTTCTTTAACCTATTTACAAAGTGTTTATCTCGAGGAAAAAAACCCCGTACAATTTAGAGTAATATAGTTGCGTGCAAAATATTATCCCTTTGCCGCGTGCGATGAAATTTGACGGGTTATCGACGTGTCAAGAAGTTGAGTAGTCAATTATGATCCGACGTTTACACATAATATAAAATCATATAACCTTTTAATCGTGTAATTTTTTGAACAGTCAACAATTATAAATGAAGAGATTTTGTTATCCTTTTGTTTTGATTATTCAGCGAGCATTGTGCTGATGATAATTTACACGCGGCTTTATTATCGGCGCCCTTTTAAACAATTATTGAAATCATAACAATTGCACAGCTTCGCACGAACGCGCGCCGGTGATTGGCCAAATTTACCAGGTGCAAGAATTCTAATAAATTCGCCAAAACACATGGCCCAGGTGTGTTTAAAACGGCAACAATATCAAAGCTTTAAAAGACATTTCGCCTTTTAACGAAAAACGCTGATTTGAAGATGCTTGTCTATTGCAGCATGTTCTTTTCAAATCTTCACAAAAGCGTGTTAAAATTGTCATTTATAGACGAACAGAACTCGAGTTTTGATGATCTATAAATGAATATCTAATTTCACACAGGAAATTTTAATTGATTGCTTTTACCCATGCAGTGGCCGGCAAATTACAAACTGCTTAAAAACAAATTTGTGCAAGACTAGTTAATTTAAATAATTCGGCGAGACATTTATTTATTTCATAAAGCACGACATCGGTTACGGACCGAAAGCTGATAAGTCTAAATACACAACTATATATAAGCCTTTTAGCGCGACTATTGTATTTTGGTCAATTATATCACTTTTCTACATGATTAGTTTGTTTTCACTATTGCCGAGAATTGGATTTTCATTTTGTTAATAAATTTATAGTGCATGACAATTATTTGCGTTTACATCATAATAAGCGCGTATAACCTCTTTCTATTACACATGCACTGAAGAGGACAATGACGGATTTCTTTTTCTGTATATATGCAGATAAATACCACGTTTTACAAGCGTCGACAACTATTTACCGATCTGATAAGTGACGCACTGACGCTTGTGATTATTCAACCAATTCAATCGAGAGAGAGGGAATATTTCTCTATTCGGTATATCGCTTCCCTTGCATACCGGACAACTAAATTGACGCCAAAAGTAATTACAAAATATATATAATGACTTGATTTCGCTTAAGGCTATATAGCATACATACATGCAGGCATAGATAACCAAGGAAAGGGAAAAAACTAATTTTCAACTTTATAATGAAACGTTGAAGGGAAAACATTAGCTGGATACCAATTAACTATTAAATTCGAAGAATGTCTGTTTATGTACCGACCTGATGAGAAAAGACAGGCATTAATAAATAACACAAATAAACGTTAATTATATATATATATATATATATATATATATATATATACGTATGCATCTGCGACTGCGTGCAAATGGAAAGAAATTAGAGGGGCGAGACTAAGTTATATTAATAAGTTACAGGGTTTAAAAATCAAACAAAAAAAGGACTATTTGAAAGTGCCTGTATAAGTTAACTGTCAGTCAATTAAACGGGTTGGACCAACCCAACCAGATCCCAGTGCTACCCAGTGCTGGTTCCCAGGACTCAGTGCGCGGGAGTCAAGTATTAGAACCCTTTTAGGGCATGCAACGTGACTGACGTCTTGAACAAGAAAGACCAGATGATGAGAAATCACTGTAAAGGTAACATGTTCCACTTTTAAACATCCAGTAAACGAAATTACAATATAGTCATTAAAACAGTGCAAATATTAAGCAATAAAAAATCGATTTGTATGTAATATACAAACTCGCAGGTATAATCCGTTCCATGCAAGACTTGAATTTGGCATGAAAACAATTAAATATGCGCTTTCTAGTCTACTGAAAGAGAAAGGTTCCATTGTCATCGATACTATTGCAAGCTGTTTTGCGTACATATTAAACATCACTTGATATTATCAAATGTAGCCCATTCGACTGTTCGCTATCCGTTAACTTGCCCATGTTAATTTAAATTTCAAGAAACGTTTGTGAGGGTCAATCGGCGACCCTTTCACGTTTGGAAAAATCTCGCTGTACACATGCCAAATTTTGAAGAGTCTAAGCAGTATAGGCTAAGTCATCACGGTAAGAAATTCAAACATTAATTGCGATAAAAACCCCACAAAATATTGTGGTAAAAAGCTTCGACAACGCCGGAAATAAGGTCAGATTGTGCAATAAAAAGAACTGTTAATATAAAGCATTTAAAAACTCGTGTAGTGTTTGAGTTTAACGGAAGAGTTTTCCTCCGAAGGCAACGTGGAAGAGCTCTGTCTAGTTACTTTTGGTTTTAGTTCATCAGTTTCATCATCATGAAACTCTTCATCCAAACGACGCCGCGAACCGCGCTTTCGACGCTTGGGAATTTTCGCGGGAGGATCCGATCGTATCTCAGGTCCAAGTTCGCTTTCACGACGGATGAACGGTTGGTCTTCAAATCCGTCATCATTTAAGTTCTCCTAAAAAAGACCAAGAGAGATTTACATAGTGCATTATGAATAACAACAAAACAATCAAGCAGCCTGCAAATTGGTGGACACAAGCCTCTGTCCTTCTCAATCAACAAATGAATGAATCGTCTGATATATAATTATATGCTTGCAAGAGATTTCCCCCGGCCACTTTGAGTACTCGTGGGCCGCGGGTATTCCCCCCTCCGCACTCGCGGGCCTCGAGCCGCATATAGATTTGGCAGATCAACAAAAAAGATCTACAAATTATTCTCAACACATTAACATTATCATTCCTAAGACCATATAAGTGGTAAATTAAAAGATGGCTTTGTGGCAGTTTTTAGATCCAATAAATGAAAGCCCTCTATTAAACTCTATAGTCTTTCACAGGTGCAGACAATCATAAAGAAATCGCCTCTCAAAATGCGCGTAACTCACCTCTCCAGGAGCAGTTTGTGAAGCACCGGACACTGAGCTCCTGCTCGTTCGTGATAACCCCACGCTACTGGCACCAGAAATCCGGTTTTTACCCTCATTGTCCCCAGGTGCCTCCGAGGGCTTTGGGACTACCTTTTCCTTACCGAACGTAGTGGAATTATTTGTACAGTCCGTGCTACAGCCGCTAGTTCGCTGTCTCTCCCTGTCCAACGGGTTGCTATGCCTAGAGCCATAGAACTCGCCGGTTTCGCCAGCATCTGTTTGCTCAGCACCGTCGGGTCGTCGGTCGAGATCAGAAAGTGAGGTGAGCTCGATACACTGGCTGTTTGGTCGAGATATCGTGATGGCTGTCAGCGTATTAGGAGGAGTGTCTAACGTGTGCTGTTGTGTTGACCTGAAAGCGAAGAAATTAGTCTTTTTATGTGGTCTCGACTTGCTGAAAACCGGAGCAATGAAAGCCTCAAAATCGAAGATGTGATTTTAAGGATGCCCGTTATATGACTTCTGCCGCAATACGGAATATACTTAGATTTATGCTCGATAAAATATCTCTTGCACTAAAAATTTAAAGCTTTTAAAATTGAACACAACAGAAAAAACGAATTGCCTGCATGAATTAGTATAGGCGCATGTATATACATGCATGCATACTTTCTTCACAGCTGCCAGACGTGCATGCATGATGTTCTTTTGAAAGGTTACTGAGGAATACTTGTACTTGCTTTTATCCATTTAATAGGATTTTGTTAATTTGTTTGCTAGTAATAGAAGAATGTCACCGTGAAACAGTGATGAGATTTCATGAAAACCAATTTCTGCGGTGTCGTATACTCCTAAGGTGTTACCTTCGTTCTTCTAAACTATCACTAATCTTCTATAAACATTATAATTAACATTCCCGCACACTACGGTTTTAAACACACTTACACTTGACTTTTAAATGACTTCAGCGAGGAATCATTTATACCAGGATACATGGGTACGGTAGAGTCGTAGTCAAAAGGAGATGAAGAATCGCTTCTTTTCGCTGATTTTCTGTCGGTCTTCGCAGGCTTCTTTTCCGGAGATTTTCGAGACGGAAATATTAAACTGAAACTCTTCCCTTCGGAGGTGCCTTCAGAATACTAAAAAATTCATAGAAAACAATATCCATGAACTAAATCTACAAGACTGATGCGAGTACATGGAAACATCTTCTTACAAGTTCAAGGATTCAAGGTCGTTTAAGTATACCGCATGTAAGGAACGGTGATCAAGGAATTAACCCTATGGCCGTCCAGAGGTCGGTTGTATAAAAACTCCTAACTGCATGTACAATTTAAATATAGGTAGTTAAATTGCAGTTAACTTTAAAATACGCGATGCGGGTTGGCCAATATGTACCGTCACCATCTGTAGATACAATTAAGTTAGCTACCTTTATATAACCCGGTCCTAAATAATACCTTGCTTACCGGATATATATAGTTCGGCTAAAGCAACGTGGTGGAACTGAGCTTTTGATAAGATTTTGAAAAGAAAAATCTAAAGTTTTTTACCATTACAGTCTCTTTAGTGCTGTAATAATCACGTTTTGGTCGAGGCCTTTCAACATTCTTTCTAACTGAAAGTTTCATGACCTACAGAGAAGATTGCAATTTTCAGGACAACAAATGTGCATATATGGCAAAATACAAAATTTATATATAAAATGCATGTACAGTTTAATCACCTCTCTATCTAGCCAACAATGATATACCACGATGTAAATTGCCTAAAGTATTGAAGATAGCAATAAATTTTAATATGAGAGAAGGGTTATAAACAATGTTGTTCTGCACTATATACTAGTGCACTACCTTTGCACTATACTAGGCCCATTTACTCTTTTGATAGATGTGAACGAGTGGATAAGTTACGGTTGTTCAAACAACTGAAACAAGGGGGCACTTCGTCAAAATCGCAGCAAGAATTGCCAGTGAGCAAAACATCAATGCCGCATGCATTCGGACGGTGGATAGCATTTGAAAATGAAGTATACTTACAACTAGAATACAAAACATAGCAAACAAGTACTGGAAGACATCTTCCTCCGGTTCCTCAGCCGATAACGCGGCCATTGTAAACGCACATAGGACCAGGGGAATGAGAAATGCAGATAGAGCCATGACAATACTTCATAAAGAAAAAAAATACAGTCTGCGCATGAGCTGCTTCGTCGCGGAGACAGTTGATGGTTTTAATATAATAAATTACATAAATGGATTTGGAATTTTGTCGTTTCAGCCGGTATAGTTAAAACCGAAAAAAATATATGCATGCATAGAACAGTTTTGTAGATGAAATACGTAACAATAGAAAAAATATCATATAATAGTGTTTCTCGCGGGCAGAGATTTATTTTCGCCCGATCCAAAATGTACCACAAGTTTACGTTTCACAAAATCTCTACACTGCATGTAATACACTTGATGTTTTTAGAGATTAATATTTCTCGCCCGCCTCCACCTGGAAATGAGCCTAAGCCCAAAGATCAAGTTCAAGAGAAAGAACATGGTTGTTTGAAATAATATACAACATAAGATACCTTAGATCTCGTTTCTCGCCTTCATCCGTTGCATCAGACTTGAAACACGTAATCTTTAGAATAACCATAATACTGAACTAAAAATGCATGGAAAGGATAAATATGTATGGTTAGGGTTATGCACGAATATCCAGCGTTTTAAGTATAATTAATTTCTTACCAATATGCATAGAACAATAGGAACGACATAGGTCAAAAGAATAATCTCAGAATTACTGTACCAGCACCTATGAACAAGAGGCAAAAATGAACAGTTAGTTAGCAGAATCTAGGTTCTATAGTCGCCATTCCACGCAACGATGCCATAAACCCAGCACACGTCAAAGCTAAGGAAGAGGATAGGTTTCGCCTAGACGCCTAGTGTAATATTCGCAACTGCAAATTCAATTCAAAATATGACGAGTTCGACCATTTAGACGGCTAAAAGGAAAGCATTTTAGGTTAGTTGATTTCAATCTTTTAAACAGTTGTAGTTTATTGTAGCTACTGGATGTTTTATGCTCACCACTGCGTGGAGCCATATTCGTTTTTTCGTGTGATTGCAAGTGTTATGGCCACGAGAACCAAAGGGAAAACTGTAAAAAATGAGAAAAAAACAATACATGCTTTATGAATTAACTTGTTAGGACGCTTGGATGTTAGAAAGATTGTGAACACTTCACTTCGCCTACCGCAATTCGAATTTAGGAGAATTTTGTAAGTGCAATCATAGGCAGCCCAAATATATGCGTGGTAATTTAAAATAAAAATTTCCCCCTGCAATTTGTAACCTTAAGTCGATTTTCTCGAGTGCCTCCAGATATTTTATCCTTCCACTGCAAAACCAGTTAACCCTTAGAATTACCTATGAGGTACTGTATAACAATGGCGCATCTGCTGCACTTGGTACTGTACTACCGTAGTGTACTTTCCGTAACGTAACTGGGTGTTTAGCGAAATATTTAAGGCATGTATAATATAGCACTTGGACGAGAGAATTTTGAAGGATAAGCTGTATAGACAACTTGTACATAATATAGCGCAACACACGTACCCCAACCAATAACTGAAAAATACTTCAGTCTCGAGCTGCTTCTATTCCATCCAAAATGGCTGCACATGTACAGTTGCAGAAACTCGGCCAGAATCCAACAGAAAACAGCAAGAATAAACCAATGCAACAAGGCAGCAAATATCATGCACATGACCTTTTAAAAGAGAAAAAAAATATACAAAATCTATTTCACGTTAAAAACACAGTGGGAGGAAGATTTGGTGCTTGCCATCCTACATCAGTTAGGATGGCATTTAGAGTAGCTACCTATACGAAGGCCGGATAGCGCGCTAAGCAAGTAATTTAGATTTTTAACCTGTTGTGAAAAGGCTTTAAAATCAATCAAACTACAGATATGAAACGAAGAAATATAAAAAAGCTATAAATCAACAATACTAAGGTTCGGTTCCTCAGTTGTGCCAATGTATGGTGTAAGAGTGTACCTGATGATGCTCCAAAAAGAGTCCTAGTAAGAATACCACCGCAGCTAGTATGAAGGCAAGGCATTCGTGAACGAGAACAGACAACCTTTCATTTCTTGTTTTACTAAAGGATATATTATTGAACACTTTGTGTCAATGGTTAAATTCGATAATATTGCCAAACACACATTTATCAGAGTACACTACGTAGCTTTTTATATAAGCATATGAAATTACTTTTGCCATTCGCTATTACTATTCGCTCTTCGCACTTCGCTATTACTTTTCGCTATTCGATATTCGCACTTCGCTATTCGCACTTTGCTATTACTTTTCGCCATTCGCTATTACTTTTTGCTATTCGCTATTACTTTTCGCTATTCGCTATTTGCACTTCGCTATTACTTTTCGCTATTACTATTCGCTATTACTTTTCGCCATTCGCACTTTGCTATTCGCTATTACTTTTCGCACTTCGCTATTCGCACTTCGCTATTCGCACTTCGCTATTAGCTCTTACTTTTCGCTATTCGCTCTTACTTTTCGCTATTCGCTCTTACTTTTCGCTATTCGTTCTTACTTTTCGCTATTCCCTCTTACTTTTCGCTATTCGCTATTAGCACTTCGCTATTCGCACTTCGCTATTCGCTCTTACTTTTCGCTATTCGCTCTTACTTTTCGCTATTCGCTCTTTCTTTTCGCTATTCGCTCTTACTTTTCGCTATTCGCTCTTACTTTTCGCTATTCGCTCTTACTTTTCGCTATTCCCTCTTACTTTTCGCTATTCCCTCTTACTTTTCGCTATTCCCTCTTACTTTTCACTATTCCCTCTTACTGTTCGCTATTCCCTCTTACTTTTCGCTATTCGCTCTTACTTTTCGCTATTCCCTCTTACTGTTCGCTATTCGCTCTTACTTTTCGCTATTCCCTCTTACTTTTCGCTATTCCCTCTTACTGTTCGCTATTCCCTCTTACTTTTCGCTATTCGCTCTTACTTTTTGCTATTCGCTCTTACTTTTCGCTATTCGCTCTTACTTTTCGCTATTCCCTCTTACTTTTCGCTATTCCCTCTTACTTTTCGCTATTCCCTCTTACTGTTCGCTATTCCCTCTTACTTTTCGCTATTCGCTCTTACTTTTCGCTATTCCCTCTTACTGTTCGCTATTCCCTCTTACTTTTCGCTATTCGCTCTTACTTTTCGCTATTCCCTCTTACTGTTCGCTATTCCCTCTTACTTTTCGCTATTCGCTATTGGCACGTCGCTATTCGCTCTTACTTTTCGCTATTCGCTATAACTTTTCGCTATTCGCTATTTGCTATTACTTTTCGCTATTCGCTATGACTCTTACTCTTACTCTTACTCTTACTCTTACACTTACTCTTACTCTTACTCTTACTCTTACTCTTACTCTTACTATTACTATTACTATTACTCTTTTCATATCCAATTATATACTTACCACCAAACAAAAATATTTCGCATCATAGCAATCAATGCTCCAAACAACAGACATAGACCAGCGACGTACATGATCACTGTGGGCTTCGTAACCACCTTAAACTGAAACAGAAAAAATTATGCAATCGTCTCATTAAGTCGTTTAATGTCATAAAGCTTGATTAGCTTGGCAATGATGATTGAAGACGTCATCGAGCCTATCAAATACCATCACCAGCCATTACTATTTGGTTAACTCGAGTTGACGATGCTTGACCCACCTGTATACTTTGTGTTAGCACTGCAAAGTCAGTCATGTGATCACAGTGGCATATCGTCGTGCTTCTGTTGCGTGATGAAAGTCTACAACCTTCATCAGACCATCCACTTGACACTTCTTCATTGCCATCCTTGCCCGTACTGCAGCATACACAAATATTTTTACCAGACAGCCGGGGGAGGGGGTATGCACTCATGTACAAGTTGGCAACGCATGCCGCTTTGGTACAGTTCAAAGATCTATTAACTTGAATTTTTAAAACTCCCAAGTAACGCGTCAAATAAAATGGTACAATCTGAAGTTGTTACCTAATTTACGGCTAAGGGTATACCCATAGGCGGAAATGGAAGTGTGGAACTTACTTTTCATGTTTCCAAAAGACACATTTAGTGAGTTCCTCGTCCTTGCCTAAGAAACCCTGGAAGAAAAAGAAATATTCTAAAGCTGGGTGCCCATTTATTGGCGGAGAAACAAATTAAAAAGCGATATGTCGCAGGAATGACAAACAATTATATAGTTGTATAACAATTAACACAGTATGCGCACCCAAAACACATATAAAGCAATAAGTAAAAAAATAAGTGTATAATTTATGCCATTACGGTAAAGTTGACCGGCAGTGAGTATTCAAATTATTCAAGCATGCAAAAACGTTTAGGAAAAAATGACTGTCATGAAATTTAGTTCAGTTTTTCAAACATATTTTGACCACAAACACTCTGGTGAAATATGTAGCTACATTGAGGATCTATTGCACAATCGGGAATTTTCTTGTGGGGGGTGAGTTTACCCTCATATAAACCCCCTCCAAACTATTATATACTTTTGTGCCAAATTTCACGCGGTCTTACCTTGTTGTTAAAACTAATTTTTACTGATGATGAAATCTTTCCTTCGAGGGAAAGAACACTTGCTGACAGTACACCAGAACCAGTTTTGAAACTATTGTGAAAAATAAACACGCTAAGAAAACATGTGCACGGCAAAAGATATTGGATAGCTCTGTGACTTAGACTTAGATGGGTGTGCACCTAATGACCTAAGGTTAATCCATCCCTGGTATACAGGGTAGGTGAAAAGTTGATCCTTTTTTCTCAAGAAACGTTTAATAGCACAGTAACTTTTCGCCATTAAAGCTTTCACAGTACCTGTCGAAATCATCAATCAATGAACGCTGAGGTAAAAGGTCTCCTAACTCGGCAGATTTCATTCCAATCACAGACACTTTATTTTTGCCTAATAAAAATGAACAAATGTAAGGTTATCTGTAGATTTACTACCGCGTATGCAAGAGGGAATGTAGTTCCTAGACGATAAGTATATTACGGACATATAAGAACAAATAAACAAGATTCGTGTAAACCTTTTTAATATGTATAAATTTGAACGTGTAAATGACGTGCATAAATTAATCTAAATATCAGGTTCCAAACCTAAGCCGTTTCCATGCAGGATTTTTGAGACCCTAAGATGGAAGTTACCTGCTGTTTTAAAACTTGATTTGGAGAACGTAACGTAATCATTCTTAGTAGACTTTGTAGAAGGAAATTGAATTTCCTTCTCCGATAACTTCTGCCCAACATCAACATAGATTTCAGCCTCTAAATCGAGAGTCAAAAAGCCAGTGATACTTTAACTTTAGTAAGCATAAATCTTCAAAATTCTGTTACACCATGTAGTGGATATATCAAGTGAGACACTCTAGAATTCTCCGCAGTCAACTTACCAAGATTGGTGTGGTTGACCGAGAAATGTTGCGAGTTATTTGTCGTTGATTTTAACATCCCCAATGCGAAAAGTCTCATTGCTTTATTGACAATTTTGAGAAGGCTTTCGCCTGCAGGAAAATTCTAAATAAAAAAAATTATATGGTGTTAACATTTAGTCAAAAGCGATGGTGCATGATATGCAAACAACTATATAATATAAAACACACGTAATATATACGAAGTTTGGGCGATTTGATGGACGGATTATGATAATTGATAACAAGAACTTTAATTGATGATCTTCTTAATCTTAGTTCGAATCGCAAAAACACGAGGACACCTTACTATGAATATATCTATATACTAAACCTTGTTCGCAGTAGACCAGATTTTGCGATTTTCTTTTCTCATTAGATTGCTTGAGACAAGTAAAATATCCTATAGAGAAAAATTGGGAAAAGTCTGGAACTAGGGAACTTTCAAAAGAGATCTGAGAGACAAGTAGTTTAAATACAAGGCTTTTCTAATCCTCTAGTGCCTGGATGAACGTAAGACTCTCGACAAATTTTTGTCTGTATCCGGCGCATGTGCAATGTGATGATTCGACTCTTCGGAATGAATTAGTACTTTTAATAGCGCGACGGTTACCTTTGTTGTCTTGCTGTCGCTGTGATTCTGTCCTTCCACAACACTTTCAAGCTTCTTAATCACATCCCTGAGCAACACGGCATTCAAGTCTTTCCTGTTAGACCTTTCAACTATACTAGTTAGATTACCAGAATCTGTCAGATTCTGCCGACCCGTTGGGGCCGGAGAAGAACTAACATTCGGTTGATGGGTCGGTTGAGGCATTGTAATTTTTGTTTCTGTTCGTTCAACTGTTGTTGGAGCATCGTGGGTGGTCGTTTGAGGTTCGGCAGTTGCCGTTTTGGGTTTGACAGTCGTCGTTTGGCCTTCGACGGTCGTCGTTTGGACTTTGACGGTCGTCGTTTGGACTTCGACGGTCGTCGTTTGAGGTTTGACCGTTGTCGTTTGCGTTTCGATAATCGTCGTTTGGGGAGTACTACGTGTCATTGAGGTATTTGCAGTTGTTGTACGAATTTTGCTTGACGTTACAGATTCTTTGGCCGTAGATAGCGCAGGCATGGTTGTAGGATGAGGCGTCGTATTGGTTTGCGACTGCTGAAACGTGAAAAGTTGTAGACTAAACAGCACTTCCCTTAATTTTGAAATTTCTCTTTGGGTAGCTAAAAGAAACTTAACTCTTACAGCTCTTCTCTTACAATAATTTCCATTTTTAAGCGATAACATAAACGGTCAAGACAATGCATGCATTATATTTCAGAGACCCTAAACACACAATAACTTGCCGTTACTACTGCAGTATTACCGTAATCTCGATTTAAACACTCACCGTACTCCGGCCAGGTGTTATAGCAACTTGAGTTGATGAAGGGGTGCCTGAAATGCAATAAAAGCAGCTGTTGGTGATAGAAGTGGAAACGGGAGTTATTGACCGTCGAAACTGCACTCAAGTGCAGGAGTCAAAGAAGGCTTTGTTGACAATCAATCAGTTTAAAGTGTCTTTACCATTGAAAAGAAGCCAAAATGTTTGGGCAAAAGGTTTTTCGATCTTTTTTTATTTAAACTGATATTCTCACTATACGCGAAAATGGGTTCTGGGACAGAACCCGGCCGCCCAATATTAGCTCATTTCTTTTGTCTCTAATTGAACCGTGAGTGTTGGCAATTCTACATCTATATAGTTGATTAGAGGCCCCTTGAAGTATGTACAATTCACAGACATACAGTTTATGAACTTACTACACATATCGTCCATCGAAATGTCTTTGAATGATCTCCCGCTGATCTGAGGTGGGCTTTCACAGATCGCTTTAAACTTTATACGAGAGCTACTCGCATTTTTCAACCAAGACAGTGAACAGTTGCAATCAAGTTTATTTCCAGAAAGGTCACTAAACCAGCAACAAAGGAATGACTTTCGTTAAAACTTAATGCAAACAAGCTTATGGTTTTTACAGCGTGTTTTTCTTAAATGCCTCGCTGTCCGATACCACAATTTTTACAATCAGGAAGCAGTTGTTCAAAAGACGGTTAACTTAACCCACGATTAACGCATATCTTTACATCAATATTTTTCATCGCTAGTAATATTTTTCCCAAGAGTATTTGGGCGAACAATGAAAGTCTTACTTTTTACTTTGCAAAGCTTTAAAACGAACATCGATGGAGAAGCACGTAAACTGAAACAGTGGATTAAAATTTAACCCAAGGGGTGAGTGCTAACCTAGTTTTGAACAACCGCCCCAAAATTTTTCCACAAGGAGCTCTTGTGTAAAAGGTGAATTATACTGTATACAGGAAATTACATCACGTATCTCGCATGAATAGCATAACATTACGCTACTTACACTTCCGTCAGATTACGAAGACCAAGAAAACTATTAGGTGATAAGCTCTTTATCCCATTGTGTTTTAATAATCTATAAAATACATAGTTTTTCTATAATTAAAGGCTGCATTTGTGGTCACTGTAGAAGAAATAGACCTATGTATATACATAAGTCAAGAATGATTGTTCTGTCAAACACTCTGAGAAATTTTTACTGGCAATAGATTGGTCTTTCTTGCATAGCTAATAACTGTTATTTATAGCCTAGTATCAGAGTTATAATTACGTAATGGTAGAAAATGAAATTTCAGTTAAAAGTTTAATTTCAATTGCTAGTTGTTGCATGTTTCAGTATATTGGCAATATAATACAATCAGGGGTTCTCGTTGTTTTGCACAGGGAAGAAATGCTGAAGAAACGTTTGTTGATACCACGAAGATTAAAGATTCCAACAAGGAAGGAAATTAGGAGTAATTTCCTGTCTTTTGCGGCTATCGTTGTTGCCTCAAATAGAACCCATAGCCTGAGTGACTAAGGGGTGTAGATAAAAGGCGGGCGCGGACTGGCGGACGCGGACTGGCGGACGCGGACTGGCGGACGCGGACCGGCGGACGCGGACCGGCGGGCGCGGACTGGCGGACGCTGACCGGCGGACCGAAAAAGATTATATTATTAATTATTGTGTTATTGATTAATGATTACATTATCACTTATGAATATTATTATACTTTTTGCTAATTATTTAATCCACTATTTTCTAAATATTCTACGTGCTCTGGTAACAGGCAAGCTCTAATTTCTTGTGGTATTTGTACAAGAGAGGGTGCAAAATATGGTTGTCTTTTCTTTAAGCATCCACTGTTTACGTGGTAGTAAACATTCCCGGGAGTTTCCTTTAACTCTCCGGTTCCATCGTAATAAGGTCTATTCGCATATGACACAATTACTAAATCCCAAGGGGGAGCCCTATATTCCCTCCTGGTTTTAGCGATTGCCCACATCCAAAGCATTTCTTCACTTGATACATGAATCTTTTTTTAACAAAAACGGATGCTAACTTAGCGACAGACGTGCGATATTACAAAAGAAACTCGTTAACTGGTATTCGGGTGAGAAGAGCTGCTTTGTTGCCTATGTGAATTTAATTTCCTTGATGCGTACAGCGCCACATCAAAAGATACTGTAAACCGGTGTAGTGTTTCGTCTGAAGCAGCCAAGATTTAAAGGTCAATTTTCGTAATTGTAACTATAAAACATCCCTTTATTAATTTGTTTTACATGACTTTACATGTTATCGTAATATAAGCGTAAACTTTTGGCGCGCGCACTCAAAGACCCCTAGGGTGATTTCTCGATCAAATTGGGACCTTGGGATTTAGTGATTATGCCTTATGCGAATAGACCCTATTATGATGGAACCTGAGAGTTAAATGAAACTCCCGGGAATGCTTAAAGAAAAGACAACCATATTTTGCACCCTCTCTTGTACAAATACCACGAGAAATTAGAGCTTGCCTGTTACCAGAGCACGTAGAATATTTAGAAAATAGTGGATTAAATAATTAGCAAAAAGTATAATAATATTCATAAGTGATAATGTAATCATTAATTAATAACACAATAATTAATAATATAATCTTTTTCGGTCCGCCAGTCAGCGTCCGCCGGTCCGCGTCTGCCAGTCCGCGTCCGCCAGTCCGCGCCCGCCTTTTATCTACACCCGTGACTAAGTCATGTTAAATAACACAGAGATTTCTATATAGCTGTTGTCTATAAATGCCAACTCTATTTTGCCGGATATACCAGTTTTCACTAGTGATTTTTTTCGCGCTGAATAATTCCGGCTTATAGATGCTTTTCACCAAGATGGCGGCCAAAAAAGCCACCGGAAGATGGAAAAAACAACTACAGTCGAGTCAGTTGGATGTGATCAAAAAGTCTGGGTGTGATAAAAAAAAGCTGTCCACAAAATACGTGACGCTTTTTGGCCATGTTTTTGACTCCCCCGTTCCCATCTGAGAGCTTGTTATACTTGTGTCACAATTACTAATATACCCTCTCGAAAATTACGTGACGATGAAACATATCCTCTTCCCACCCTGCACTGACACTCCCGCACACACTCACGTTTTCCTGTCAACATGCTAACTTGCCTATTTTGCCGTGTTCGAAACTTCCTAAAACGCTACGAAATACTGAAAACTGTATTTCACAAAATGTTAGAAAATATCCAGCCTTATTAAAGGACCAAGAGATTTAGTTCAAAATTCGACAAATTTTGTTTTACATTTCCGACCTTTAAAAGCATCTGGCCCTATAATCGGTGTGTTTCACTCGAGTGTTTTTTCTCGACGAGCCTCGTGACAAATGTCAACAAGGCCCTACATATATAGGGCGTCAGTTACTAATCCTTATAATCTATACAACAAAGTTCCGAGTATATGAGAACGAGCACGTTTCGATAGCCCGCAAGCGAATGATCCCTTTGTCTCTGCATGTTCTCAAAAGATTATAGCTACGTATGGAATCATAACAACAGACTTTGAAGTTGTTTAAACTGCCTTTTATAAATATGCACGAGAAAAAACTCGACGATTCGATTTAAACACACCTTCGTCAGAATAATAGTTCGTGCATCATTGTGTTGAAAACATCGAGAGGTTTTCTCTTTTTTGTCTCGTGCTATCGTGTAGTATCTTTGCCGCGTGATTTCTACTGAAAGAAATTGTTGCGCAGGGCTATACGTTTCGCATTTTACAAATTCTTGCATTAAAAATTTAAAATATTACTCATTTTGTGATAGTCGCCGTTCTAAAGACTAAAATTGACAAGATTTACTATTGTAAACCTTTTTATACACATATATTGTATTAAATTAAAGAACGTTTCAATGGTCAAGGATATTTATTGTTTACAACTACATGCTTACGACTGCTAGTCTGCATTCCTCGACGAGTAGAATCATTGATTACTCCGTCGAAGACTGCGGCGTCTGAATTAAAACCTATTTCTGATCAGAGGCAGAGTCACGAAGACCTTTTACATTATTCGCCACGAACATTTCATTCAAACTACGCCTCTTACAATACACACACGGTGCATTTTCTAGAAGCAGAAACATCCAGTCGATATGGAACGAAAAAAAAACCGGAAACGATATTGAAAGCACTGAAAATAAACGCGAGCATCCGGTATTTCGTAAACTCAAATTAACTGAACTCTGTCGATGTAAATGATACGGCACGAAAGATGCCCCAAGGAGATCAAATGATGGTTATCACTTTGCTAATCGGGGTTAAATATTTCATGCCCGAAAATAGTCTTATTAAACGTAAAACAATTATGAATTACTTCCTGAACACATTGTCATAAGTCAGGATTACCATCTGAAAGCAATTACGGAATTGACGTACAGAGGGCATTGTTCGATTGTAAAATTAATCTTTTTGAGTTTAGATCCCTTCCCCCCCCCCCTTTTTTTTTCAATTCGGCCTAAAAACGCCTGTCAGAAGCAATGCGTGGTACTCTCTCAATGTCTTACTGCAGTGACTCATAGCACATCCCAATTGCATGAACCAAAGTATACAAAACCCATCAAATAAAGTTACTAAACCCATTGTTACCTATATCTTCAAAAACTAACAATGATCCGTAAAACGCATGGTGCAATGTATGCATTGCAACATCAGTATAGGGACAGGTATAATAGGCCCACATTTACACATAATTTTGCTGCCAAATCTCATGCAAGATGGATTCTGATAAGGTTTAGATACTGTGGATGCTACCATAAAACAAAACACTAATTGAATTGGAAGAGAAACCCTATGAAATTGGCTAATTTCTGCTACCACAGAAACAATCGCTTTATTTGAAAAAGAAAGAAAATTATGCAAACAGCTTGACAGTCTGGTTTTTGAATCAATCCATCTTTTAATTCCAGATATGAAGAAAAAAAGGGAAATTTATATGTGCTTGAATTGTGCCTGATGACTTTACCTTTTTGGGATTTACTCCTTGAAATTGTTGGCAGGAGGATGTTTTTAAATTACTATTCCATTCACTATAGACATAAGAGAATTGTCTTTTTCCTTATAGGACATGCAGCATTCAAGGGTCAACTACCTCTAAGCATGCTTTCTATGAATAAGAAACCAGCATGCTGAGTGGACTTAAATACCAATCATCATTGATAAGCTGCCAAGAGCCCAACAAACATTTTATGGATGCAAGAGAATCATTGCTTACAGCAAGATTAATTCATATTGAGCTGTTCTGGATAGAGATGATTTTGAACAAGTCTATGATCACTTGGATCTCATTTGCTGTAAGGTGCTTGCATGCAAAGATGTTACTTAAAGATATATTGTTAGAGAATGACTGCCAGTTGCTAAGTCTTGCCAAAACACAAAACATTTCTTAAAGCTAGGCTGAATTTCAATGAGGTTGAAATTCATGTTGAGTAATGCAGCTTGATCTAATAGACCCTAGACATTCACAATAATTTCAAATGGGCATGCAACTATTGTGAGAGTGTGGAAAGATGAAGGAAACATTCTGATGAAATATTTTATAACAAATGTTTAGCCATCATCTCTTTGTGTAATTTTCCCTTTGTCTCGCCTTTGTCTGCATTTGTATGCAGCCCCTGCTTTTGTCAACTCCAATAATATTTCGAAAGCAAAGAGTCACACTGCATTGATATTTAGTTATTGGTTACATTATTCAAGTTGCAATATATTGTTTAAGGGCTTACTTCATATGAGTATGAGCAAAAAATTATGAGAGGAATCCATGAAGTGTATGCTTCAACCTACATGAAGACAACCTCAGGGGTTATACAATGTAAGTGCTTACAATTTACAACCCATGCTGATGTTATGTTACCAATTCAAAAGCCTTATCATTTTCTTATGTATATCACAATATGATACATAAAATTGCATTGTTACCAAAGCAGAACTACCATGCCCATGATAAATGCCAGATAAAAGAATACTGCTATCAGTGCTTTGTATCAAATATAAGTTAAAAATTGACAGGATGATGCAAATGCATCATAAGCCTAATCGCCAAGCAGGTCAGTCTCAAGCAGGTAACTTTTAAACTTTGCACAATAGCACGAGTTCAATGTTTCTTTTTCATTTTCACAAAAACACAACACGATAAATTATGAGGGATATAATATTCTTTCGGCATCTCTACAGTCTACCATACACATACGACAAAGATAAATTTATTAAATTAATTAAAAGCTATGCGAACGACCCAATATCGACCGGCAACAGATATTGAATAATTAGTCAATGAATAAACAGAATAATCTAGTCCGCCAAAGACGAAGAATTGAATGTACCGGCCAACTGTCGGGGCAAAATATTGTAAACAGATATGGACAATAATGGCATATGTAGCCACGCATACATATGTTCGTGCCATGTACTATAAAATTGGGCAATTTAGGTAAAATCAACTGCATTAACCGTATTAATCTAGACTTCACTGTAATACCATTAGACGAAATTACGGCTTTCGCATGGCTGAGCAAACACAGAAGCGCGTAAACGAATAAGCAATACGAATGAGAGTATAAATACACTTTGAGTTTGACACTTGCAAGAGGGTATAAGAAAGCCATATATCACACGAAGTACTAGCAAGGAGCGTGAACATCTGTCTTTGTAGAATAATTTGGATAGAATAAGTAGGAAACATAAAGCAGTACTTACAATATTTTCACACTGACTGGCAGATCATCAGGCACCGAAGTTAAACTTTTATTCGAACAATCTACGATCGTCAAATTAGGGCAAACACAAAGCCTGTGACATTTTGTTGAATTAGATGACTTGATCGGCTTCACATTTATCACTGTGAGCAAACAAAGAGCCACAATTATATTTGAGATTATCATTACTCGACGAGATGTGAAAAGAGCAAAATATTCGATCCACAAATCCTTCAATAAAACTCTTTGCTCTCCATGAGCATGATTTGATGATTGTTCATTTGTCAACAACTACTTACAAATGCCAAAATGCGGGTGTATACCCGCAAGCGCGTCAGCAATATAACCTTGCGTGCGGGCGGTTAATTAACTGGACTCCGAGGAAACCCAACGCAAACACCGATAGTGCAATAGTGGCAGGCAATATCGATTTCGATTTTCGATGCAATATTGATTAGTTTTTCCACCAATATATACCAATATTTCTAACGATATTCACGGTAAAGATAGATGTCAGATTAAGATTCATTAACGTTTTCAACAGTCGAGACTTGAAAAGTGTCTATACCAGCTGCCGAGCTGTTGTTAACTGTTAAGTTATTAAATAGTATCGAATCTAAGTTTTTCGAAATATCGTCTACCACAAGACGAAACCGAAAAGATTCGAGTATGTTCACAATATTGACTTCTAAAGTGCTTACGCATTAGTTTTCCACTTGTCCAACTGAAATAGTGTAGGGTGTATTAGAGAGTGGAAGATGTAGACTTGAAGCTAGTAATGCATATGGGCGAACATCCTACTTTCCTACTTCTGGCACTGACTTTTGTTATGTTTTTTTTGATTATTTCTTATTTGATAGAAAAAGCCTAATATAACGCGTATATTTTTGAAATGATAAAACAGACTGCCTGATTTCCCTTTCGTAACATGCACATACAACGTTGTAATATATTTTGGTTTATTTGATATTAAAAACTAGGAAACTCAGAGTTAAATAACGCCGGGTCCATGCAATCCGTGGCCTTGCTATACATGCCTACACGTTTCATATATTAGTGTCGTAGCCATAGGCATAGCATATAGGTCAACGTTTTAGAAACCATTGATTTACAAAGATAGTCAGAAAATCTGGTACATTTATAGAATTCCAGGCTATATAATAGTGCATTAAATGTTTAAGATCTGTTAGAGGGATCAATTTTAGTGTACAGAACTAACAGAACTGCCCTGTTCTTTAAAAATAGTGTTTATTCTTGTCCGGCTGTACATGAAAGTCCAATTCATGCATTCAGTAACGTAAAACAAAGTAGGCCTTTTTATATATATGGTATGCACTGTTAAGGGTAGAGTTGGCCAGGTATTCTATAATTGCTCCGAAAATCTTGCCTTATTAAACCGGGGTAAAAGTTTTATATCAAAGCATATGAACGCTCAAAAAATTCGCACACTTATTGCAGGCGCACAGAGAGTTTTGTAAAATGCAAAAGTCGGGCTAACGAACCTTAACGTGGTCATGCATCTCTTCAAAATTCAAGCTTTTCTTCAGAAGTTTCGTTCTAAAATTATAAAGTAGACAAGTATGAATTATAAGAAAGTTCCGCCGAAAATAATAGTGCAATATCCGACAAAAGTTAGCCGATAAAAGGCGAACAAACTCGGTCCAATGTTAGTCGTTCACGCTCAACATAAAAAGTTCACCCGTAGCGGATATATAAATTGTTGCCTTTAAATATATATACCTGTAGATATAACAGCCATCACTATCAGAAAGCCTTAGGCAAGATGTCAGGTGAATCGCTGCATCCTATTACTCGGCTTTGGATAAAGAAGACTGAGATAAGATTGATAAAGCCTGGTTCACATTGGGTCCTAAGAATCAGGGATCTCCGCAGTGAATTCAAACAAAAGGAATCCCCGATTCTTAAGACAGGTGTGACCCAGGCTTAAGTAACTACGTCAAATTTAAGACAGCAAAATCGCAGGCGCTTGCTTTTGAAAGCACATATATATAGGCTATGCGACAAATCATGTTTTTTTGTAATTAGAACTTAGTTTACACAATCCGACTTCTGAACACCACAAAGTAAAGCTTATACTATTCTTGTTTATGGTTCGAGGTAAGGCGTTTGCACAATTTTTGTTGCGATGTGACCTTTATACACATCGATCACCCCTTAAAACCGAACCGTAGTGGATAGGTGGGGAACACTGACGTCAAAAAGGGCTGCAGCTCCCAAGCCCAAATCCCTATGAAAATGGCTCTTGAACAGCATGATGAGTATACATGTCATCAAGTGTGACCTATCATCCGCCAGGAATACACAAAAAAATTAAGACGAAACGATTCTTTCGGTTCGGGTTCTTTCGGAACTTTACATTTTGAAATAAAAAAATTATCACGGCACCTCAACAGTCGCTATCACTAAGCATTTTTTCCTAGTTTAACTCATTTTAAAAACCAATAATAGTAATAATAATAATAGTAATAATAGTAATGAAAAATCGTAATGAGCAGTTGTCCGCCTTTTATTGCGCTATATATAATAGCTAAAGGTGTTATCAATCTTGTATTTAATTTTGTCTTTGAATGTCAATCTATACTTGATGAATTGATGAAGCAAATTTGTTTACAAAAGATGATAGGGGACTGTGGAGTCGTACGATATTTCATAATTTATCTCTGATAATCATAACTCGTCTCGCTGTTGCATGTAAACCTTTCTCTTGGACAACTTGCATGTTCATCTTATCAAACCTTGGAAACGGAGCAGGAAAAAACGGCGAAAATGACTTTCGAACTCGAGTACAGGAAGCTGCATCTGTATTTTATCTGTTTATTCGGCATCGTATCTCATGTACTACATTGGATTGCTTTTGTCAAAGATCCTTTGAAGTGTTTCAGGAATTCTGCAACGTATCTCGTAGCAAACCTAGCATTCTCTGACCTAGTAATATGTTGCTGTGGTCTATTCGTGACACAAGAGTTACATTGGGTCTTCTTCTTTATTTGGCGCTCAATGGGGGCTGTATCGATCATGTCAATTTTTGCAATCGCAGTCGATCGCTTTCTGATAGTGACTTGTCCATTCAGACATAAATCCTTAACAAAGGGTAAAAGAATTGGTCTTTGGATAATACCCCTTTGGATGCTACCTTTGTATAATATTAGAGAATTATTTTTACCCGAAAAAGTTGTATTATTTGAAGTCAATTCTGCACATATTTACACGGGATTGACATTCACCATCTTGGCAGGATTGTTGTATGTAATGACAACTCGATCGTTGCGAATCCAGTCGCGAAATTTAGAGTCGCACAATCCAGACGTCAGATCGAACCGTACACAAGCAATTCGAGCATCACGGGAAAGACGGTTCATGAATACCATAGCTTTGGTGGCATGCATTGCTGTGATTGGCGTGATCCCTCTCATAACTACTTACAAAATAGTAAAGAAGTTGGTAAAGGAGAAGGAAATCAAGGGAATCAAGAGTTTGGGATATCGATCGGCTATTGATATATCGTTTCGTTTTTCACTTGCGCTGTTCTATAGCACTTTTGCCGTGAACCCTTTAATATATTTTAAGCGTTTAACCAACTATCGTAAAACATTTCTTGCGCTGTACTGGAGACGCAAAGCTCGTTGACTATATAGAGGGAACAATATAATTATGTATATTGCAATATATTGGCCACGGCGATGCGATTATTTATAATTAATGAAGACGTATATATATAGTTACTCGATCAAGATTTTCATTTCCTTTATAAAATGTCACCGTTTTGTGCATTAAAATTTAAATAGCTAAAATTAAAACATTACTTACTGTTTATGTATATATATTAATGTAAACGTGAAATAGTCATGCAGTTTCAATCGCTGCTTGTAGAAATATATACAATGTGAAGATATCAAAGATCGAAATGTTTCGAATCGTGGCCGACGCCGTATAATAGTAACCTCGACAATTTTAGGATTTATGATAACGCCCTACGAAGGCATATAATTTTAACCGTTGAAGGTTCTGCATTGTGCATGTATAGATGGGTTAATGCAAATATACACATTTGCATACAGCGACATGCAGCCGTCATTATTACCAGATAACAGAGGGAGAAAGTGCTTTTATCTAAGGCATTGCTACTGCCTATAAGCTCGGGTAAACTACACTCGATTTATTGGCACGGCACGACTAAAATGGGTACCCGGTAGCCTTAAGTCCCGTTTACACTACAGTCAATTTATTGGCACGGCACGGTTAAAATGGATACCCGTGCCAATTTCATCCGTGCCCGGCCTTTGTTTTGGTAGCCTGAACACTGATAAAATTTGGTACGAGTACCGATCTTCACCGTGCCGTACTAATAAATTGAGTGTAGTGTAAACGGGGCTTTAGCACTAATAATATTGGGCACGGGTACTCCTATTAGCCGTGCTGTGCCAATAAATTGAGTGTAGTGTAAGCAGGGCTTTATAGCCACAGGGTTCCCTCAAAACTTCCTATACATGCAATTCAGCTCATCCGACGAGGACATGCCAATTTGTCATTGCTGTCATAACATTAACCATCTTATATATAGTCTTCATGCCAGACGAAACAAACTAAATTAAAAGCAATCAATTAAATATTATTTTGGGTTTCTTTCATGGACCCTGCGTGTGGTTGCTATATATAGCCCGTAGGAGGTGCACGATGAATCATCCGCCTCATTGAGCAGAAATGCTCAGAAGTTTGCTCAGAAATGCTCAATTTGCACTCGAGAGTTGGGAAATTGCTGCTGACTAGCCAGCTCTATATATGTAAAAAAATATTGAGCCAAATATGCGGCAAAAATTTAATAAATGCATTGCTAAATTTTAAAATTATTGATGAACAGTTTGTTAGCTAAAGTTCTAAAATAAAAAAAGTTTTACTGCTAAGTTTAAAATTTAAATACACTGAAGAGCCTGCAGTCAGTCGCGCAGCTGGAAGCATAACTTAATTGGTGGTGTATTTCCAAATATTATGTTAAATGACAGTAAAAACCACGGCTTTCAGAAGAAAGGGAGTCACCCCCAGACAAATGGACACCGCGGAAATTGGTAAAATTGAAAAATACTTAGCCGCAATTCTCAATACTTATAGGCTTCAAACTAGTACTTGGTGAGAAAAAAGATTCATAGATACTATACAAAATATGTCTTGCACAAAAGATTTGAAGCTTGCACACGGCAAAAACGAATCATCTGAATTAATAACCTTGTGTATACTTTAAGCCTCAAAATGGCCATTAATGGAAATTTCACAGGCTGTCAGATGTGTATGATGAGCTGTCAAAAGATTGCATAGTGCGTATTCGGAAGAAAAACCCGAACTTTTTAAAGTTCTTCAATGGTTTTCTCTTTCGGATAGCGATACAGCAATGCACAATGTGAACCAGTGATCGGATTTTAGGCTTGAAACTTCATAAACACCAATTTCTGCCGTGTTAGACAAATGCCTGAGTGCAGTGGAGTTTAGTTTTGTAAACTGAAAACAAGAAAATTCTGTTGGATGTTTTTCCGGCGTTTTCAGAACTTCGCGTCTTCCAGTGGGTGCTGGGAGCTCAATGAAGTATGACCTACACATGAATCTATGTTAATTAATTTGCATTAATTTTTTAAATTAATTAATTAATTTTTTGCAATTCACATTAATTTGCCAATTTGATAATATTATAAAATACATAATTAGCTAATTAAACAAACTTAAATTGGAAATGATAACATATATATGTTATTTACCAAAGTCTCAAAAACAGCCCGAGGCCGAAGGCCGAGGGACGTTTTTGAGACCGAGGGAAATATTTCCCTATACAGACCGACTAAACTGGTAAATAATAGATTTATTTTTTTTAATTACCCGTCCCCCATGCGTGCCTGCTTAAGCTTCTAAATCTCGCGCGGTCCGTATACGAGCGGTCCGTACGGCCTCATACGGACCGCTTGCGTAGCCAATCAGATTGCAGGAAACGCTAAAGTATGAATTCGGACCGCAAGAAAAAAAATAAAATAAAGTATTATTAATCAACAGGCGGGTGGAATTTCGTCTAACTAATTTCGTGGAACTAATCGGCACATTTGATCACATTTTCAGGGAAAGCCAATCAGAATGCCTAAATATTTAATACTTCATGTAAAATAACTTAGCATCAAATGTGGTATAACAACTGCATAAAATAGACAAAACACTTCTCGACGTTTCGACCTGAGGGCCTTCGCCAATAAAGTTAGTATGACTCTCCTGACGAAGGCCCTAGCTCAGGTCGAAACCTCGAGAAGTGTTTTGTCTATTTTAGGGAGTGGTTATACCACATTTGATGGGAAGTTGTTTGAAGACGCTGCCACGCTGCTCCCTGGTTATATTGGAACGTATCTTCATGTAAAAGGATAAATAATGTACATTACCGGAAGTAGACAAAATTTTTGCATTCTGATTGATTATTAAAAAAGTAAACAAATTCGCTGATTGGCATAAAACGAAATTCCCCCTTGTTAACAGAATATCCTTTTCACTTAGTGCGCTTTCCATTAAGCGGCCAAAATGGTCAAGCCGGTCATATTTTAAATTGAAATAGAGTATTTCGTTAAGAATATAGCGATAAAACTGTATTTCCTATGCTAGGCAGATGTAAATAACGATATACTTGAATGCAGAGTTCTTGAAACATTCTACAAGACCACTCTGGCCGTTTTTTCCGTATAAAGGAAAGCGCCCTAAGGTGAACTATGATCCGGGAGGATTTATGGTATTAAATTATCAACAATTATTATTTTTTAAGTTACGTATGTCTCTACCTGCCTGCCGACGAGTGTATATAAATCCCACGCGCTGTAAACTCGGCTGAATGTCTTTAAAACTTAGTATCATCATTGAATTTATCGCTACTCAACGACTCACGACGTTCTTCACTCGTGTCCAATTCATCTTCAGGTGACCTGGGGTTACCGCTGTCGGTATACTCAAGTGAATACATCTCGTTCATATACGATTGTTTCCTATCATAAGTGCACTGAGACCTTTCACTCCGGCGTCGTCTTAGGAATAAAAACACTAATCCTATTATTATCAAAACACCCACGCCGCCAGCGATGCCAATAATAAGAAATTTATCTTTCTGATTTTCTTGTCCTAAAAATGAACAGTGTCAATGTTTGGTTGACGCACAATCATTTCACAGAAATTAATATCTCTGTTAGACAAGAGACTCTCTCTTACCTTCTGAAGCTGCCGTTTCAGGATCTGTTATTTCTGGAGAATGCAATAAAATAAAAGTATTTATATGAAATGTTGTTCACACACACAGTCGAAATTCCGTATGATCGCAAATTTCGTATGAAATTCAAATTAGCCGCGAACTTATGGCTGGAATTTGCCAATTCCCATTGTGCACAATCAACAAGACGTGGTTAATTAATGCAAAAGTGTTTAAACCAATTGAACTAATTCCACGTTCTTTTTTATTACAGAGCTTAGGATGCATTTTAACTCCCAAAGGGAACAAACTTTATGTTCTACTTAATTAATGGGTTCACTTATTTGATATGCTTTGTATACCCATAAAATATTTTAGGCAACCTCTGTCTCATTACAGCCTATTACAGACACATTGCAGCTAATTTGAATTTCAAAGGTGTCAGTTTTTTTTACTCACCCTGTATATATATATATATATATATATATATATATATATATATATATATATATATATATATATATATATATATACACCTGGTCAATTCTAATGACTTCACCAACAGGAATAATTGTATAAAAACTACCTTTACCTGGCCGTAGAACAATTACAAATCCTTCAATGTTTTTAGATAGCGCTTGATTGTCGATCGCGATATGATTCACTTAACCGCGGAAATTGTTCTTACCTTCACAGCTATTTCCGTCTCCTTCATAGCCCTCGTTGCACTTACAATAAGATGAGCCAGCAGTGTTCACACACCCTGAATTTTCACCGCACACCTCTTCCTTATTACACTCATCAATATCTAGAAGCACATCGATAGAGTCCATTGATTTTTATACAGTATACTATTCCTAATCTTAAAGTATAGATACAGTTATTTGGCCAAATCGTATATCATTATCCTGTCGTTGGTAATTTAGGTACATGGACCATCGCGAAAACTGAGACACTTAAACAGGATGATCCGAGTGCATGTGATTTATCTAATTTGTATACACTGTAAATTCAAAAGAGTCGTTTTGACCAGGGCGAGTCATTTCAACACCTTTATTCAAAATGTCATTTTTACTCCTCTAATGTGTCGTTTCGACTCTAAGTCTTTTAACTCCGACATTGGTTAAATGACAATTTGGAGGACTCGTTTAGTTCTTTTGACGGTCACAGACTCTTCGCAAGAGTCAATAGACTCTTAAGTAGAGTTCACATGGAGTCATGTGACTCGTTCTTGGAGCCATATGATTCTTTGTAAGAGTGGTTGAACTCTTTCTTAGAGTCATTCTGGCTTTTATAACAGCCACTTATATACAAAACAAATAATTTGCATTTAAAATATTAAATTTGAAGTCATTAGGCATGTTATATGTATTCCAATCCTTTGTATTTGAAGCAAATAACCATCAACACATTAAAAAAATACTCAATTTTTTGACACAAACACACTTGATATTAGTTGTTATCGTTTCTTCATGTATCGAGAAAGTCTTATAACTGTCTATTTGTAAGTTAGTTGTGGAACCCCGTTATTGGAGACATATCTCTGTGTGGTGATTCCAGCCATTGCATGTGTGTAGTTCATTTGTAGTTTATGTGTAGTTCATTCTAACTTTTTAACATGGCAATTTATAAAATAAAATAAATATAAAAAAATATATTACACTGCATGTATATAGGTTTTAAATTTCTGGAAAATGTCAGCTGGACAGGATATGCACACATAAAAATATATTATACATAAATCCATTTTAATAGTTCTGACTCATTGATAAGTATATGCTGATATCAAAAATGACAAATAATCAACAAACGTTCTGATTGGCTAAGACAGAAAGTTTGAATTTCAACGAGAACGTCAGCAATTTAACTGTCATTTCGTAAACCTTTTTGTAAAAGCGTTTCATAAACTTTGTGCAAAGTAAAACGGGAAGAAACAAGATATGTGAAGCATGACAGATACCAAAGATGAACAGGGATACAATCAAGACCGAAAGCCGTGTAAGAGAAATAACTCATAATCTGCAAGCTTATTGTTGTTTTCAAAGGGTGCGTGTTTACTTTGTTTCTTTCGTATTTGCTTCGCAGTAAGGATGAGCTGTATTTGTATAATTTTCAGCTTTGTATGCCGTTTATTTGTTTAATTTTCAGCTTTTTATGCAAACGGATAAACCTGTGAAAGGCTATTACACCTTTGCTATAACTTCAAAAAGTGTTTTTGAAAGTGTAATTTGAATTTTGCTATAAAAAATACACACTATGTCTATGAAGTATAAAACGTTTAGCCGTCGACTGTAATTACAGAATAAAATAACATTTGAGGCTTTTTCTTTGTCTCTGAAGTTTTCTACTGTTTTAATCGTTTGAAACTTCGATTTTAAACCATTACTTAATTAATTGCTGCTAACATATGGCCATTTACCATATTTTAATTTTAAAAATGTATATCCAACCCATTTTTTAAAGACACCGGACATTTGACAGATGGCCTGTTGGCCGATATTTTAAAGCCTGCATGCTTATATATAGATATTTATTATATATAATTTCTCTTCAAAGCAACATATTTGCGGAATGCATGTATGGTATGCTGTAATACTCACTGCATATACATTATTAAACATCGTTTACTCAAACTCTGCTTTTGTATTATATGCAAGCTTCATGAAACTAATATTGGTGTACAGTACTATAGTAAAATTGATGCCACAGAATAGTCGTAATGACCTCAAATAAGAGTAAAATCGATGTCAAAAAGGAGTGGAAATGACTCCAAATAAGAGCAAAAACGATGCTAAAGAAGAGTTCAAATGACCCGAAATAAGAGTACATTGATGCCAAGGAAGAGTTGAAATGACTCCAAATAAGAGAAAAATCGATGCCAAAAAGGAGCCGTAATGACCCCAAATAAGAGTAAAATCGATGCTAAAGAAGAGTCGAATGACTCCAAATAAGAGTAATATTGATGCCACAGAATAGTCGTAATGACCCCAAATAAGAGTAAAATCGATGACAAAAAGGAGTCGAAATGACTCCAAATAAGAGTAAAATTGATGCCAAAGTAGAGTCAAAAATCAAAATGACTCTTTTAAAACGACACTTTTGAGGAGTTAATTTGACTCTAGTTAAAGGGTTAAAATGACTCTTTACAGGTGTCAACCCAAAATGAGTCAAAATGACTCTCTTCAAGGAGTCGTCCTGGGGTCAAGAAAACGACTCCTTTGAAGGAGTCAAAATGACTCTTTTGAATTAACAGTGTACATATTCACCTTCACAGCTTTTCCCATCTCCAGTATAGCCTTTTTTGCATTTACAATAGAATGTACCAACAGTGTTCAAACACTCTGCATTCTCATCACATGGCTCTTTTGTACACTCGTCAGTATCTACAAAAATACCAATAATAACTCGCGTCCATTAAATTTAGTCATTACTGTATTGACACTACTGAGCTCTTTTGTGAAGGTGCAATTTTGTTAAAAAAACGCTCCCCTGTGATTCTCCTTAATTTAATTTTCATTTCACGAATTTCAACTTGATCGATCTTTTGATGGAAGATGGAAGAATTCCTATCCCTTTTATTGCATCGATTAAAAATGTTTCTACCTTGGCACTCTGTTCCATTCCCACTATACCCGCTGTTGCAGGCGCACTCGAATGAGCCGTTAGTGTTGGTGCAGTTTGCATCCGGGTGACAGTTATGAGCATCTGAAATACATTCGTTTTTGTCTGCATATAGAAGATATTAAAAGAGAGAAGAAGTTAATCAGTTGTATGTATATGGTGTAATTGCAGTGATTGCATTCAAGCCAGATGGCCTGAGACTGCAATTTGTGGGGATAAAGTTATCATTGGAAAGGCGGTATACGTAAATAACTGCTCTTTATCCTCAATATTTAACTCAATATTTCCTGCGTAAATGTCTGTTAATTTCTGTTCACAGTTTCTATTCAGACACCTTGTTTACAATTACCCCTCTTAATTTGCATGCACCATCAACTGCATGTCTATTTCAATTTCTCTCGAAACTATTATTTCAGAAATTTTTATCAGTGTTTGAAAAATCGTTCTATAGCTGTGCCCCTTGTTGTTTTAACCAAGTTTGTAGTTATTTAACAAGTAAAATGGAACCAACTGAAAAAAATTCGAGGTATGAACACAGATTTGACAGTATATTGACGGGATCAAATCTTTTTAATGCTTAAAGAATTTCTCATTTCACATTTCTTGAAAATGTTTCTTTCATTTCATCGCAGTGATCATGCAAGTAAAAACCATTCATTCACCTTGGCACACTGTCCCATTTCCACTGTAGCCACTGTTGCAGGAGCACTCGAATGATCCATTAATATTGGTGCAATTTGCATTCAAGTGACAGTTATGAGTACCTTGGTCACATTCGTCTTTGTCTGATAAAATACAAACAACAGTGTTGCAAACATCTATATAAACTTCTTCTGTACACTCCTAGATTCTGATCTCAATTCATAAAAATTATCTTCTGCCTCTATTGAGAACTGGTATGAAAATTATTTCATGGTAGCTTCCTTTTTTACTGTCATTTGGTCAAACACTTAGGCACTGTAGGACCGATTTTCGTCACTGCGAATCGTCTGGGTCCGTACTCATTGCTTGGTTGTTTTATCATGAAGAGATACTTTTTCTATACACACATAAATTCTGTATTTTAAAAGATTAATCAATTAATCATGCGAAAGAATCATTATATTTTTTTAATAAGACTGCATGGACACATGTTCGCTGCTTCTCTTTACTTAAGCTTAGCTTTCAATTAATAACATTAACGGCCTTAATTGCGATGCTATAAATTCTCACAATACCAATAAAATGCTATATCAAGGTTTTCTATTGAGTTGGCTCAGTGTTCTACTAAAAACATTATACCTTTGCATATAACCCCATTTCCAGTATATCCACTGTTACAAGTACAGAAGAAAGATCCATCAGTGTTTGTACATTCTGAGTTTCGATCACAATTGTCAATGGATTGCCAACATTCGTTGATATCTATAATATAATTGTTTCTTAAAACAACATGTCTACTTACTACATATTATGAGATATAATCTATAAATTTGCTTTGTATAGCCTCACACAATTACGCCGATCTTTACGTACTAATAATATATTATACGAACGATTTTTACTGAGTGAGCTCGATCCTCCTCTTAAAACCATACCTGTGCACCTAATTCCATTTCCAGTGTATCCACTCTTACAAGTGCAGAGGAAGGATCCATTAGTGTTGGTACAGTTTGAGTTTAAATCACAATTGTCAGTCGATGTAGAACACTCATTGATGTCTAGACGGATGGGAAGTAAATAATTAAAATTAATCTGTCGGACTCTGAAGAGTTTTTTGTGTAAAATGGAAACATATATACACTACTTATTATTTTTGACATTTTTCTGTATAAGCTTACAAAATGCGTTGCCTTACTTTCGACGCTGTCATTTCTCTGAATTCTTATTGTGCGTTGTATGAGGATTTTTGCTTAGAGACTCAACTTTTTATTTGAAAAATTACCTGTGCACATGATTCCATTTCCAGTGTATCCACTGTTACATGTGCAGAAGAAGGATCCATCAGTGTTGGTACAGTTTGAGTTTCGATCACAATTGTCAATCGATAGTAAACACTCGTCAATGTCTAGACTCGGCATGAGAAAAAAGCTGTAATTAATTTTTACTGTTTAAAAAGATAATTCATCCTTAAAGCAACATGTTTACTTATTGTATGTTATGGGATATAATCTTATAATTGTTTTTTATATAGCGTTACGAAATTAGACGCTCTCTGAATACTATTATATTATACAAACAAGTGAAACGACTTTTACTGAGTGGGCTCAAACCTCCACTTAAAACGATACCTTTGCACCTAATTCCATTTCCAGCATATCCACTGTTACAAGTGCAGAAGAAGGACCCATCAGTGTTGGTACAGTTTGAGTTTCGATCACAATTGTCAATCGATAGTAAACACTCGTCAATGTCTAGACTCATGAGAAAAAAGCTGTAATTAATTTTTACTGTTTAAAAAGATAATTCCTCCTTAAAGCAACATGTTTACTTATTGTATTTTATGGGATATAATCTTATTTTTTATATAGCGTTACTTAATTAGACGCTCTCTGAGTACTAATATATTATACAAACGACTTTTACTGAGTGGGCCCTATCCTCCACTTAAAACCATACCTGTGCACCTAATTCCATTTCCAGTATATCCACTGTTACAAGTGCAGAAGAAGGATCCATCAGTGTTGGTACAGTCTGAGTTTCTATGACAATTATTGTCAATGGATAGTGAGCACTCATTGATGTCTAGGTTCATATAAGCAAATAGTTGAAATATATTTTACGGTAAATATTTGTAATGTATTTGCAAATTTGTGCTTGGATACTGTATATTCGGCTAACTTATACAGGATCTCTTATGTTTCCTGATTAAAAATTACGTAGTGTTGGCTGTGTTGCATAACGTTAATATTTTTAAATGCGATGCAATCATTTCCTACAATACCAGTCAGATGTTATATTAAGGTTTCTACTCAGTAAGCTCGATTCTCCACTTAAAACCATACCTATGCACCTAATTCCATTTCCAGTATATCCACTTTTACAAGTGCAGAAGAAGGATCCATCAGTGTTTGTACAGTTTGAGTTTCGATCACAATTGTCAATCGATTGTGAACACTCGTTAATATCTAGACTCATGCATGAGAAAAAAGCTGTAATTAATAAATGATTCCTCCCTAAAACAACATGTCTATACCTATTGTATGTTATGAGATATTAACTTTAATTATCCTTTGTATAGCATTGCGTGATTAGCCGCTCACTGCATGAGTATACTAATATGTTATACGAACAATTTTTACTGAATCCATGGGGATGGGCTCAATCATCGAAGTTAAAAAACCACACCTGTGCACCTAATGCCATCTCCAGTATATCCACTGTTACAACTGCAGAAGAAGGATCCATCTGTGTTGGTACAGTTTGAGTTTCGATCACAATTATCAATCGATAATGAACACTCGTTGATGTCTAGGTTCATAATAAAATAGCTGAAATAGTGAAATTTACTTTTTGCATTTGAAAGAATTCTTGCTTGAAAAGAACATGTCTACTTGTTGATATAATCTTTAATTGTTCTTTGTATAGCGTTACGTAATTAGACGCTCTGTAAGTGCTAATATATATTATACGAACGACTTTACTGAGTGGAAAATCATACCTGTGCACCTAATTCCATTTCCAGTATATCCACTCTTGCAAGTGCAGAAGAAGGATCCATCAGTGTTGGTGCAGTTTGAGTTTCGATCACAATTATCAATGGATAGTGAACATTCGTCAATATCTACACCCGAGAAAAAAGGTCTAATTGATTTTTACCGTTTAAAACTGAGGATAGTTCCTTCTTAAAACAACATGCGTACTTATTGCATGTCAGAATGTATGTTATGGGATATAATCTTTAATTGTTCTTTGTATAGCATTACGTATTAGACGCTCCCTAAGTACTAATATATTATACCAACGACTTTTACTGAGTGGGCTCAATCCTCTGCCTAAAACCATACCTTTGCACCGAATTCCATTTCCAGCATATCCACTGTTACAAGAGCAGAAGAAGGATCCATCAGTGTTGGTACAATTTGAGTTTTGATCACAGTTGTCAATCGACAGTGAACACTCTTGGATGTCTAGACTCATGAAAAAACACATGCATGCTTTCAGTTCTTCGGAAAGTTGGGGAAATATACTTTAAACTATCTAATAATCTATCTACAAATTCCATGTTTCCGTTGTTCTTTTGAATTGGGTTACGACATGCGCCTATATTAAATTGGGTAGGGATACCGTGAAGACTGAAGTTGGCATACATAGCGTCGTATACATAGCGTTGTGTGATTACATTGACGTGTTCTTTACTTAGAACATCTTTCCATTTTTCTATCACTTAAAACCTTACCTGTACACATGATTCCGTTTCCAGTATATCCAATGTTACAAGTGCAGAAGAAGGATCCATTAGTGTTGGCACAGTTTGAGTTTCGATCACAATTGTCAATTGATAGTGAACATTCGTCCATGTCTAGACTCATAAAAAAATAGCTGCAATTGATTTTTCGAATTCTACTAAAGTTTTCTTTTTAAAAATGATAGCGTAACATAACGCTCAATGGAAAGAATATAAGCTCACTTTCGGGGCTAAGCTCACGCCAAACATGCACTAACTTCGCGTTACATCCTGAGGGTTTTCTATCCAGAAGGCATAGCTTTCGATCCCCTTTAAACATTACCTGTGCACATAGTTCCATCTCCTGTGTATCCACTGTTACAAGTGCAGAAGAAGGATCCATCAGTGTTGGTACAGTTTGAGTTTCGATCACAATTGTCGGTTGATAGTGAACACTCATTGATATCTAGCTCATTAGAAAAAAGCTAAAGTTATTTTTTGGGGATTTCTAGAACATTTTTGTCGAAGAAGATTATATGTACCCAATCATTGCATGAAATGGTGATTTTGATTACCTGTGCACCTAACTCCATTTCCAGTATATCCACTGTTACAAGTGCAGAAGAAGGATCCATCAGTGTTGGTACAGTTTGAATTTCGATCACAATTGTCGGTTGATAGCGAACACTCATTGATATCTGTCTCAATAGAAAAGAGCTAAAGTTATTTTTTTGGGATTTCTAGAACATTTTTGTCAAAACAGTTATGTATCCACTCACAGCAGGAAATGGTGATTTTGAGTACCTGTGCACCTAACTCCATTTCCAGTATATCCACTGTTACAAGTGCAAAAGAAGGATCCATCAGTGTTTGTACAGTTTGAGTTGCGATCACAATTGTCGGTTGATAGTGAACACTCATTGATATCTGGCTCATTAGAAAAGAGCTAAAGTTATTTTTTTAAAATTTCTAAAACATATTTTGTCGAAGAAGTTAAATATATCCATTATATGTACCCATTCATTGCATGAAATGGTGATTTTGATTACCTGTGCACCTAACTCCATTTCCAGTATATCCACTGTTACAAGTGCAGAAGAAGGATCCATCAGTGTTGATACAGTTTGAATTTCGATCACAATTGTCGGTTGATAGCGAACACTCATTGATATCTGGCTCGTTAGAAAAGAGCTAAAGTTATTTTTTTAAAATTTCTAAAACATTTTTTTGTCGAAGAAGTCAAATATATCCATTATATGTACCCAATCATTGCATGAAATGGTGATTTTGAGTACCTGTGCAGCTAATTCCATTTCCAGTGTATCCACTGTTGCAAGTGCAAAAGAAGGATCCATCAGTGTTGGTACAGTTTGAGTTTCGATCACAATTATCAATCGATAGTGAACACTCGTCAATGTCTAGATCCATGAAAAAATTTATGAAATTGATTTTCTCCAATATTAAGGATTATTCTTGTCTACGTATTGCAATTACAACTATTGTTTAGGGTTGCGTGGTTATACTGCTATAGAATAGAATTGTGTCGCTTGGAGTAACACGACGATGTGGTTTCGACGATGCCGTGCATCACTCCAAATAATACAGTTATATCAGGGATTTCTACTAGTTTTGAGCATGATACCTGTGCATATGATTCCATTTCCAGTGTATCCACTGTTGCAAGTGCAAAAGAAGGATCCATCAGTGTTGGTACAGTTTGCGTTTCGATCACAATTGTCAATCGATTGTGAGCACTCGTTAATGTCTACATGAACGGGAAATAAATATATAAAAGTATATAGTTTCTAATTATAATTAGAATTCATTTAGCAGACTCTAAGGATTTTTTTGCGTAAAACGGAAATAGCTGCTACTTCTTATTTTAGGAACTTTGTTGTATTGCCTCACAAAAAGCGCCTAAATATAGCAACTGCATGGTTAGTGTTATCTGATAACATGATTAATGTTATCTGGTCGCCATATTTCGAAGCTGTTATTTCTGTTATTTCAGCAGAATTAGTTCTACATTTAAAACATTACCTGTGCAGTTGATCCCATTTCCAGCATATCCAATGTTACAAGTACAGAAGAAGGATCCATTAGTGTTGGTACAGTTTGAGTTTCGATCACAATTGTCAGTCGATAGTGAACACTCGTTGATGTCTAGACACAAAAAAATAGGCACAATTGATATTTCGTGCAGACTCAAACAAAATATTACTCATGCATTATATTAAGCTTTTGTTCTCTCTTCCATTTAAAACATATACCTGTGCAGTTGATCCCATTTCCAGCATATCCACTGTTACAAGTGCAGAAGAAGGATCCATTAGTGTTGGTACAGTTTGAGTTTCGATCACAATTGTCAGTCGATAGTGAACACTCATCAACGTCTAGATCCCGGCATGAAAAATAGGTGTATAGTTAAATTATCTAAATTTCACGAATTATTTTTGCGAAAAGAAATTAAAAAGCTATTGATTGAGCCGTGAGGTTGAGCGTAATATGGTCCGAGAATTGTCGAGGCAGATGCTAGGTGATCTACCAAAGTGAACTGAGGTGAATAAATCAATAAAACCGAAGCGTCGATAATTGTTCGTATTACACAGGTCAATATTTCTTGTCTTCAATTGAAAAATATTAGCTACCTCACATTTGATGCTGCCATAACCCTGAATACCAACCCACGTTATATCAGGGTTTTTTTAACTATTTCGCGTAGGCCATCACTAAAACGCACCTGTACACGTGATTCCATTTCCAGTAAATCCGCTCTTACAAGTGCAGAAGAAGGATCCATCAGTGTTGGTACAGTTTGAGTTTAGGTCACAATTGTCAATCGTTAGTGAACACTCATTGATGTCTAGACTCATGAGAAAAAGGCTGCAATTTAATTTGGTGGTTTTAATGTTCTCTTATACCTGAAAAGAATATGTGGTATCTTATAATATATGTCAAGCAAGGTGTGCTAAATTTGAGAGGTGTGCTAAATTAGCACATCTTTGTTTCAAAGGCGTATCCTCTCTTTTTGCAGCACACTTTTTGTGCTAAAAAAGGTGGTGTTTCTAAGCACACCTTTGTTTGACAGTAGACAAAGAACACTTATTGATGTCTAAGACTCACAAGAAAAAAAACTGTAATTAGTTTTTGGAATTCCTAGATATGTTTGTTCTGTAAAAGACCATACTTATTGCATGAAATGAGATTTTTGAGATTTTTTTGTAGCCGTTCATGACTGCGCCGGATGATTTTCTACCACCTAAAAAATACCTGTGCATCTAACTCCATTTCCAGTGTATCCACTTTTACAAGTGCAGAAGAAGGATCCATTAGTGTTGGTACAGTTTGAGTTTCGATCACAATTATCAATCGATAGTGAACACTCATTGATATCTAGATCCATGAGAAGCAACAGTTTGGTATGACGCTTAATAATGATTGTATATACAGATTACATAACGCTCGCTAAAAACGTTGTAATTTCCCTAAATACTAAATTCACGTGACATTAAGTTTAGTATTTAGTACTTAGTAGGCGTATCATCAACAGTTCAAACATTACCTGTGCACCTAATTCCATTTCCTGTATATCCGCTGTTACAAGTGCAAAAGAAGGATCCAACAGTGTTTGTACAGTTTGAGTTTTGATCACAATTGTCAATCGATAGTGAACACTCATTGATGTCTAGATTCATAAGAAAATAGTTGAAATTTATTCTTTGTATTTAAAAAGTTAGTTCTTGGTATCTTGCTTGGAAAGAACGTGTTTATTTATAGTATGTTATAAGATATGTATAATCTTTACTTTTTCTTTGTACAGCGTAAACCGATTGTCTTTACAGTTGGTTTAAATGAATATATGAATATTCCCCCCCCCCCTAATTATCGTGCTTCCAACGTCTCTGTGCATGGCTCAGTCTTAACTAAAATCATTATACCTTTGCACATGGTTCCATTTCCAGTGTATCCACTGTTACAAGTGCAGAAGAAGGACCCATCAGTGTTGGTACAGTTTGAGTTTCGATCACAATTATCAGTCGATAGTGAACACTCGTTGATGTCTAGGTTCATAAGAAAAAGGTTAAAATTAATTTTCGGCATTTTATACTGGTCGCTAGCTTATATGCCTGAAAAGAACATGTCTACATATTGTGATTCAGGAAATATACATTGGAATTTTATTGCGTCGTTTCCATTCAAAACATTACCCCTGCAGATAATTCCATCTCCAGTGTATCCACTCTCACAAGTGCAGAAGAAGGATCCATTAGTGTTGGTACAGTTTGAGTTTCGATCACAATTGTCAGTTAATAGTGAACATTCGTTGATATCTATATAAGGCACGAAATAGAATTGGAGTTGCGTCATCATTATGTAACGGCAAAACCTTACTTGAGACGCTATCATTATATGTTATAAAAGCTCAGTTTTCCACTTCAAATATTAACCTGCGCATATAATTCCACTTCCATTATATCCACTGTTACAAGTGCAGAAGAAGGATCCATCAGTGTTGGTACAGTTTGAGTTTTGATCGCAATTGTCTATCTTTTGTGAACATTCATCAATGTCTGAAATCAAGTGAAATAAGTGAATTTTTTTTCGTACTCTTGGAGAATTTTTTTGCGTAAAATTGTAATTTCTACTAGTTTAAAGTTTTGTGATTTGTTTTTCATAGATGGTTACAAAACCTTCCCAAGCAAAAATTTGATGGCGACATAATAATTATTTTGGCCCAGAATGCCAAATTTATGTTAATATGGACTTTCCGGCAAAGGGCTTCCTGATTAATTAGTATAGGCTCAGTCTTTCACTCAAACTTTATACCTGTGCACCTAATTCCAATTCCAGTGTACCCAATGTTACAAGTGCAGAAGAAGGATCCATCAGTGTTGGTACAGTTTGAGTTTCGATCACAATTATCAATCGATAGTGAACACTCGTCAACGTCTAGGGGGAGGCAACAGAAAAAATCATTCTTGTAACTTCTGGGATATCTTCGTTTAAGAAGGTTATATATACGTATTTATGCTATGCATGAGACGTTCGTTCCAAAGGTTCTGGTAACGTCACCCTATTTTATTTGTGAAGCGTCATATAATGCTAGATTTGAAATACTACCTGTGCATATAATTCCATTTCCAGTATATCCACTGTTACAAGTGCAGAAGAAGGATCCAACAGTGTTGGTACAATTTGAGTTTCGATCACAATTGTCAATCGATAGTGAACACTCATTGAGGTCTAAAATCAAGAGAAATTATAATATATTTTGTACTCTTAGAGAATATTTACGTAACGTTCTAATCTGCATTAGTTTATAAAGTTTTGTGATTTGTTTTCCATAAGGTTACGTATAATCTTGCTAATTTGGTATAGAATTATATAAGATTAATCACAACCGGCGACACTCTTATTGCCCCGGCATAGTGCTAATGCATAATGTTAAATTCATGTCAATCTGGATTTTTAAAGGATTTCGTTCTTAGAAGTCCTCCACCTCAAACATTACCTGTGCATCTAACCCCATTTCCAGTGTATCCACTGTTGCAAGTGCAGAAGAAGGATCCATCAGTGTTAGTACAATTTGAGTTTCGATCACAATTGTCGATCGATAGTGAACACTCGTCAACGTCTAGAGCGAGACATCAAAAAAATAATTTGCCCAGGCATAGTGCTAATGCATAATGTTAAATTCATGTAAATCTGGATTTTTAAAGGGTTTCGTTCTTAGTAATCTTCCACTTCAAACATTACCTGTGCATCTAACTCCATTTCCAGTATATCCACTGTTACAAGTGCAGAAGAAGGATCCATCAGTGTTGGTACAGTTTGAGTTTCGATCACAATTGTCAATCGAAAGTGAGCACTCATTGATATCTAGAGCAAGGCATGAGAAAGAAAATACAAGAGTTATTAGGAAAATTTTTGTGTAAAATTATTAAGTATAAACTATAAAATACAACTATTTTTTTATTTTGCTAGTTTTTTATACAACCTAACGAAACTCTACTAAATAGAAAATGGATATTGCGTTATGTTCTACTTTTAGGCTATGACTTCACATTTCGCGCTGTTATTTTCCTAGTTGAATGCTAGATGGAGATGGTATATGAGTGATCTTTGTTACTTTTTGCTAAGTAGGGTCAGTCGACCAGTTAAACATTACCTGTGCACATGATTCCATTTCCAGAATATCCACTGTTACATGTGCAGAAGAACGATCCATGAGTGTTGGTACAGTTTGAGTTTAGATCACAATTGTCAATTGATAGTGAACACTCGTCGATATCTAAATTCATAAGAAACCGTAGATGAAGTTGACCTCTTGTTGCTGGATAATGATTGTAGGGTTACATAAAGCTTGTAAAAACATGTGATCGCAATTCTGTCGCTGTAATTGCCCCTACTTCTAATAACACGTTACATTAGGTGCAATAGGTAGGCGTTTTCATCCACTTCAAACATTACCTGTGCACCTAATTCCATTTCCAGTGTATCCACCGTTACAAGTGCAGAAGAAGGATCCATAAGTGTTGGTACAGTTTGAGTTTCGATCACAATTATCAATCGTCAGCGAACACTCGTTAATATCTAGGTTCATAAGAAACAATAACTAAAGTTGTTTTTTTAGCTTTAAGAGTTTTTGGTTTTTAAAGTTATTTTTTAACGTATCTATTTTCTCACAGATTCTTTGTATAGCATCTGGTAATATTGCTGGACATAATGATTGTAGCTATAGCGTTATGTAACGCTTGTTACGCTAGGATTTTCCCAAATACTAATAACACGTTACAATAGGTTTTGTACTTCGTATTCGCCCACTCGAATTCAAAGATCGCCATTTACCTGTGCACCTAATCCCATTTCCAGTATATCCACTGTTGCAAGTGCAGAAGAAGGACCCATCAGTGTTGGTACAGTTTGAGTTTCGATCACAGTTGTCAATCGATAGTGAACACTCATTGATGTCTAAAATCAAGAGAAATTATAATATATTATAATTAACACTCGATAATGAACACTCATTATAATTTCATCATAATCGATAGTGAACACTCATTGATGTCTGTATCAAGATAGAGAATCATAAAAAGTAGCCAATTATAACTTTTGCAATCAATTGGTTTAAGGAAGAATTGGATCTTCGTACGTAATGCGATGTTTTCTCGCACTGTTTTTCAAGCCTTCTTGCCTGCGGTTATAATTTCAAGAATAATCATAGCCTATTGTAGTTGCATATAGCTAACTCTGCATGTTCTGATGTACCATGAGTAGCATGTTATAGATCCCAAAGAAAAACTGCAATTATCTTAGGGTCCTTAGGTGCTTTAATTTTGTTGTTTGGAAATAATTGTCTCGGATATCTTCTTTTTTGATGTAGAACATTATCTTTTGCATGGTTGACTCCATAAATATTTTTTAACTTATTCAGCATTTTTACTTTTTTCACGAGAGGTGTCTTAGTACCTTTCCAGTTATATGCATATGATAGGCCGGAGAATTATCTTAGTCTATTAGTTTACCGTTGCATGTAACTCCGTTCCCAGAATATCCAGTCAAACATCTGCATTGGAATGATCCAGCAGTATTAGTGCAGATTGCGTTTCGATCACAGTTGTCAAGAGAAAGAAAACATTCATTGATATCTAAAGAATATATAAACGTTGCTATGCTTGTACAAATACTTCGATGTAAATACTTTAATTTTCAATGAATGTACACACTTAATGCATAAGATGTGGAGGCATACTAAACATAGGTTCGTAGAGGCATTCAGTGAAGGCTCTGTATGAGAGTAGTTTTAAACTTCGGTTTATCCATTGTTTAAGCTTAACGCCTTTGAACAACCGAAGATTTCAATTCGAGATTTCAAAATCGAGATTTCAAAATCGAGACAAATACTCGAAGTGAGCTGATTGTCTACTGTGTGTTGGACATGCTTTGCAGCAAATGTCCGTTTACTAGTGATATTTTACGTAATATGCACACGAGCGTCGTTTTTCAAAATCATTTTTATATTCACTATCTAGTTTTATTGCTTTGACGCCTGGTCCACACGATCCATGCAAGGGAAATTATGCCCAATATGTTAAGCTAGCTTCAACTTCTATCGTAAATTGGCGGTGTTTGACTGTTTGACATGAAAAGGAAAATGAAAACGTTACTGTGTGCACATGGTCTTATATATTTGTTGTGGTGAAGCGTTCTTGAATTTTTAATTTGAAACAGTGGATTCCTATACAGCCTCGGTTATATTACATAAAGTTTTATTAATTGATCGATTGTGTGATTGACAGAATGACCAATTGACTTATACCTGTACACACAAAGCCATTTCCAGTATAACCAGGCTTACACGTGCATATATAACTTCCAACTGAATTAGTGCATTGGGAATTTCTGCCGCAGTTGTCGAGTCCCAGTAAACATTCGTTGAGATCTATATGCGGCATAAACAAACAAGAAAAAGCTCGAAGTTCAAACCAAAAAGGATTTAAATTATATAAAAATTAGCGACTTTTCAATTGAAAAAAAAATTATAAAATATACTTCATTTATCAATTTACCATATCTATTTTAGAACTATCCTTAAAAAAGTATCTTCAAAAATTGGGTCTGGATAAATTATATCAGTACATTGAACAAATTTTGAAGAAACTTTCCAAAGCAGCAATTTTACGATAGAGAATTATCCGGAAATAACTTTATCCGTGCAGATGTCTATTTACCGTTGCACACAACGCCACTTCCAGTAAAGCCAGCCACGCAATTGCATGAGAAAGATCCAACAGTATTGGTACAGACTGAGTTTTGATCACAGTTATCAGTTGAGAGGGAACATTCATCGATGTCTTGAATAGATATAAATATAATTAATTTAATGTATTATATAGTGCCAGAGGAAAGACTTGCATGTGCATGCATGAGTTATTGCACCATTTTAAAACTTAATCTATAACTTTCTTCTATGAGAAACTTATTTCACATTTTTCGGGATCGTTAGCTGGTATTGGTAATTTACCTCTACAAACAACGCCACTTCCTGAATAACCTTGATTACATCTGCATGAAAAACTCCCTTGAGTGTTTATACATTGAGAATTACTGCCACAGTTGTCGTAACCCAGTGAACACTCATTGAGATCTATATTAATATAGTATATTAAATATCAAAGGGTGGGACAGAAATAAAAAATGAGATAAAGATGTAATACTGAGCATGCGCAGTAGAAGATTAAAGTGGCTATGTTACCTCCTGAACACTCTACTCCAGCGTCTTCATGATGCCCGCAGTTATGGCTCCCCCATCCGTTATGGGAACAACTGGATAGACGCCGCTCATAACCGTTACAATTAACATTATCCATCCATATCTGCCCAGAGCCGTCAGGAACTCCAGCAGGTCCTTGCAGAGCTCGATCCGCTCTTTGATATCCAAGTTGACGACAAACCACTTTGGCATCACTTATGCCCCAAGCATCATCACATACTGTTCCCCAACGTCCACTATGATATACCTCAACACGACCAATACCACTGGAGCTTGACGGGCCTTGTAACCGAACTGCAAGGGAAATATGACATTTCAAATTTCTACAGGCAGGATCTAAGTATCTATATTAATGCCGGGATTGCACCGTAGCGCAATGGAAAACTTGTAAACACTTCATCTTGCCATGTGCCCTTAGAATATATCGGAGTTGCAAAAAGCTTCGGGCACGCGGGCACCACCCGCGAGGAAGGTAGTCATTTTCATCGATGAAAAAAAGTCCGGATGTGAATTTAAATTTATTTCTGCATACAAATCGTAATTGTTGACCGCATACTAAAAATTCTATCACATCAACTAACTAATTGACATGTTAACGACACTCACGACTAAATAGAAACCAGGCATGAGAACACCTGCAGTTGGATAAGCAAGGTTACTTGGTTAAACTGTTAAAGGCCATACAAGGTGCAAGCACGTCAAGACTCACGCAGCCTGGGACTAATACAAAAAACAAGATCTATATCGAGCCTATAAGCTTGTTCAGCGCGTTGTTGGAAATTCTTAATTTTTTTCAAAAACTCAGCAGGAAATTCATCCTGCGATCCATTCTGCAATTGTCGGTTAGATAAATTCTAATAGTTTAAAACAATAAAATGCGCTAAATTTGCTAATTTTGAGCGAGCCGTATGCATTGTAATAACGCCTGCTGTGAGCAATATAATTCTGTCTTTAATTTTGCGCTGTCAGGCCCGTTTCACACGTCATTATTTTCATGTGCTAAATCGAAAGCAAACAAACTTAAACAAAGACTTCAGCTCATTAACATAAGATGCGGCGCAATGGAAAGTTCGACATATATAGACTATATAGAATTGGTGAGAAAGTATAGAACTAGAGCTCTGTGACCTGTAAGTATATTCCGGTCGTATATACAAGATGACAAAATATTGTCATTAATCTGTATGAAATATATTTGCTAATACGTATAATTAGGTTTAGGAAATTTCCGACCGTATCAGTAAAACGTTTCGTATAGCTGTACGTCCATGCATGGACGCGTAATCATATTACAATTTTTAAGTCTGAGCTATGAATAGATCCTATATAAGCCCTTTTACACTTGAAAATCGTCGAAAACTGATCATCATTTTATGTGCGCGATTTTTTTCTTTAGATAGATATGAACAAATGAATTAGTTACGGATGTTCAAATCGCACAGGAGCTCGTCACATCACAGCATTCGTACTTATTACTGGTTCACATCTTTGCAAGTGTAAACGGCCTTGTATACTTTAGGCAACTTCTGTCTCATTACAGCTGATTACAGACACATTGCAGCTAATTTGAATTTCAAAGGTGTCAGTTTTTTTTTCTCACCCTATATATTATATAAGGTAACTTGAAATGCGTGAATAAACAAAAAATGTTGCCCTTGGCATGCGACCAACAGGAGTTGCCTAATTATAACCATATAAGCATATATCCGGCCTGGAATAGGTTTGAACACGGCATTTTATCTGCTTGAATGAGGTATTTTTGAATTCTTAAGATCGATTGTTATCGGCGGATCCGATAACAATGGCTCATCAACTGAAGATTTTAATCCGCATGGTCCTATAGGCTGTAGGTCTTAAGTGTTACAGACAGGACCAAAATGACATTTGAAACCAAGAAACCTATTATATATAATTTAGCATTGCGTGAATTTTAAATTTATCAAAATGCATGCGTGATTTGTTATTTAGCGATATCAGCTTTGGCGATATCAGCTAACTGTCACAAATTGTATTTTTAAACAAACACATTAAAAAAGAGTGATATTTATCTTTTTGATGATGTTTGCACGGGCATGCGTGATCGACTATTGTTTGTATTGATAACTCGAACGTAGACCATGCAGGAAATGGCGCAAATTATAATAAGCAAACGCGTTTTGAAAATAAATATTTCAGCCTTTTTCCTCATTAGCTGTGTTATGTTGTTAATATATTCAGGGCATCATAAGAAAAACGATCGACCCCGGTTTATTTTTTTATCTGGTAAAGATAACTCAGGCAATTATCTTGGCAATTATATCTGTTCTTGCAGGTAACCAACCACAGATGTAACTTGCTAATCAAAGAATGATCTTAACACGACTGCGCGACTATACGATGACATGAAATTATATTAAAAATGATATTATTATAACGACATTCAATTAATTATATCGACATTCAATTTATTATATATAACTTTTATAACTTTTAAATTAATATACGCTTTCATTATAAAGTCATCCATTGGTCATGAATTTTTTATAAATACAAATACGGAAATTGGAATGCACACAAACTGTCGAGTTGCACTGCATTATATAACCATGCATTTATTAGAGCTTTTAAAATATTTTGCAAATTAAAAAAATCAAAGTTAGCTATCGCACCAACACGATATATTTTTGGAAGTATAATTTCAAAATATTATCACTTCAAATATCACCATTAATATTGGTGTCGATTGAGTCTAGAAAAATTCCATACCAAGTCATGCACTAACCTGGAAACGAGGTTGGTCATCCACCCGTGGACATAATCATTTTTATTTGTAGTTTTATAAGTAACAGGTGAGGATATATATCCCTGCTTTCCTATAGCGGAATCTACTGGATATTAGGTAGCAACTTTGTAAGATTTAAAGGTAACTATATACGTCTCACACAGAATCCATTTCGGTATATTCTAGCATCTTGCATGGTTCCGACTGTAATTACTGTTGCTTTATATGGCGTGTCTTTAATATTTGGACAAATTTAGGACATTCTTAAACCTGGTTTTCATATGTCGTAATTCATCGACGATGCTCTACGATCTATAGTCGGTGATCAATGAAGTATATAATTTTCTTCGATAGACAAAGGATTTTTATGCATCAATGACCACCGGCAACAGCCATCGCCGATAAATTATGATGTATGAAAACCAGGCTTTAAAAGTAATTCAACGCTAATTATAAATTTTAGGAAAAATATCTTACCTTGAGGCTTAGAAAATTGGAAACAAAACACTGACATAGCAACATAATACTTGATAAACGTCTCACCAATGAACGCCATTTGTAGTTTTTTTCACTGATATGAAGTTTTTTCGAGTGCCTTATTCACCGGTCAAAAACAGCAATGCCAATGAACTAGATTTTTCCTGTTTCCTTAATGACATAAAATTTTTGCTTACGTTTGCACTCCCGGAAGCCTGGGCAAGTTCAAACAAGTTCTTTCTTCGCATCTATAATTAGGTTATTACAGGAGCAGCTACCCATTGCCTTCTGCCAGCAGGGGCATGCATGCAAGGGGAGCAAAGATGCTCTTTCATTTGAAACGATTTGAGGAAGTGCAACCATTAAATGAAAAACTCCCAAACCGACAACGATATGAAGCTTGCATTATCTATAATGAAATATTGACGATATCTATAAAAACTATTTGGTTTGCGATGTTGTCTTCCACTAAAGAAATCCCAGTTTTTTCAGTCACCATTTCATTCCACAAGACGGAAAGAATATTGACATAAGACCTGTTTGCAATGATTAGATATATTATTTTCACCCGTAGACGTACATATTTTTTCTTCAGTATAAGTAATAGTGCATTATAACAAACCTATACATATACCCATATATTTAGCTACCTATAAATTGAAGTTAAGATATTTATAATTAATGTATAAGTAATTTCAGGTAATTGTATAATTGTAATTGTGCTACGTGGTGATAACAACAAAATCAATATTTGTGTGATTTCCTCATTAAGATCGTTATCATTAAGGTTGTGATGTCAATATATATAGAAATATATAAATATCAATGACGTGACCATTAAACATGCATTATTATTTTGTCCACTTTTCTCTTGTTCGTTATTACTATATCAAAATTGTTCGTCTAACCGTGGAATTTAAGAAATTAAAATGATAAACAAAACAGACCCCTCGTTTGTTCTCGACATACAAAAAAGTACATTAATTGCATGAATTGATAAAACTTTTTACCGGGTGGAATGTGATCAAATTACGATAGGTCATAACAAAACTTGACTTTGATGAAATCTGATTGTTTAGCTGTATATTGATTTCCTACATGCATATTGTTGAACGTTTAGCATGCTTCGACCTGAATTGAGGCTGCTCCTTTGAGTTGTATTGTATTTCATGCAAAAAATTTTTAATTTTGGTTATTATTTTTTGTTCCTATTAAATTTTGAAACTTCCCGTCAGGAATGACATCTGTAAGTAAATCCGCATCGAAATGAGACCAAGTTCAAATCGTGACCCTCTACAAACTTAAAGCAAACTGCAGACTCCCAGTAGCTCAAATTCGACAACCGGTGAGCTGCATGGTGTAATGAAAACAATATAGTAATATATAGTCGGATATTTTCTGGGTAAAACTATACGATAAATGTTTTGAAAAGTTTTTTTTTTGAATGGATTACATCGCTCTAATTATAATATATATACACATTATACTACCTTAAAATGGGCTATAATAAGCTATAACCATTTGTCACCTCTGAATTGTTGCCTAAAAATATATAAGAAAATAAGCAGTTAAATTTAAACGTGTCATAAAAAAGAAAGAAAAGATGGACGTCTTTTAATATCAAAAGTGTATAAAAGATAAGACTGAGAATGAGGTAGATTGATTGTTGTCTACAGTATATCTTACTAATGTAATGGTACAGAGGGCCAGAGGGTTGGAATTTCAAAATTCGAGTCGAAATTTTTTAAAGGCGCTGTGACGGATTCGGTATACAGTTTTATTTGCAGTTGCATTAGTAGAATGATTTAAAAAAATATCATTCCATGTATAGCAGCATTCGTGTCGGTTTTGAATACAAAAATAAGCTGACTGTGTAATTTGTCATACACCCTGGATCTACCACAGCAGGGAGGAAATCGTGATTCGTGACATCACCAGAAATTGGTGACAAAATGGCTGTCGCTTGTGCGCTAATTTGCGTTTAATCCATACATAATCACCTTCGAGTTTTACTATAAAATACATTGAGTGAAAATATAAAACTTCGTAACGTCAGAGCCACAGACTTGGAGCACTGTTTACCGACCTCTATAGTCTCTACTCTCTAGATTGATAGAACAGCCGTTTAGAAACGTTTTGGTAACCGAATCTTTTACCTTCCATGAGTATTTCTGCAGTTCGCCAAATTTAAAATATATTGCCCAAAATTATGGCCGTGTTCTCTCAACGAACTTATAAAATCGCTCACATTCATACGAACATTTCGATTTGGATTGTTGATTCTAATATGAATTTTCCTGTACGGTCCGGATTCTTTCTGCAGTTGAAAATTAAGAATATTATCAGTCTCATAAGGCAGTTCAACCATACAAAGCGTATATAGCTACACATTTGAACACAGTCAGTTGGCGGAACGTAGAAACACTCAAGGTAAGTATTCGATCATCAAAGCGTTGTAAAACGGCTGTTCTATTGATCCAGAGATCGGCAAACAGTGGGCAACATCCAGGGTAACGGCAATTTTAGGTGTTTTACTTTCGCTATATGTATTTTATAGTAAACGTTATTGTTGAACGTTATTTTATAGTAAAGGCCATTATTGTTGAAAGTTATATGCAAATTGTTTTATATGCAAATATTAATTACCATGTCACAAATTTCTGGCAATGGAAACTGAGATATGGAAAATATCTATACGCTAGACGTACTCTCGTAATATAGATACGGGCGTATTTGGGCTTCCTAAAAAGTTTTGGGGATAGCGTTTACTCCATCACCTTATTAAATTGAATTGCATTTAAAAACTTCTATCCATATAAATGGAAAAATAAAAGATATTTTTAAACTCACCAACCTTCACCGAACTGGTAGGCCGTGAAGCTACGAAGGTAGTAGATGAGACGGAAATTGATGATGGTTGGACAGTGGTGTTTGAAGATGCTGTGGTATTTAAAGTTGGAAGCACCCCGCTGCTTCCGCCAGGTGCAACAGATATTTTTTGTGCTGGAACTTGAGGATTAATTTCAGGAACAACGATGACCTTTGGAACAGTTTTAGGAGAACGTTCCGGTGCCGCTAGTACTACCTGGGGGTTCGTATTCGCCGCCGCCATGGGTTCGCTGATAGGGACGATGACTATCTGTTGCGGAGTTTTAGCCAAGGGCGTCAGGTTCACAGTCGTTCCTGTTTCCTTTCCTATAAAAAGCAACAATCAAGCACAATGAAGTAACATGCAAAAAAATGATCGTCAGACAAACAGCTTGGGAACATATAGGCCTTTTAGAAGCTAGGAGCCACCCCTCAAAATCGGTTGGCCTTCAGCCAGTCAGAAAAACTAGGTTATTTTACAAAGATAATGTCAACTACAAAGCTGACGTTACACATTAACCAAAATAGTTAACTTTATTTGGTGTTGTATCCAAAATGGAAAGTTACTTGTAAAAGCATTTTAGCTAAGAAAGTACAATACTTGGTAGCTCTATAAAAGCACAGTTTACAGTTATTAGAATAGCTACACATGGTTGGGAGACAAGATGGAAGTACAATACAACTCATTATCCATGTTATTGTCCAGGTTTATGCAAAAAATACTTCCTTATCCGTCACATGTCTATTGTATTTTTGCCCAACTAACCAATAGCAATGGCTTGGCTTAGCTCCTCAACCGTGACTTGAACAACATGTTAATTCAGACCTTACTATTGGTTTATTTGTTCAAAATACAATAGACACGTGACGAATAAGGAACAATTTTTTGCATAAATGTTCTCCGACATAGTTAATGAGTTCTATTGTACTTTTATGTAGTCTCTAAACCATGTATATTCTATCAACTGTGATAAAAGAGACCGGCTAAAAAGGTAAATTTGTGGGTTTGCTTTCTCCTGCTATCCTGGTCAAAGAATATGAAAGAATTTCCGGCAACATGCAGTGCTTGATTAGCAACAAAAAAAAGGCATGTAAGACGCTTTTAAATATCTGCTTCTAGAGCGTGACATAATTGCTAATCCCGCTGTACCACATTTTTGGAACCAGTCGTACCGTGACTTGTATCAGTAAATCTTAATGTGTACCTGCAGAAGTGCCTGTTTGCGCATCAGTCACACCCACTTTTTGACTGTTTTTAGCTGCTTGTTGAGAATTCGCGCCCCCTTGTGGACCAGGCTTTCCTAATTGCTGACCCGTCGAAGGCTGTTTGCTCTGTCCAGGATTTGGAGAGGTCTCTTCTTTCTGTTTGGTAGGTCTACTTGGAACCGAACAAGTTTCGTTGCTTTCATAAACAAACTTGTTGTTCTGAATGTTGTCGACATTTAGTTCACCCATCAACAATTTGTAACTCTCCTCATTCGCAACTGCGTCAATGCAGGACGACGGAACCTTTCCTTAATGTGTCAAAAATTCTCAGCTATTTTTTGGGGGGATAAAGATTAAAGATCTAAACGAAAGGGGGGGGGTAGCCTCGTCAGTAGCAGGTTTGGAAAATTCGCATGTAATGTTATTGAATATAACATCATGACTTCAGTAGTTAAGTCCAAAATAGTCCATCGCCAACTATAGCGGATAGCAGGGGTGGATCCAGTACTAGTGCTCTAATTTGCATGACACAAGAAAACTGCTGAAAATAGCCATTTTGTTTTGTAATGTAAATTAGTGCACAAGTGCTGGATCCACCCCTGGCGGATAGCTGCTCCAATGAACACAAACAACCTTGGAATATAAATTTATAGTTATAGAAATAAAAACGGTGAAATTCATAAAATCAGCGTCGCACATTACGTTTGCCAAAATAGGATTGTGTTGCTGTCATAATGATCTTTGGCTCAACTTTGAAGATTTGGCGATAATGAATTTAATTTATCTTTCTTGGGAGGATATTGTTCTTCGAGCGTAGGCCCGGTGGACGCACATACTATAAGCACCAAGCTAATCCACAGAAACCTTCATTTTCATCTCAGATTTATAAAAAATCTACTAACGATTAGCTTTAATTTATAGAATTATTAATTTTGTACTCGATTTTGGCAAAAGGCTAATCGTTAGTAGATTTTCTATAAATCTGAGATGAAAATTATAAACACATCTTGATATAGGGTACTTACTTAGTTCTTTTACATTTTCTGCAAATCCTCCATCCATGTTTCCTCGCGGGTCATACTCCGCTACGACATAAAAATTCCCATCAGCTTGTCCTTCTTCGCCCACCGCAAAAATTTCAGTTGCACTCCACACCATCGCCGTGAAGTGACCTGAATAGAGATATAGCGCATAAAATAATCTCGCAGACAGTGACTAGAATAGGATTTCAAAAGAAGCTTGGTGAATATAGCACGAATAGTCCAAGCGTGACCCCCTCTCAAGTTTTGCCCCTGGTTGTTGCCACTTATTGTCGCCCTTTGGAATTTTCCATTTAACAATTAGACAACGAGTCCGAGTTGTCTATGAGCGAATAGTCAATGAAGGCGAAGCCTGAGTTGATTATTCGCTCATAGACAACGAGGGCGAGTTGTCTAATTGTTTTAGTATACACCCCTCACCTGATATATTAATTTCGGGAAAATAATCGATACACCGCAATTAAAACGAAAAATAATTCAATTATATACGGTCACGCGAGAGAAATTTTCCCAAGCGTGCACCATCACGAATAGACAATGGTTGAGTAGCCAATCAGAATGTAGGATTTGTAATAGACAATGGTCGGGTGTATACTAAGGGGCTGTTTACATGACCACGGTTACCCGAGATTCAACGAAGCGTGAGAGGACTTTGAGGTATTGAAATAAGTCTTTATGACAGCAAACAAGCACATGCTATTGTTGTGGTGATTATACGACTGCCAGGATCATGTTATCTGCTCATTTTATTACCACAAAATCATCTTACGCTTTGTTGAATCTTGGGTAACCGGGCTCATGTAAACAGCCCCTAATTTTTAATAGTATCCCTATAATGTTGATAGTGGAGATAAGAAAAACTGCCCAGGGTCCATGTATCAGGAGGCAGGTTTGTCATTTATCATTAATTGATCATCATCATTTGGTTTTCCAGTTTATATAAGGCATTATATAATAACGTTAAAAATTCAAGCAATTTCATTGGTCGAGAGCCATGATCTATAAGAGGACAGACGCACGGAATGACCTCACAGATAATTTTAACACATTTAATCAGTCCTCTCTCGTTTTATTTTGTCAGCCAATCATATTTTAGAACGTGTCTTAAGCTAGCCAATAGCATTTCCGGCGGCTAGTACTGGCCACTTTGTTTTGTTCTTATCACGAATGACGTCATACGGTGTATTTATTTAAGGGTTGGAGACTGTTGTGAGTGTTTTGTTGACAAAACGCACGCGCTGGGAAATTTCAATATTAGTTCATTTGTAAACAAACATAAACATAAAGTCTCTAACACTTTTAATATACAATCTGAGTTCATTCTTTGCTGCATTGAAGATCTGAGCTTCGCTGCAGGCTGTCATTTTTGAATAAACTACGATTTTCATGGGTTATTACGAATAAATTATGATTCCCATGGTCTGTCGCCAGGCAACAAGAAGCCACGTGATTGTATTCGACCAATCGCGTAAGTAGATTTATAGGCCAATGCTCAAAGATTGTGTGTTAAAACCTGGTTAAAACCGAACAGACAACGGTTCAATGTTATCCATTTGTTAAATATATATATATGCATGATCTATAGAAACGTAGCAGAATTCAATCGTGTCTAAAAGAACTATGGCGTTCCTACCAGGAGGAAATTTTTCGATTGAATGAAATTATTTTGGCCTAATTTTCTTTTAAAGCGTAACATTTCAACTCAAGTGGATTCATTGGACCGAGCACAGTTGAAAAAATCAGCCAAAACATCGCATTTGATAAAAGTCTAATGGAAACATATATTATTACCTGTTTCTTTTGAATAACCAGGCTTATTAAAATCATATTTCTTTACTTCATTATACCAAAACACGACCGCTTCCAAACATACGAGATCAATGTCTTCGGGTGTAGACGTCTGATATATATTAGAACCAACGGTAGTAGATTCCCTGTGTTTCATTTCCTGGAACGTCATAGAAGGCAACAAATATGATTATAAATTTAGCCTGCCTTGAGTTGAAAGATGCTGAAACATCAATTTCATTGGGCTTATTGTTGCAACACGTTCTTCCACGTACATAGCTATAGTATATTGAAAAAGTAAGCTTTTTTTAATTCCTGTCGGTGCGCATGCATTGGCTGGGGAAACTGGAAAGGGGGTGTTGCTGCCTTCTTGCATAGCTGAACCAGGCAAAAAATATCGTTACTTATAAGGACGTGTTACACGCTGGAATTTCCAAGGGCAATTCCCAAGTTTTTCCGACGAACACGTGGAAGTGCGTCTAATAAATTTGCTTTTAGGTTACTTTCGTGTTGCACCTACAAGCTAATTTATTTATATTAAATAATGAACTGTCAGAACGTCAGCTAACACCATTTTAGCTCGCTTTACTTCTACACGAATAGCTATAATTTAAGCTGAAATTTATGTGAAAAAATATACGAAATTTAACACAATCATGCAGGCGGTTCATAATATATACCCATTATTATCATTATCATTATTATTATTATTTGAACACTAACCTGAATTGCGTTCAGATAATCCGCCCACGCCTGACTACGATCTTCCATTACATCACTCCACTTTAACGGAGGGGAATCATGAACAATACGTAGAAAATTATGAAAATACGTACACATAGCCGTAAACTTATCATGGTCCCAATGCTTTGACTCTGAAATTATATAGCAAGACTTAGAAGAAACATCAGAAGTCGCGTCAACATTTGGCGCACCATGACGTTTAAAGAGCACTGTGGCCGGTTGTTCGAAAGGCGTTTAACTTGTCTACTTATTGAACAACTGAGCTGAAATATATCGGGATAAATAGTTTAACACTCAAAAGAAGTATATACATAGCTATTTAATGCATAATTTTTCGAATACAGCTTATATAATCGAACATAAATTTTTCGAATACTGCCTATATAATGTTTCATTTATATATCATTTCCACCATCACATGGTGACCTTCCACTTTTTCCGATCTCTTAAAAAACAAAACATTTACTGGAGAAATCTCGAATTTGTCATATTACTTTTGCATATGAATATTTTTCCAACTCACCCTCACTCTCCGTATCCGTGGACAGAACCGGCACTAGAATGTATACATATATTTCATGGTCATGCACATATAGTGAAAATCAAGTGTTTTCAAATGAAATGATGCGGTTGGGCATAGGACGATAATGCCGTGGATGAATACTCCCCTCAAGTATAATTTTCCAAAGCCCATTTTATTTTCCATTAGGCGAATTTCTAGGCGCGGGCTGATAAAAAGAAGTATATATATATATATATATATATATATATATATATAATATATATATATATATATATATATATAATATATATATATATTATATATATATATATATATATATATATATAATATATAATATATATATATATTTATATATATATATATACAAATACAATTTGGTTTTCTCCTTCAGCCGTATAGTGCTCTACACTAAAGTGGAGCTGGGTTAAAATTTGAAATGAATTGGAGATTAAAACCTACTGATTTAATGAAAAATTTTTAGGTTTTAATCTCCAATTCATTTCAAATTTATATATATAATATATATATATAATATATATATAATATATAATATATATATTATATATATATATATATATAACCAAGATAATCGTATTTCGTTAAGACTAAAAGAGTGCTCAATACTAAATTGAAAAGCAGAGCTATATTATTATTTAAAATCTTAAAATTACAATGATTTTTCGCTACTCAGAGTTTCACGATTGTGAAACTCTGAGTTAAAGATTGTGAAACTCTGAGTAGCGAAAAATCATTGTAATTTTAAGATTTTAAATAATAATAATAATAATAAATATATATATATATTATATAATATATTATATATATATATATATATATAATATATATATATATATAATATATATACACCCGTTTGCAAAAACGTTGGCCGCAGATAGATATATAGATAGATACCCGAAATCTAATTAGAATTGCATATGTTTTGTAATATGATTGAAATCCCATGCAAATGTAATCATATGCAATTCTAATTAGACTTCGAGTATCTATCTATCTATCTATCTGCGGCCAACGTTTTTGCAAACGGGTGTATATATATATATATATATATATATATATATATATATATATATATATATATATATATATATATATATATATATATATATATATATACACACCCATTTGCAAAAACGTTGGCCGCAGATAGATAGATAGATAGATACTCGAAGTCTAATTAGAATTGCATATGATATTTATATATATATATATATATCGGATATCGCTTCGCGTATATGTATAGTATATATACATATACGCGAAGCGATATCCGAAATATATAAATATATATATATAATATATATATTATATAATATATATATATATATATATAAATTTAGAAAGGTTGTTATAGCAAATCAAGAGTGCACAAGCCGAAGCGTGCTTTATTTAAATTTAAATTTACTGAGATAGTATGAGGAGCTACAAGCAGGACATCATATCACTATTGCTTACCATGATCAATTCCACTTTAGCTACATACAATAATATTCCTTCCCCTCACCGATTTCTCATTCCAGGCTTGGGACTGGACAATGGCTGGTTTAAAAGGAGGAAGGAAATAAAGCACGCTTCGGCTTGTGCACTCTTGATTTGCTATAACAACCTTTCTAAATTTTGATATTAAGCACGCTTAGGCTTGTGCACTCTCGTTATAGTAAATTTTGTATGACAGCTCGCGACTGATTGTCCCGCTCATGTGAATAACACGTGAATGCGTGTTAGTAATAATCCCACATTAGTAATATAATACAATAACATCACATCTTCATATCATGAATAAAACCCCTTTATATATATATATATATATATATATATATATATATATATAAATATATATATATATATATATATTGTAGCTCCTCATACTATCTCGGTAAATTTAAATAAAGTACGCTTCGGCTTGTGCACTCTTGATTTGCTATAACAACCTTTCTAAATTTTGATATATATATATATATATATATATATATATATATATATATATATATATATATATATATGTATATATTTCGGATATCGCTTCGCGTCGCGCGAATAAATACGCCTAGGGGAAATGAGCTTAACGCTAACCAGGGCCAGGGACGGGTTGTATCAAGCCTGTTTAGCTTAAACGGTTGGATAAGTTTAAAATAGAAAGCAAGCCTGCCGTTTTATTCAACAAGCGAACAAAATGTTTTTGAACTTAATACAAAGCTACTGTTTACAACTATACATATTCAGTGCATAATATTCAAGTTGACTCATTCAAGAGAGTTTTAAGAGTGTTACTTAGTTTTGACTTATCCACCGTTTAAACTAAACGGGCTTGATACAACCGGCCCCAGGTCTATAGATTGTAATTAGTTTTAATCAGTCATCAATTCAGAAAAAAAAAATTACTGCCGGTTTGCTGTAAAAATGATAACAATTTTTGCAAACAATTCGTGCATGGATCCCATACATGCACAGCCTGCGGCTTCATCCCTATTCTCAACCTTCAAGTGCCTCCATCGGATCCCTGTACCAATTATTAAAAACTTTATATGTAACACTTATTAAAATAATTTGATAACAACTGACTATGAAGTCACATTGACTTCGGAATAAGTTTCCTGAGAGGTAATCTTATTTTGCTATTTTGAACTCGTGCATATGTGAATGCGCCAATTTTTTAACTGCCGTTTGAAATTACCAAAAGTCATATTGACATAGCGTACCGCCGGATTACATACCTGAAGAACACAAGTATAGCATCGATAACGTGAAAAGCTTTAGTTGCGTGAATGAATATGTTGTAGATAATATCATAGTTTCATTTGTTTTGAAGTTGCTTTGTACAGTTATTTATAGTACGTTTTTTATAGTACGTATCATCTCAGTTATATAACTTAAAATGTTAATATAAAAAAACATCGAACTTTTATATATATTTTAGCAGGTTTCGTATTGTTATTTTTACGCTATCGTAACGATAGTGTTGCACCTGTTTACTGACTGACGCGTACATGCATGCTTTGATTGTGTTAATTAATCAGTTGTTTTGTCAGACTGCATTACGGCATAAGCAACGCTGTATGAAATAAGGTAGATACAATTACATTGGCTAATGGCTATTGCCACAAAAGAAAGTGTCATGCATTAGCTCTGAACATCTTCTTACTCGCCTGGGAGATGCGCCAACATGTACTAGTATATCCCATCTATATGGGACATACAGTAGGGGGCAAAGGTTTGAGTCCAGTCGTTGTAGAATTCCAGTATTAAATCCTGGCAGCATATTCGAGTTAAGACATGCGTGCTATATGTATAGTGTTTCGGTACTGTAAACCATAATATTTGCACACTGTTTTGGTCCTAATTATCTAAATTATAACAAAATAAAGTTCTTATTCCTTTACACTGCCCAAGATGGATGAAAAAAAGAGCAAAGTGATGATGCACAAGGACAATTAGTTGCATTAGGTATTGAAGGATTCTTTCCTCGTAAGATCGCAGAAAAAGTGAGAATTTCAAAAGGTGGTATGCAACTAAACTTGGAGAGGTTCGAAGAAACTAACTCCTACTCAAGCAAACTTTTAGCCTCTTCGGTCATCTCATGCTGAGTTTGGCAATATTGAAAGATATAATATGATCGTAATTAAAGAAAAATATCATCCAATTCTTCAAGGACATGGAATTTCATCTGGCACGAAGACGATCGCGCGTCTAACTACATGATAATCACCCTTAGCACATGCACATCATCTATGTGCCAGAAATCTTTTAGAAGCAAACTCGTTCTGGTGATCTCGTTCTCATGGCTTTCCACCTCAAATTCCAGATCTAAAACCTATGGAGCACTTGTAGAACCGTTTTAACCAGAAACAGGCGAGGCACAGACCCACCAGCCAGGATGACTTAAGGCAAGTGGTCAACGAATGCTGGCAAGGTATTTAACGTGTGACATTAAAAAACCATTGGAATCTATGCCAGCAAGAATAAAGGCCGTTTCAAGAGCAAAAAAGGGGGATATACTAAGCATTGACATGTAGCTAATGCATGTTTGCACTTTAACATACGTTAAATGAATATCATAACATCTCATAGTTGTTGTACAGCATGTATTTTTCAGTTTACTTATTTACTTTTTTCTAGTTCACTTATCAGTAAAGTTTTTTGTAGAATATTAATATATGCTGCTGAAACAATGAAATACATACCAGTGGCGTCGCCAGCTTGATAAGTGAGGTGGACTTATTCATATATTCGTGTTTTACATTATTCATTTCTTTTCAGGTTGATTGTTTTAAAGGTCTGTGAACATGAGTATATGAATATGTCCACCCCACTTATCGATGCTGGCGACGCCACTGATACATATATATGTTATTAAATATTAAATAGAGATGCCAAACATGCAGGCTGTTTGCTTTCACCGTACGAAACTGAGACATATCCCCATATGGAAAGTATCTATAGGGTCTCGATCTACACGCTAGACGTAGTCTGAAAATGATTTGAAAATCTAAAGGTAAATTGCATTTAGAAACTTCCATATATAAATGGAAAACTGAACGAAAAATGCAGTATGGTACTGTAACATGGTACTGCAATTAATCCTGCATGCATGGGATATTAATGTTATTTAAGAATTAAAAAACGAGTCGCGTGCCTTTATGGTGTAGTAATGCACGATGGGGGAATGTTGGGAGAATACGAGAGAAGCTTGTAAAACACGAGGCGTAGCCGAGTGTTTTACAAGCTTCTCGAGTATTCTTCCAACATTTCCCCGAGTGCATTATTACACCATAAAGGCACGCGACGAGCTTTTTTAATTCTTTTATAATATAAGAAGAAATTATAGGGCAACAAAAAAATTTATTTATTTGATCAATAATGAAATTCTCCTTACATGTTATTTAAGATGTTGCTTAGCAACAAAAACTTCAAAGCCAGAAGCGTGCATTATGGCCTCACAATGCACGCGCGGTAGCCAATCAAATTGCTTGTTATATCATACTTATATTATAAATAGTATTAAAACGAGTATTCATATTTTCAATTCACCAACCTTCACCGAACTGGTAGGTCGTGAAGCTACGAAGGTGGTAGATGAGACGGAAATTGATGATGGTTGGACAGTGGTATTTGAAGATGCTGTGGAATTTAAAGTTGGAAGCACCCCGCTGCTTCCGCCAGGTGTAACAGATATTTTTTGTGCTGGAACTTGAGGATTAATTCCAGGAACAACGATGACTTTTGGAACAGTTTTAGGAGAACGTTCCGGTGCCGCTAGTACTACCTGGGGGTTCGTATTCGCCGCCGCCATGGGTTCGCTGATAGGCACGATGACTATCTGTTGCGGAGTTTTAGCCAAGGGTGTCAGGTTCACAGTCATTCCTGTTTCCTTTCCTATAAAAAGCAACAATCAAGCACAATGAAGTAACATGCAAAACAATGATCGTCAGACAAACAGCTTGGGAACATATAGGCCTTTTAGAAGCTAGGAGCCACCCCTCAAAATCGGTTGGCCTTCAGCCAGTCAGAAAAACTAGGTTATTTTACAAAGATAATGTCAACTACAAAGCTGACGTTACACATTAACCAAAATAGTTAACTTTATTGTATCTATGGTAGTGTTGTATCCAAAATGGAAAGTTACTTGTATAAGCATTTTAGCTAAGAAAGTACAATACTTAGTAGTTCTATAAAAGAGAATAAAAAGGTAAATTTGTGGGTTTGCTTTCTCCTGCTATTCTGGTCAAAGAATATGAACGAATTTCCGGAAACATGCAGTGCTTGATTAGCAGCAAAAAAAGGCATGTAAGACGCTTTTAAATATCTGCTTCTAGAGCGTGACATAATTGCTAATCCCACTGTACCACATTTTTGGCACCAGTCGTACCGTGACTTGTTACTTGTATCAGTAAATCTTAATGTGTACCTGCAGAAGTGCCTGTTTGGGCACCAGTCACACCCACTTTTTGATTGTTTTTAGCTGCTTGTTGAGAATTCGCGCCCCCTTGTGGACCAGTCTTTCCTACTTGCTGACCTGTCGAAGGCTGTTTGCTCTGTCCAGGATTTAGAGAGGTCTCTTCTTTCTGTTTGGTAGCTCTACTTGGAACCGGACAAGTTTCGTTGCTTTCATAAACAAACTTGTTGTTCCGAATGTTCTCGACTTTTAGTTCACCCATCAACAATTTGTAACTCTCCTCATTCGCAACTACGTCAATGCAGGACGACGGAACCTTTCCTTAAAGTATCAAAAATTCTCTGCTATTTTTTGGGGGGTAAAGATTAACTGAAGGTCTAAACGAAGGGGGGGGGGTAGCCTCGTCAGTAGCAGGTTTGGAAAATTCGCATGTAATGTTATTGAATATAACATCATGACTTCAGCACTTGGTTAAGTCCAAAATAGTCCATCGCCAACTATAGCGGATAGCAGGGGTGGATCCAGCTGCCAGCACTAGTGCTCTAATTTGCATGACACAAGAAAACTGCTCAAAATAGCCATTTTGTTTTGTAATGCAAACTAGTGCACTAGTGCTGGATCCACCCCTGGCGGATAGCTGTTCCAATGAACACAAACAACCTTGCAATATAAACCTATAGTTATAGAAATAAAAACGGTGAAATTCATAAAATCAGCGTCCCTTTTTACGTTTGCCAAAATAGGATTATGTTGCTGTCATAATGATCTATGGCTCAGCTTTGAAAATTTGGCGACAGTGAATTTAATTTATCTTTCTTGGGAGGATATCGTTCTTCGAGCGTAGGCCCGGTGGACGCACATACTATAAGCACCAAACTGATCCACAGAAACCTTCATTTTCATCTCAGATTTATAGAAAATCTACTAACGATTAGCTTTAATTTATAAAATTATTAATTTTGTACTCGATTTTGGCAAAAGGCTAATCGTTAGTAGATTTTCTATAAATCTGAGATGAAAATTATAAACACATCTTGATATAGGGTACTTACTTAGTTCTTTTACATTTTTTTCATATCCTCCATCCATGTTTCCTCGCGGGTCATACTCCGCTACGACATAAAAATGCCCATCAGCTTGTCCTTCTTCGCCCACCGCAAAAATTTCAGTTGCACGCCACACCATCGCTGTGAAGTGACCTGAATAGAGATATAGCGAATAAAATAATCTCGCAGACAGTGACTAGAATAGGATTTCAAAAGAAGCTTGGTGAATATAGCACGAATAGTCCAAGCGTGACCCCCTCTCAAGTTTTGCCACTTATTGTCGCCCTTTGGAATTTTCCATTTAACAATTAGACAACGAGTCCGAGTTGTCTATGAGCGAATAGTCAACGAAGGAAGGCGAAACCTGAGTTGATTATTCGCTCATAGACAACGAAGGTGAGTTGTCTAATTTTTTTGTATACACCCCTTACCTATAGATATATCAATTTCGAGAAAATAATCGATACACCGCAATTACACCGAAAAGTAATTCATTTTTATACGGTCGCGCGAGAGAAATTTTCCCAAGCGTGCACCATCACGAATAGACAATGGTTGAGTAGCCAATCAGAATGTAGGATTTGTAATAGACAATGGTCGGTTGCATACTAATTTTTAATAGTATCCCTATAATGTTGATAGTGGAGATAAGGAAAACTGCCCAGGGTCCATGTATCAGGAGGCAGGTTTGTCATTTATAATTAATTGATCATCATCATTTGGTTTTCCAGTTTATATAAGGTATTATATAATAACGTTAAAAATTCAAGCAATTTCATTGGTCGAGAGCCATGATCTATAAGAGGACAGACGCACGGAATGACCTCACAGATAATTTTAACAAATTTAATCAGTCCTCTCTCGTTTTATTTTGTCAGCCATTCATATTTTAGAACGTGTCTTAAGCTAGCCAATAGCATTTCCGGCGGCTAGTACTGGCCACTTTGTTTTGTTCTTATCACGAATGACGTCATACGGTGTGTCTATTTAAGGGTTGGAGACTGTTGTGAGTGTTTTGTTGACAAAACGCACGCGCTGGGAAATTTCAATATTAGTTTATTTGTAAACAAAACAAGAACATAAAGTCTCTAACACTTTTAATATACAATCTGAGTTCATTCTTTGCTGCATTGAAGATCTAAGCTTCGCTGCAGGCTGTCATTTTTGAATAAACCACGATTTTCATGGGTTATTACGAATAAATTATGATTCCCATGATCTGTCGCCAGGCAACAAGAAGCCACGTGATTGTATTCGACCAATCGCGTAAGTAGATTTATAGGCCAATGCTCAAAGTTTGTGTATTAAAACCGAACAGACAACGGTTTAATGTTATCCATTTGTTAAATAGATATATGCATGATTTATAGATGCGTAGCAGAATTCAATCGTGTCTAAAAGAACTATGGCGTTCCTACCAGGAGGAAATTTTTCGATTGAATGAAATTATTTTGGCCTAATTTTCTTTTAAAGCGTAACATTTCAACTCAAGTGGATTCATTGGACCGAGCACAGTTGAAAAAATCAGCCAAACATCGCATTTGATAAAAGTCTAATGGAAACATATAATATTACCTGTTTTCTTTGAGAAACCAGGCTTTTTAAAATCGTATATGTTTATTTCATTATACCAAAACACGACCGCTTTCAAACATACGTGATCAATGACTTCGGGATTAGACATCTGATATATATTAGAACCAAGGGTAGTAGAGTCCCTGTGTTTCATTTCCTGGAACGTCATAGAAGGCAACAAATATGATTATAAATTTAGCCTGCCTTGAGTTGAAAGTTGCTGAAACATCAATTTCATTGGGCCTATTGTTGCAACACGTTCTTCCACGTATATAGCTATATTATATTGAAAAAGTAAGCTTTTTGTAATTCCTGTCGGTGAGCATGCATTGGCTGGGGAAAGGGGGTGTTGCTGCCTTCTTGCATATCTGAACTAGGCAAAAATATCGTTACTTATAAGGACGTGTTACACGCTGGAATTTCCAAGTGCAATTCCCAAGTTTTTCCGACGAACACGTGGAAGTGCGTCTAATGAATTTGCTTTTAGGTTACTTTCGTGTTGCACCTACAAGCTAATTTATTTATATTACATAATGAACTGTCAGAACTCAGAACGTCAGCTAACGCCATCTTAGCTCGCTTTACTTTTACACGAATAGCTATAATTTAAGCTGAAATTTATGTGTAAAAATATACGAAATTTAACCCAATCATGCAGGCAGTTCATAATATATACCCATTATTATCATTATCATTATTATTATTTGAACACTAACCTGAATTGCGTTCAGATAACTCGCCCACGCCTGACTACGATCTTCCATTACATTACTCCACTTTAGCGGAGGGGAATCATGAACAATACGTAGAAAATTATGAAAATACGTACACATAGTCGTAAACTTATCATGGTCCCATTGCTTTGACTCTGAAATTATATAGCAAGACTTAGAAGAAACATCAGAAGTCGCGTCAACATTTGGCGCACCAATCGCACCATGACATGCAAAATAAGCATCTTTAAAGAGCGCTGTGGCCGGTTGTTCGAAAGGCGTTTAGCTTGTCTACTTATTGAACAACTGAGCTGAAATATATCGGGATAAATAGTTTAATACTCAAAGGAAGTATATACATAGCTATTTAATGCATAAGATGTAATTGAGGCTCAGTCATTCACATACAAGATGTACGAGTATTTTTAAACTGTCATGACTTATCCATCGATGCACCGTTTAGGCAAAACGCCTTTCGAACAACTGGCCCCAGATTGCCAAAGAAGAACAAAACATGCAGTTTAAAGTAATAAATGTACTAAATCGAATACTGCTTATATAATGTTTTATTTATATATCATTTCATGGTCATGCACAATAAGTGTTTTCAAATGAAGTGATGCGGTCGGGCATAGAACGATAATGCCGTGGATGAATACTCCACTAAAGTATAAGTTCCCAAAGCCCGTTTTATTTTCCACTAGGCGAATTTCTAGGCGCAGGCTGATAAAAAGAAGTATATATAAATATATATATATATATATATATATATATATATATATATATATATATATATATATATATATACACCCATTTGCAAAACCGTTGGCCGCAGATACATAGATAGATACATTCTCGAAATCTAATTAGAATTGCATATGTTGTGTAATATGATTGAAATCCTATGCAAATATAATCATATGCAATTCTAATTAGACATCCGAGTATCTATCTATCTATCTATCTGCGGCCAACGTTTTTGCAAATGGGTGTATATATGTAAATATATATACACACAATTCAGAAAAAAATATTGACTTCCGGTAAATCTTCGTGTAAAAATGATAACAATTTTTGGAAACAATTCGTGCATGGGTCCCTATGCACAACCTGTGGCTTCATCCCTATTCTCAACCTTCAAGTGCCTCCATCGTATCCCTATACCAATTATTTAAAACTTTATATGTAATACTTATTAAAATAATTTGATAACAACTGACTATGAAGTCACATTGAACTCGGAATAAGTTTCCTGAGAGCAGAGGTTATTTTGAATTTTTGAATTCGTGGATATGTGAATGCGCCAATTTTTAACTGTTTTGAAAATACCAAAAGCTATTGACATAGCGTACCGCCGGATTACATACCTGAAGAACACAAGTATAGCATCAATAACCAGAAAAGCTTTAGTTGCATGAAGGAACATGTTGTAGATAATATCATAGTTTCATTTGTTTTGAAGTTGCTTTGTACAGTTATTTATAGTACGTTTTCGTACAGTTATTTATAGTACGTACATCGAACTTTTATATATATTTTAGCAGGTTTCGTATTGTTATTTTTACGCTATCGTAACGACAGTGTTGCACCTGTTTACTGACTGACGCGTACATGCATGCTTTGATTGTGTTAATTAATCAGTTGTTTTGTCAGACTGCGTTATGGCATAAGCAACGTTGGATGAAATAAGGTAAAAGATACAATTACATTGGCTATTGCCACAAAAGAAAGTGTCATGCATTAATTAGCTCTGAACATCTTCTTACGCGCCTGGGAGATGCGCTCATGCACATGCATATAAAATTATAAAATTATATATATGTATATATAAATTATAACAAAATAAAGTTCCTTTACACTGCCCAAGATGGATTGGAAAAAGAGCAAAGTGATGATGCACAAGGACAATTAGTTGCATTAAGTATTGAAGGATTCTTTCCTCGTAAGATCGCAGAAAAAGTGAGAATTTCAAAAGGTGGTACGCAACTAAACTTGGAGAGGTTCGAAGAAACTAACTCCTACTCAAGCAAACATTTAGCTGCTTCGGTCATCTCATGCATGCTGAGTTTGGCAATATTGAAAGATAGAATAGGATCGTAATTAAAGAAAAATATCATCCAATTCTTCAAGGACATGAAATTTCATCTGGTACAAAGATGATCGCGCGTCTAACTACATGATAATCACCCTTAGCACATGCACATCTTCTATGTGCCAGAAATCTTTTGGAAGCAAACTCGTTCTGGTGATCTCGTTCTCATGGCTTTCCACCTCAAATTCCAGATCTAAAACCTATGGAGCACTTGTAGAACCGTTTTAACCGGAAACGGGCAAGGCACAGACCCACCAGCCAGGATGACTTAAGGCAAGTGGTCAACAAATGCTGGCAAGGTATTTAACGTGTGACATTCAAAAACCATTGGAATCTATGCCAGCAAGAATAAAGGCTGTTTCAAGAGCAAAAAAGAGGGATATACTAAGCATTGACATGTAGCTAATGCATGTTTGCACTTTAACATACGTTAAATGAATATCATAACATCTCATAGTTGTTGTACAGCATGTATTTTTCAGTTTACTCATTTACTTTTTTCTAGTTCACTTATCAGTAAAGTTTTTTGTAGAATATTAATATATGCTGCTGAAACAATGAAACACATAATACATATATATGTTATTAAATATTAAATAGAGATGCCAAACATGCAGGCTGTTTGCTTTCACCGTGAGAAACTGAGACATGGAAAATATCTATAGGGCCTCAATCTACACGCTAGACGTAGTCTGAAATTGATTTGAAAATCGAAAAGTAAATTGCATTTAGAAACTTCCATATAAATGGAAAACTGAACGAAAAATGCAATATGGTACTGTAACATGGTACTGCAATTAATCCTGCATGCATGGGATATTAATGTTATAGTATTAAAACGAGTATTCATATTTTTAATTCTCCAACCTTCACCGAACTGGTAGGTCGTGAAGCTACGGAGGTAGTAGATGAGACATGCATAAATGGATGATGGGACAGTGGTGTTTGAAGATGCTGTGTTATAGTTAAACAGCTCACTAAGCAAGTTAATCGGGTAACAGTTGGAAACACCCCGCTGCTTCCGCCAGGTGCAACAGATATTTTTTGTGCTGGAAGTTGAGGATTAATATCAGGAACAACTATTACCTTGGGAACAGTTTTAGGGGGACTTTCCGGTGCCGCTAGTACTACCTGGGGGTTCGTATGCGCCGCCGCCATGGGTTCGCTGATAGGCACGATGACTATCTGTTGTGGAGTTTTAGCCAAGGGCGTCAGGTTCCCAGCCGTTCCCGTTTCCTTTCCTATACAAAGCAGATATCATAATGAAGTAACACGCAAAACAATAAACGGCAGACCGCTAGGAAACATAGGTCGTTTCGAAGCTATAGGAGCCATTCCTTAAAATTGGTTGGCCTTCAGCCAGTCAGGAAAACTAGGTTATTTTACAAAGCTATATAATGTGAACTACAACGCTGACGTTACACATTAACCAAAATAGTAATCTATATTTGGTGTTTTTGCATTTAGTACAATCCTTAGTATCCCACCTTAGCATTTAAGAGACTGAAAATGAACGATTTGCCGGAAACAGGGCTTGAAATGCAGCAAAAAAGGCATGTCTGATGTTTTACACCTTTGAATATCTGCTTCTAGAGCGTGAAATAATTGCTAAACTCACTGTACCACATTTTTTGCAGTGCCGTACTGACTTGTGTATCAGTAGATCCTAATGTGTACCTGCAGAAGTGCCTGTTTGGGAACAAGTCACACCCACTTCTGACTGTTTTTACCTGCTTGTTGAGAATTCGCGCCCCCTTGTGGACCATTCGCACCCCCTTGTGGACTATTCGCGCCCCCTTGTGGACCATTCGCACCCCTTTGTGGACCAGGCTTTTTTCCTTGCTGGTCCGTCGAAGGCTGTTTGCTCTGTCCAGGATTTGGAGAGGTCTCCGCTTTCTGTTTCGTAGCTCTACTTGGAACCACACAAGTTTTGTTACTTTCATAAACAAACTTGTTGTTCTGAATGTTGTCGACTTTTAGTTCACCCATCAACAATTTGTAACTCTCCTCATTCGCAACTACGTCAATGCAGGACGACGGAACCTTTCCTTAAAGTGTCAAAAATTATCTGCTATTTTTTGGGAGGATAAAGATTAAAGATCTAAACGAGAGTCGGGGTACCCTCGTTAGTAGCAGTTTTGGTAAATTTAATTCGCGCTTGTAGTCTGTAATATGTTAGAGAAATTTCAATGGCTTCAATGTTCAAAAGTCCAAAATAGTCAAAAAGACGTCTCTCACTGTATTTATACCAGCCATAAAAAAACGCTGCCGGGTGCGCTTGTCAAGAATTGACAGTATAAAGAATTACACTCGCACTAGGGGTCACGGGGACTTTGGGAATATTAAATTTAGATATAACACTCTTGTATATATATATATACAGGGTGTGCCAAAAAAATGAAAACTATTGAAATCAGTCATTGTTAAAATTTGAATGCCGTGTTCATGCACGAATTTCAGCCCGTGGGGATTTAATGCAACTTATAAACTGCTAAAAGCTTTGTGTTGCAAGAGAAAGGGGACATGTCGAAGGTCATGGTCCTTGATATACACATTTAAATATTGTTATCCATATTTGTAAATTGTAAATATTGTTAATAAATATCATTTTTGCGAACAAGCAAATTTTACTGCATCATATGCATGCGTAAAAATGAGTATGGTAAACATTTATACACCTGTGGGTCCCAACAGAGTGCTTAGGCATTCAAACTCTAACAATTGCATTGTTATGGGTGATTTCAATAGTTTCCGGTTTTTTTTGGGACACCCTGTAGTTCGGATTCACTTGTCTTGGCCTTGAGCTTGTGCGTTCTTGACTTCTTGTGTAAACAATATATACATTCAAAACTATGGTGTAGATCGGCTATGATTTTATTGGAAGAACCTACGCATTCTTATGATCTCATTATCGTCGTAGTAATTGACACAACGCAAGATTTGGTATTTCGAGTGACGAACGAGACAGCGCTTATAGACCTTTTAGATGAAAGACGCCATGCATCTTGCAAGATGGTAGTAAAAAGATAATGAGAAATCGTTGCTAAATAAATAATATATCCGTATTGGAAAACAATTACTCTGTGACGTGACGCACAGTATTGTATATATACTTACTCAGTTCTTTTACATTATCTGCAAATCCTCCATCCATGTTTCCTCGCGGGTAATACTCCGCTACGACAAAAAAATTCCCGTCAGCTTGTCCTTCTTCGCCCATCGCAAATGCTTCAGTCGCACTCCACACCATCGCCGTGAAGTGACCTGCATATATAGATATAGTGCATAAATTAATCTCTCAGTTGCAGTGACTAGAATAGGATTTCAAAAGAAACTGGGTGCCGGAATATCACATCAACATGAATAGTCCAAGCGCGATGTTAAGATAAGTCAAGGGTCAGGAAGGATAAGATTTTATTCACCGGGGCCGGTTGTAGCTATACCAATGCTGGATAACTACCCGCGAAGATGTTTTCATTATAGGAGTATCACACAATGATATACTATATAAACTAAGAATAATAGTACAGCACTAGTAATAAAAGAGGAAAGGAGTAAAAAAAATATCTTTGAAAATTTTTAAAAGTTCAGGAGTTAACTTATGAAGTGAAAGATATTAAGTTATTGGGTTTCAATAATTTTAATCATGCAACTATTACGGTTTGTTTCTTCAATATAGTAATTTTCAACTTTTAGGGGCTGTTTACATGAGCCCGGTTACCCGAGATTCAACGAAGCGTGAGATGATTTTGAGATTTTCTTTTAAAATGTGACAGTTGACAAATGTGACAACCAAAGTGGATTCATTGGACCGAGCACGGTTGAAAAAGGCAAAAAATTCCATTCGATCAAAAATCTCCGTCTATTGAAAACATATACCATGCATTACCTGTTCCTTCTGAATAAACCGACTTATTAAAATCATAATCTTTTATTTCATTATACCAAAACACGACCGCTTTCAAACATCCGAGATCAATGTCTTCATGTAGAGACGTCTGATATATATTAGAACCAACGGTAGTAGATTCCCTGTGCTCCATTTTCTGGAACGTTGTAGAAGACAACAAATATGATTATATAATATATGGCCTGTCAATGAGAGTTGGAAGATGCTGAAACATCAATTTCCTCTTCCACATAATTATATAGCTTTAGTATATATTGAAAAAGTAAGCTTTTTAAAATCTTGTGGGTGCGCATTGGCTGGGGGGAAGGGGGTGTTGCTGCCTCCTTGCATACGACCGACGAATTCAATTTTTGTGATCTCAGATTCGGAACTATAGGCCGTTACTTAAGAACGTGTTACACTCTGCAATTTTTCGTGCAACTTTCCAATCCAATTTAACCTGATTAAATTCGCTTTAGAATTATCTGTGACGCCATTCCGTGCGTCTGTCCTTTTATAGATTAAGGCTCTCGGCGATGAAATTGCTTGAATTCTTAACGATATTATACAAAGCCGTGATGTCTTGGCATTATTTCCTTTCTCGTCGGATTATGTCGCTGTTAAATAAAATTTAAACTCCTTTTTCCATCTTTCCCAATTCTCGCTTAGATTCCCTTCAAAACTCAACTCTTTTGGTGGGTTAAATTTCCTCATTTTGAGTATTTATTTAGACTCCTATAACCCCATTTAAAGTCATGAATTTCAATAAATTTATTCTCATATCCAATCCGTATATGTGTATCTTATTTGAGTCAGACATTAACTTAAATAACACAACGTCAGCATGCAAAAAATAATTACATCGATCACGTTTTCATTTAGCAATCAGGCTTAAAAGGTTAATTGCGTTTTTTGGGATACCTAGTGTAACCATTGTTATCAGCCACACCAACCACCCTGTGATAATTTGAACACTAACCTGAATTGTGCTCAGATAATCCGCCGACGCCTGGCTACGATGTTCCAATAGATCACTCCACTTTAGCGGAGGGGAACCATGAACAATGCGTAGAAAATTATGAAAATACGTACACATAGTCGTAAACTTATCCTGGTTCCAACGCTTTGACGCTGAAATCATATAGCAAGACTGAGAAAAAATGGACATCAGAAGTCGTCAACACTTGTCGCACCGTGACATGCAAAATAATCATCTTTAAAGAGCACCGGGGCTGGTTTTGAAAGGCGTTTAGCTTATCTAAACACTACACAAAAAGAAAGTTCCTTCTCGACGCGCCAGACGTTCTTTATATATTTTTTTTTCGACGCGCCAGGCATCTCCATCCGTAGAAGAAACAAAGCTACATCCTTATACTCTTATCACTCAAAAAAATCTAGGTTTCTTCTCTTTTATGTGCGTTTTTAAAGCTGTTTATTTTGCGCACCTGTATAGTAATTTATATACAACGCGGCGAAAGTTGTCCGAGAATATGCAAATTTCGTCACGTGACACTATCATATTGCTCATCGCAATATCCGCGTGGATTAAGACTCAGCCATCCACATGCAAGATGTATGAGTATTTTTAAACTGTCATGACTTATCCACCGCTTAGGCGGCTTAGGCAAAATGCCTTTAGAACAACTGGTCCCAGATTGCCACAGAAAAACAAAAAGGTTTAAAGTAATAAATTTACTAAATTTTTCGAATACTGTTTATTATCTTTTATGTATATATCAGTTCCATCACCACATGGTGACCTTCCACTTTTTCCGATTACTTTGAAAACAAAACAGCAGAAATCTCAAATTTTTACATCACATTTGCATAACATGCATATATGAAAAATTTTCCGACTCACCCTGACTCTCCGTATCCGTGGGCAAAGCCGGCACTAGAACGTATTACGTATACATATTTCATTGTCACATATAGTGAGAAGCAAGTGTTTTAAAATAAAATCATGCGGGCATAGAGCAATAATGCATGAATACTCCCCTGAAGTAAGCTTCCAAATCGATACCTGAAATCCGGTGCCGGATGTGATTGGTTTGCAAAAACATTCGCCGCAAAATAGTAGAAACGCTTCCGACTTTTTATATGTTCGCGCGAATAAATTCGCCTAATGGTGTTTTGTTATATAGGAACGAAAACATAAATGTTACACTACAATTTCATTTAAAAAGAAACCCACTTTACTTTGTTATGACAAGAAGCGGGCAACAATTTTTCACTTGTTCCTCTGTCGGGAAACATTGGTTTTATTTATTAAAGTCATTTTGACTACGAATGAACCAATCACATTTAGAATACAAAGCACCTATATAACAACGCAGCAATATTTGCGGCCAACGTATATATTTATAACGCATACAAAGCGTCCGGATGGAGTACTCAATGCTTATATATTATACACATTGGCCGCAAATGAATAGATAATATATAGATACTGGAAATCTAATAAGAATTGCATATGTTGCCTGTATATAGTATGATAATTGGCGCGACTTATTGCGGGAGGAATCTTTGCTAAGACCTCCTGAAACCATTTCGCTAAACAAAACATAATTCCAATTGATCGCTTCTATATTGTATTCGTAATAGTAATTTTAATGTAAAATACTTAACTCAGGACGTGTACATGCAATTACGCTAATTGATTGTAAGGTTTGATTGATATATATTATGTACAGCTGTTTAAATTAAAAATGAAATGGTTTAGACATAAACATACCAACACGCTAATAAGTCGCGTCAATTATAGATTACACATATTACATAATATATAAATATCGTTATTTTGAATTCGTGAAAATGTGTATGCACCAATTTTTGAACTGCTTTGAAAATATCAAAAGCTATTGACATGGCACCCCGCCGGATTATACATACCTAAAGAACACAAGTACAGCATCGATAATGCGAAAAGCTTTAGTTGAATGAACATGTTGTAGACAATATCATAGTTTCATTTTATACGCTATATAGAGTATGAATTATAAGATTTAAAATGTTAATGTAAAGAAACATCGAACTTTTATATATTTTTAGCAGGTTTCGTATATTGTTATTTTTACGCTATCGTTACGACAGTGTTGCACCTGTTTACTCACAGCATGACGCGTGCATGCACGCCTTGATTTTGCAATTGGCAATTGTTAATCGGATATTTTATCAGACTGCATGCATGAGGCATAAGTAACGTTGCATGAAATATATAAGGTAAAGATAAAAGGACACGTTTAATCACATTGGCTATTATGCCACAAAAGAATTATAGGAGTCACGCACTGAACATCTTCTTATTCGAGAGATGCGCTAACGCTAGTACATCGCATATCTCAGTAATTATGTTGTGTTCCAAGAGTCTAATATGAACACGAGTCATACGGGAGAAAATTACTGTAACAATAAAATAGATAGATAATTTAATAGTTTCACCCACATTGGTTTTTTCGGAAGTTACAAAAATCTTCGCATATTTGTGCTATAATATAAACCATATATTTACAAATATTAAAAAAACCTACTAGTTTGATATTTAAAAAAACCTACTAGTAAGACTAACTAGTAAGATTATGACAGTAAGTAATCTTTTCAAGGGATGTGCATCCTTAAGTTGTTTTTCAAATTATTCCAGATCACAGCGCCTTGTCTTTATATAGCTGTATGAAAATGACAGTCTGCTCCCATGCCTCCGTTTGTACCCACCACTAAAGATGTGAAAGTTCCCATTTCAACATCCATAACTCTCTGATAGTATTTCTTTTTCTTCTCACTTTCTTGCTCTCTGAAGATCGTTGCAGTTGGCTTGCCCTGGTTAGACCTGGAGTTGACATGTGTAACACGAACGTCAAAAAATGTTGTCATACCCGGTGTCCAGAACCCCCCTGCCCACATATCTAGTCTCCCTTCTTGACCATGGCCAGTGACTGTAGTGATTGCAGATTTAACACTTCATTATCCAGTGGTTGTAGTGATAGCTTACTCTCTACATATATATATATATATATATATATATATATATATATATATATATATATATATATATATATATGTATAGTTCTTCCATATGCTCCTGTGCTGGGTTTGTAAAGCTTTGAGCAACAATAACATCGACGTGTAAAGCCGTTATTTCTACGGAGGCTTTGAATTGCTCTGCTGCAGCACTTCTCAGATTAGAAATTCCTTATCCGCTTGTGCAGGAACCAGTTCTTTATAATTTTATATATAGAGTTTCTAAAAATATAAACTGTTCCACTCTTTCAATCCACAACTTACTACAGCAGACCTCCTCACAAATGAATGAACGAACAAAGAATGTTATTCGAAATTGTTTTTCCTTGGAAGTAGGAGCACGTGCGGATAATTGCAAGCCCTTTCTGTTGAGCGGACCATGTATCAGGGGGTGCATGGGTAATGTTTTTATCATTATTCGACAATCATCATTTTTTAGATTTTCCAGTTTATATAAGGCAATAGATGCATGATCTATAGAGACGTGGCAGACTTCAAAAGTGTCAAAAAGAGCGTCAAAAAGAGGGGTTTCTGCTAGGAGGAAATTTTTCGATTGAATGAAATTATTTTTCCTGACTTTTAAAATGTGACAGTTCAACCGAAGTGGATTCTCATGATTAAGAACTATAGGCCGTTCCTTAAGGACGCGTGTTACACGCCGCAATTTTTCGTGCAACTTTCCAATCCAATTAAACCTTTTAAGCTTTGTTTTGTTATATTATATTTTACGAAAGACAATGGACTAATATTCTTGCAATTTTGCATGGTGATAGTGTCACAATAGTGTCCCAAAAAAACGCAATTGGCAATTCATTGCCAACTTTAGTCACTTTTAGTAGTAATAGTAATCAGTACGTTTGATAAAGTACGCATTAATTATATCATTTAATGTATAAAGAAAAATCGAACTGTTATATATTTTTAGCAGGTTTCTTATTATTTCAATAGTTTCACGCTATCGTAACGACAGTGTTGCACCTGTTTAATGACTGTGCATGCTTAATTATATTTGTTTCATTTTTGTCAGACTGAGGCACAAGCAACGTTGTATCAAATAAGAATTGTACGCTGAACTTGAAACTGAACGTCTACATGACTTGAGAATTTAAGCTATATGCATACATTATACTTGCATTGAAAATTTCACTCCATATAAATCAAGAGGATCCCCGGCCGGCATATAAGGCTTCCAACGTTAATTTTAAAGAAATAAGCCAAGTTCGTTCTGCGCATCCACATCGGTCCTAGGCCTGCTCACAACAGATCCTGTAAAAATTGTTCAAATTTCGCATTTTCGGGTTTTTCTAAACATAAATTATTCACTATAGTTTATTTATATTTTTCATGTATGCCTGTTTTCCACTTCACCCGTACCGTAACGACACGTAACGTATATCATTATTTTCAGGGCACTCGCGGATAGAACTAATGACTTTGAAACAAAGAAATACGATACGGTTGAAGTAGAAAACAGGGCTTAGAAGCGTTGCGAACTGTATCATTTTAAAAAGTATAAAAGCTCGAAATGTAAACAAACCGTTTCATTTACATATATGGACTCGATTTTTACATGTTTGTAAATTTATGTTTGCAAATTTTGCGAACTCGCCTCAAATATTGCCACCTAGTTCAACTCCAGAACAAATATATTTAAAGCTAAATAAAAGCAATTCCATCGTTTTAGCGTTAAAATGTGGTTAGACGACCATTTTCCATGGTTGGGCTTTTTGGTTTTCAAGTAAATGCGGTAACTGCACATTCGTACAACACCATGCACAATTCTTTTTTACTAGGCATCACTTCCCTTGTTAAACAAGTGAACACGTTTAGGTTCCAACACGTGTGTGTCGTGTGTTGCATGGGAACGATGTGATTATGAATTTGCATGTGATTATGAATTCCTTTTAATATTTCAGACTTTAATTACGTGCTGGGTCGGTCTAGTAGCGATAAACAAGCCTTCGCCCAACCTCGTACCCATGCAGCATTTTTTGGCCATCGCCATTGAGGAATAGATCGCTTGTTTAAAGAGGCTATAATTATATAGATTTTCGATGAGTTCTGCATGTCAAATAACTGATGTAGTATATTGCTGGTATTATACTAGATATCGATGACATTGTTTAGTATCTGCATGTTTAATTAATGCATGCTTCATCCATAATCCATTTTGCTACTTTACTATACAGTCTACAGCTAAACAGAATTTGCATTTTAAGCTAGTTATATTCCCGATACACCTGCTCTGTATATGCAATTAATATTTTGGCTTGGATACTGATCTGAGGAATATGTCAATGTTACGAAACGAAGCTAACTTTTCCGAAGTGTTTGTCTTCGCCCAATACTTTCTTCATATTTGATCGTTGGAAAAGATATTGGAGATAAAATTCCCGATGAAACAGTTGGCAGTACTTATGTGTTGCCTCTGCTTTTTAATCGCGATCGTGACAGGTAAAATTATCTTCATTTATATATTGTCGTTTTAAATGTACATCTATTTGTTGAAAATAAATATATATCTCAATTTTCCGACTTATTCAGCAATTGCTTTTGTAAAATGTTGTAATTTTTACAGCTATATATACGGAGTTTCATTTCGTCAATGTTACCTATAGTCTAATTCTGACATCTATAGCTATATATATTCTATCGATACTGAAGAAAAAAATCATTACTACAATGTTCTAACTAATGCATGCATGCAACTCATACATATATGCATGTGTATTAAACGTCAATTTTTATTTTTTATTTTCTAAGATGCCAGCAAAGTCATTTATACTTTTATATTTTTATATGCACGTACTTGCCTACGTTTTGGCTACAAAATATAAACGAATCAGATATATCATGCATTTCGATGCATAAAAATGTTTGATTTTAAAACCGCCGTAAAGACGAACGATTAGTCATTCGTCGGTTTGACGGCCATTAGTCATTACTATGGTTGTCATAGCGGCACGGAGTTCCAGTTATTTTATTCTGCATGATTCGCGACAACATAACAGGAGTCTATGCTTCCTTTAAAAATTAAAAACTTAATTCAGGCTAGACTCAAAACTGAAAAGGTTTTCTCATTTACAAAGATTCCGTCTCTTCCAAATTTCAAATTTCTTTTAATATATGCATGCATGTAAAGTATAATTTATATATTTAGAAATATTTCGGCCATGTATAGAATCGACTTCTGCAATTCGTATTGAATGCATTGTAACAGTATGCATCAACCATTGCCCTTTTAGAAGCATTCCTATGTATATAATCACCAGACACAAGGTCAAGATTACATTCACGGCCTGTTGTTCTAGCCAAGTGCCTTAGTAACATTGATATATATATATAGTTATTATCATTGTTATTGACACGTCAGAAAGGTTGACGTTGTTTGGAGGCTTATGAATTCGAGTCCCTGTGGGCTTGCTTATTTAACAATGATTGAATGAGTCTGAATGACGTTGAACAAGAAATGAATAATTATCAAACCAAAAGCTAATAACGTCAGAGTCTTACTAATGCTTCATGCAATTTGAAACCAAAATTTAATTATTGTTTCAGTATTGATTCGAAAGAATGTGGGAGCACTGCAACTTCGTTCTTTTCCGCTCCTTGTAGAAAAAAGTCGTATAGAGCGTGAGGATGATTCATTATTCTGATATTAACCAATCTAGGCCTTGAATTCTTCCAAAAAAATTAATTAATTTATGACAAAAGTAAATTGCGCTATCTGATTGGCTGACTGCACGTGCATGGTCATTACGCTTTTTCATCACGCATGTTGGGCTGCTATAAATACTAAATAAAATTCAAGACAATGAATGCCACCAGCAGTAAGTGCCCAGAGATCCCTAGCAGCCTTATAGACAGAAAAAAACTGGCGCCAAAACGCTGCTGCTACAAATAAACCTCGCTAGCTTGTACAGCAAGACCTTCGTCTGATATACATTTTTTTGTGGATTCTCTATATGTAATTATAAATGAGAATTTTACTCCAGAGAAGTTGGTTGCATCCGGTTTAGAGCCCAAAGGTCGTTGACCTATTGTGTATTACTATTTATTACTACCGAAATTAGTATGCGATAACCCAAGTTTTTAAGTACGCCTATATATACTCAATAACGATACTGAAAATCGCTATAAAAAAGGTTTTTTGACATGAATCTTGTTTTTTTAGCTAGTGGCCAAGAATTAAGGCTTCTAACACACGTGTTCAACGAAAGCCGATACGACAAGAGAATTTTACCGAATATGAAGCAGAGTGGACCGGTGGATGTTATTGTCGGACTAACAATTTACCGCATTGAAGATTTGGTAAACAACATATTTCTTCAAATTTTCATTTTGTTAATGATAAATGGTGATTTGTTTTTAATTAACTTCAAATTGTGCACATCATAATATGCTGGTATGATAATAGAATGGATTAAGCAAAATGCCTAATCAAAATACTACCTCTCGGAAGTTGCTATGCTACTCAAAATACTACATGCTGGGAAGAAGACTTAAATGATGCATGAAAACTTGGTTACTTAGAAATATCAAGTCTATCCTGCCCTACACCAGCAGGATTTTTTGTCCTTTTGTTTGTAATCCTGTCGATCGAGGTGTAAAAGAAAAGGTTGACTCAAACACTTTTGACCAAAATGTATAAAATGATTTGCTCCATTTTCATTCACAGTACAAAAAATTTTTCTATGGCACATGATTTATACAGCGAGAGGGAGTACTCTTTCTCATCATACAATTTACAGTACCATGCATCCATGTAACATCATGCAAAAGTTGGTTGATTTTTTTATACCAGGTTGAGAAAGAACAGCAGCTCGTTACACACGCAGTACTTCACCTGGTAAATTGCAAATACATATATTGTATAGTTTTCCTTGAAAGAATCTTATCATGCAAGTATATATTTGAGTGGAAAAAATAAAAACTTTTTTCCCTAATTTTTTTTTGTAGTCAAGATATATGTGTATGAGTGAACTTATTTTTTCTTATCCACCCATAACTCTGTAGACTTGGAACGACCCACATTTAGGCTGGGAGAAATCAGAATTTGGTGAAATTGAAAATATCACAATAGATAATGGTCAAATATGGATACCAGATATCGTGCTGTATAACAGGTATTATTATTCACTGTAGATACAATCTCCGTTTTGATTGGTTAACCACCTACAAAATTATTCCTGGTATTTGTAATTGTGACGTCAAATTCACAAATAATTCTAGGTATTCTGTAATGGTGACGTCTAATTTATTAATTTACTAATTTATTCGCAAAAACAAATATTGAGCATAAACAAGCCGTAAACATTCCGACAACAAATTTGTCAGTCGTATTTCAATAATTACATTAAATTTTCAAAAATGGTACTTTATAGACTTCTTCCTGTTCTTCGAGCCTTTCAAATATAGCATCCGGTATACACTAATCAGACTTGAAATTATTGAAATATGCATGGCCAGGCAAAACATGCACTTAAATTGCATGAAAATGTTAAACAAGGTTGGTCTTGATAAGAAATAACAGAATTTTTGTGTTAAGTAAATTATGTCTATCGCCATTAGAACAACATACTATATATTTTGTTGTCGGAAACAAAGTTTGGTCCGATCCAGAATATTTAGTTATATAAGCAAGTACTTTTCATATATTGTATCTTTAACTTAATAGGTTCAAGTATTCAATTATAAATAACCTTCATTAGTGAGATTCATAATTGTATATATAAATGTAAAAAATGTTTAAATAAAGTTTCCACTATTATTATTATTATTATTAAAACATCTTTAAAGATACACGGTAACTAATCAATCGTTTTCCAATTTAATTTCTTTAAAATATTACTAGAACATATCTCGTATGAGTCACCAGTTATAATTCTCGCAGATCACGGTTTTGAAGTTTCTGAATTCTGTAGCTTTGCTTTTAAATATTCGCCACAGTTACCCCAAGTCATTGAGCGATAAATGAAGTGTGATAGCACTATAAAGCTTGATAAAGATATGTAAGAGTTTTTAGGCAGAAACATAGGGTTTCGCACGACGAAACACGCCAATACCCTTTAAATCTTTTTACTGATGTCGTCAATTTGTTTATCCAAGCAAAGATGTTCATCAACTAATGAACCTATACGGCTTTTTTGGTTTCAACCTTATTTAATTACTTTCCCATCGATAGAAACATTGACGTCTTGTAAAAGGTTCTTTAATCTTTGTCGTGTTTCAAAGATCATATTCCGTTTTCTCCACATTTTAATTTTATTCTCGACATTTTAAGAACGAAGTGTTAACGAAGTTAAGTTAAAATTATCACGTCTTTTGAGAAAGCCCTTATCCTACTTTCATAGTGCGAACGAAGATTATTCATCTAGACGGCTGGGTCGAATGCGACCTATCATTCATCACACCGGAAATGTGACACTAGACTGCCCTGTCGTACTGTATACTCTGTGCAGGATTGACGTCGCCGACTATCCAATGGACCGACAAAAATGTAATCTTGTTTTTGGATCATGGTCACATCGTTCGACCGAAGTCAGAGTAACAAGCCAGGTATATAGACAATTAACATTGAAACTTAGCACCGCGTTTGCATAGTTAATAACATTGTCACTGCAGATATATACTAATAAACCCGAGCAAGTTAAAATATTTTGCGCGTACGCGTATAATGCTAAAAAGTATAAGGGCTGTTTTCCATTTACGCTTTTAAGTCTAAATCCTTATAATTATGTAATTATCATTTGCGTAACAACAAAGCGACTGGGGACGAGTCAGCAACACGAGCGGGCTTTGCCGCTGGGAAAATTATGAAATTTGATGCCCGTTGCTATGCCTTCCCTATATAGCAACGCGATCCTGGAAATCAAAGGAAAGTGGCGAACATGTATATTTTTGAGAATAAAAAATTTTTCTACCGTTTTTGAAGTTAATTTTATATTGTTTCATATTCTAATCTATACATACATAATAACCGCTCATAACGGCGGTCTCGGGTCAACAAAACACACTGTTTCGCTCGGCGTCAGTAAATTAGCGTTTATTATGAAATCAATGATTGAATAGATGCATAGGGCTGGATTCTTTTGAGGATTTACTGTGTTTTCTCTGGCGTAAAACTTATTGCATGTACAACAACTTAGAAAGTTTTAGGTTTTTACGTGCGTGTGCGTACGTGCAAAAAACGCGATAGTGGAATCAGCATTAAAAAAAGTTACCCAAAATAAGCGATGACTATATATGCAATTTTACGGTTATTTTTATAGCCAAATAAATTCGATCTCAGTCGCTATATCGACAATGGTCAATGGAAAATCATTGGAACGACCTTCGAACAGCATTTGCAACTTTATGACAACAGAAGCAAAGGATTTTACGACGTCACGTTTGAAATCTTCCTGTGTCGACGTGTGCTGTATTACGCGATGTACTTGATAATACCTGGAACGTTAATAGCTCTGCTGTCGGCAATCATATTCCTTCTTCCCCAAGACTGCAGTGAGCGAATAACCGTAGGTAAAAACTGCATTTTAACTTCGAAAAATGGAATTTGCATGGCTAGCTGTATTATTGTCGTTGCAATGCCACCTTACGAAGCATAAAATGACTTGGAGGTATTGAAATGGGTAAATAACATGATTCTGGTAGTCGTGCAGTTAGCATTGCTTGCTTTGTTTCAAAAATACTTATTCTGATACCTCAAGATCGTCTTAGGCTTTGTTAAATCTTGGGCAACCGGGCTCATATGAACAACTACTTAGAGTTGACCAATTCATTTCAATTCATGTGATGTTTGAAGGTTAATGATCAAAAGTCAAAACTACTAAAAAGGTGTCCATTTTGAGTTTTGACTATCCAGAGGTGCACGCAAAAGACATTTTATTATTTACTGTTCATGTCGAAATATATTTAGGGACCGTTATGCAGGCAAGTCGAAATAGGGACTTGCAAGTCTTTAATTATCACATTAATATGGCGTACTTTTTGCAGTATATATTGGTAATAGGTTGTCCTTTAATAGGCTTTATTAATCTTTAAACGCTAACTTTAAACGCTTTAAACGCTAAGCGCGCAGGGTATATAGTCTGATGAGTTAAACAAAACTTATCATGGTATAAACTATAATAAACGTGACCAATATTGATTGGATTGAACAGTAAAAAGGTAGTAAAATAAAAGTCATGGCGTACGGTGACAACCAGCGCAAACCAACGCTATCAATTCATGACGAAACATGACCATAGTTGGATATAGAAATTATTCTTACTATAAACATTATTGCTAACAATACCTTCGTACACGTGGCAGCTTTCAAAAGCATCATGACAGTCTTCTTTTTGATCGCAGTCGCGCTAGGTTTGCTTCTTTTAGACTTCGAGTGATTATTCAAAAACTTTATGTACATGGTGTATAAAAAAAGTACCCCCTAATATCTAGATCGAGCTTTTGCTAAACTCGCGGATGCATGCATGCTTAAAAGCGAGAGGCTCAATATGAATACTTTAACCTGATTACCATTCTATTAACAGTGCAATATACAGGGTGTATAAAAAAAAACGCAACCACTTAATATTCTAAAATTCATATTGTTTATAAGCTCAATAGATTTTATGCCCCTGGGATTTTAAAATGGCTTCTAATCGTACAGTTCAACTGCTAATGGTCAAATCAGCTAAACTAATAATGGTGTAGCTAACAACCGAACAACGAGTTTTTATTGTCGTGCACGGATAACTTGAATGTTAACTGTCGACCTTGTAAGATAAATTGTAAATAAAATTTTACTCGTTAAATACTTTCAATTCAGCTCGTTGGTTTACGCACCCGACTTTGTTTACCAACGATTGTGCCGCTAGAATATGATTACAAGCTTTCTCGCATTCCAGGGGCCAAACGTCTTTTGTGTTGTAGAACAAAGAGGATATTCATGAATATTAAGTGGTTGCGTTTTTTTTGATACACCCTGTACAGGGTGTCCCAAAAAAAAACGAAAACTATTGAAATCACTCATTGTTAAAATTTGAATGCCGTGTTAACGAATTTCAGCCCGTGGGGATTTAATGCAACTTATAAAATGGCAAATCGACATGTATTCAAATTCCAACAGAAGCTTCATTTCAATAGGAGTACTTTTTTATACACCCTGTAAGGGGCTGTTTACATGAGCCCGGTTACCCGAGATTCAACGAAGCGTGAGAGGATTTTGAGGTATTGAGTCTTTATGACATAAGTCTTTATGACACCAAACAAGCACATGCTATTGTTGTGGTGATTATACGACTCAGGATCATGTTATTTGCTCATTTCAATTCCTCAAAATCATCTCACGCTTCGTTGAATCTCGGATAACCGGGCTCAGACAGAGTATTCAGACCGATACATAAAAACGTAGACTAAAAAGTATGAACACATGGTCGCTCGACTAACGAGGTATCGAACTACCCTCTAGATCTTTGCGTTATCAATTTCCGTTGGTTTTTATTGACAGAAAAGAAAACAAGAAATGCAATATTGTTTTCGAAGGAGAACAATTCGCACGAATTAAAATACAATAAGTCGGATCATTTATGTTCGATAACCAGGATGAATACATAGCTAAGCCAAATATTGTTATTGGCGGCCTTTAATTCCTTTGTTTTGAACAAAGAAAACAATGACTATGTTATTATTATTTGGCTTTTTTATTCAGAAATCTACCAACCATAGATTATACTAATAAACAAGATTTTTATGCGCATAATCACACATACCTATAAAAAACAAAAATCCGATTAACTCCGCCAAAACAATATCACTAATGCATGGAACATCTCAAGTTGGAATGAGGAAAAAAAACAATTCGAATTTCATTTCTACTTTTTCGCGGCGAGTTTTTTCGCAAGTTAATCACATCACTGGATTCCAGATATCGCTTCGCGTCGCGCGAATGAATTCCCCTAGTGCAAAACCGGCTTTCCATTAGGCGGAATTTTGCGCGCTTTCATGCAGAATTAATGTGAGACAATTAAACGCAGACAGTCGGCGATCTCTATTATTTTGTTGTTTGTTACCGATGCATGAAATGCTTTGTCCGTAGAGAAAAGTTTTTGACTTCATTGGTGCGGATCAACAATGAACCGCAGAGAGTCGCCGACTGGCTGCGATGATGAAAACCTGCCGGCAAAATAAAATGTTTTGTATTCCAACTTAGATACTTTTCTCGCTTTAGGGATGGCGATCTTGGTCGCGCTTTCCTTTTTCTATTTGCTTGTGTCAGAGACCATGCCTGCGTCGGGGAAAGTTTCCGTGGTTGGGGAATTTTATGCTGCGACGATGATTGAAATGACAATATCGTTCTTTCTCAATGTTCTCATTCTGCGGTTTCACCATATGACGGAAGAAAAAGTCCCACGTTGGGTCAAGGTGAGCGCAAACGACTCGTGATTTTAATTTTAACTGTGCACGAGTGTCGAGAATCTTGGGAATGAATCTGAGTTGCTACTAATAGTATTTCTCCCAGGTGGAATTCTGGGCCCCTCCTGAGAAGATTCATTCTAAAAAGAAGCGAATCTTTGTATGAAAAACCAAAGTGTATGAACTATGATGATGAGCTGTCAAAAGATTGCAGGATGAACTTTTTAAACTTTGATACTTTGAACTTTCATAGCGATACAGAAATCCACAATTGTGAACCATGCAGTGATTAGATTTTCGGACTGAAGCTTCATAAACACCAATTTCTGCGGCGTTGGTGCATGCAGATCGATATGATTTGCGGATATAATTATATGTAAAATGGCCATAATTTACGGATAAATTGCTGATTATTCCTTCGTTCAATACTTTAGAAATATATTTTAAACTACGGCGCAAGATTCCTAAGAATGACGTTTCGCATTGACTACCAACAACTCAAAATTCGACCATCACACAAGATTATGAAGAAGAAGCAGATCCTTATGACCCGAAAACGTAAGAACTACATTATGCTTTGAATCTATTTGCGTATGTGTAGTAAAAATTTGCGTAGGCATGCATATATAATCAAAACTAATTAGAAAGGGTTTTTTTTCGTCAATGGCCATAATTAAAATATTTTCGTTGAGAAATATGTTTAATTTAATTTCGCGCCAAGATCTGCATGTAACACAACGTTTGTTCGTTTCTACAGAGGACTTCTACCGCGTTGTAGACGAGGAGGTGGATCGAAAGCTTTATGATGAGATGATAGCTGATGACAAAGCTATTGCAGACGTGATCGAAACAGAAATAGAATTAGCAGAAAGAGACGCCGAGTGGAAGAAGGCAGCCGAAGTGTTAAATATCTACTCGCTTCTCATCCATATTCTCGTTGTAATATTTACATTTTGTTTCGTGTTCATCGACTCGAGTCCTCGCTAAATGAAATGCCGCACTTAGCTATGTTTAATACAAGAATATTAATAACATGGATCTGTCCATTCCATGCACTATAGCATCACGACCTCTATATAGGTTCTGAACATGTAATTGACAAAATTATTATCTAAAATTCTCATGTGACGTGCATGGTTATATTATCATCCTCGTAAACCGGACTAGCCTTGACCCTTGCTGATATTCAAACACACAAAGCCTCAACGATACGTAACGCTCATTATGATAACACAACTTATATAGAGTCATGTGAATCCTGTATTTTATGCACATGCAGTAGCTAATGTGTTCACGCACACATACATGCATGCATGCATGTACACAGATCACAATGAGTTTGTTGTATTACAAAGCATGCAATAAAAAAACCGGCACCATACCAAAAAATAGGATCAAACATTTTCTCCCGTTTTTTAACTCCTATACATACAGGTCATTGGAAGGCGAAGATTTTACAAGGGCAAAAGCTAGTATAGTGTAAAGTCGTCCACATAATAGACAACATTAGACCATAGTAGACAACATTAGATCATAGCAGACAACATTAGACCATATAGTATAGACAACAACACGAGTGTCAATAAGCTACGGGCTAAACTCGCTGGGAGTTAAGTATATTATATAAGTTGCGATCGAATGATAAAACAGTCAAAGTTAGGAAAATAAATTCAATAGAATAGGCAGCAAGGCTTTTGTAGCACCGTGCATGTTTATCTAAGTGCTTTGGCTTTGCATGGCTTTGTGGTTAATTTGAACCACGCGGTTCAAGACTACAGTCTATTTTTGCTCGTATATGAACATCTCATATACAGACATACAATATATAATACATATAACATTGAATAAATATTTCATGTATAAGATTATAGAGTTACATTTTTACACTCGCGACATCTGAATCGTTTAGAGTGAAGAGTCAATAAGAGTCAAGAGACATACTATATAGACATTCTTTTGCAATAGTTTCTTTCCACTCCGTAAAATATATACTTTAAGGATTTATATATATTATATAGCGATGTTGAAAACAAGATAATGATTTAATGTAAATACAGCTGCCAATCAAAGCATCTAACAGCAATCTGTTCTAAAATCTGCTCGGACCGCCCTGCACACCACGCTCAATTAATGTTTATACAATTTTGAACCAATAATATTCTTCATGCCGCCCAAGTGATTAACGAGTATTTGATAAGTTAACATTATGTTATTTCGGCTTGGAAATCGTATTATAAGTGAAGCAGCTTGCGCCGAGGGTTCAAAACTTCGTGTATTCATTAACGCGCGCAGAAATCCTTGAAGTCCGTATGTTTGGTCGAGCGGTTTGTCCCCATATTTTCCTTCTCGCTGCTGTACAGATTCTGCTACCAGTGCATTCAAGTTTACAGGTAAGCGCGGCTATAATTCCTACTTTTTTATCTGTCGACATGCCACCGATAATTGATTCGCTAAACATATATGTGTCCCTGATTTGAAAATTATAAACTTGAAAAAGCTTTCCATGAACGAACATGCATGTCAGCCGAATAACTTCAAACGCACGATAAATTACATTATTTCATATAATCCGCGGGAAACATATATTTTTTGTATAGATCAACTTACATTAATAAAAACAAAAAAGAAAATGACAAAATGAAATTTAAGAGATTTGCCATATATGAATACGTCTATAATGTATATAGCAGCAGATTGCGTGCACGGAAACAGCATGAGAATTTTCCATATGTGTGTTATATATATGTGTCAAATATATACATATACACTTGCAAGTTTGGGACAAGGTTGTGTCAATAACATTTAACAATCTCATACTTCTATATAATAAAAGTATACATAACTATAATACAGCTTTCATTGCATGTTTAAATAAGACGTGATTTGACTATACGAATAGTCAGATGCATGCTAATTCATTGTAAATTATAACTATAAACTTCGTATGACATGTAATTAACATATACCTAAAATAATACCTGAAAGTGTGAAAAAATCGCAGCTAAAAAGGTATGTAGCTACTATGTAGAACGTGCATGATAACACGTGTGCATGATGACAAGAAAAAAGCTCGCTGTTTCGACCTATACTCTTATAAGGGTTGTCAGGAGGGTTCATAGTATGTATAGGAAATGTCACATTTAAAGAAGCTGCCAACTCGCTTCTCTAGCTTTGTCGAATCAACAAATATAGCCTCAGGGAAATGAAGGTATTATCAAGCAAACTTCCAAATTAACTGTGAATGGAAATGAGTTTTCTATTGACGCACATTCCTTATATATATAATGGCAAAGACGCCAATTACTCAATTTTGACGCAGCCAACATTATATGAAATACTTTTTGACACGGTCAATATAACAAACCAAGGCACGGTTTGATTTAATATGTCAAAACAAATTAAGAGAAACAAAAATGTAACACAATGAAATGACTATATAGCAACACAAGATGACAAGAAAAATGCTCGTCTATATGGTTTGTCCAGTCACGATTATTTATCGCGTTGTTAAAAATATTTTTATAAGGATTAATACGTTGAAAAGTAACGTAGCCACTATTTCTATTCATGCTAAATACTGAGGTGAAACGCGCTTGATAATTTTTTAACTGCGAATATTAACATACAAATTTTGTAAAAGACATCGTTGTTGCCTGAAAAAATAATTTCATGACATGACAATTCGAACTTAATCGACATGGCCGCGGCGGAAGGCCATGCAAACCCCCAGATGTCGACTTTAAGATGGGAAATGTAAACAGCAAAACAGCATCGAATTGCGAACGTGCGGAAAAACGTCATGTGCCGCCGCCGCAGTGTTTGTGGCGACGGTATAGAGTCTAGAAATCACTGTCTTACAATCGCTTCTGAGAATCAGTGCAGTAACTGGTGACATTCTAGAAACTCTAGATTTGAATAATCAATCACTAATAAAAAAGTTCAAACTGATGCTTTCCAAGATTTCTGATTATAATTACAGCTGGGTCCGCATAGCTATAGTATATCTAGAAGGGAACGAAACTTTTAAGACACTTACATCGGATATTGCGCATAGAAAAATTCTCACACAAGAACTATTCGAATTCGGATTTATAGCCGCATCGCATTGACGTTATGACCTAAGAGCTAACTTCAGATGCTTCCTTGGCTTACTTCCTATCTTTTAAAGATAGTTTACAGCGGTTTCTGCGCATCTGGGGCCAGTTGTAGTAACGAAGGCTGGAAAGCGCTATCCACCGGATAGTGATTTTTTCAACCCTTATAAGCATACCTTAAAAGCAATGAAATTATAGATTTAGAGCTGACAGTTATGAAAGAGGGTCGTCAATTTAGAAATACCAAGGCTTAATCAAAGCTGTAGCGAACAACAAGAAATTACAGAGCGATTGAAAAGTATTATCCAGTGGATAGCGCTATCCAGATTTGGTACAATTATAACCTGCCCTTTCTCTGCACATAATATTGGGGGACTCCATGATTTAGAAATTACCCAAATTTCGTATGTTTTACATTTCTTTGAGCATAAACTATTCATTTAGAAATATAGTGAACTAAAATAGTAATAAATATTCTGACAGCTAGGACAAGATATTTTTAGAGATATAGCGATGCAATTGCGAACACAGCGTTTGTTAACATTACCGCGACTGTATGTACCTTTAAAGTTCACACTGGAGACGACAACAATAAGTTATTTAATAGGCGAACATTTTTCTAAAAATTGTTCTCCGTGCAGATGCCTACTGTGACCTCATGACATATGCGAATTAAGTTAATTTTTACAACGTGAAAGAATTGTAACGTTCGTCAAAATTCACCAATCCTATAATATAAATGCGGCATGCCTATAGCGAATATTCTCAAGATCAACACGCTTGGCAATTTTCCAACTCTATTATCATGTGGAATTGGGTTTTTTTCTAATTTTCATAAAATATTTATGGGAAATCGTCGTATATCTGCATGTGCATGCAATCTCTTCCCGTAATCTATTCAAGTTGAATGAATGATATAGATATGGATCACACAAAGACTGTTATCATGACGGATTAACTAGCTACTAAATCTATATTCCATATTCATATTAAATATATATTCTGGAATTTCTAGTAACATCTATGTTAAGAGACAGAGAAAAATAAAAAAACTGCCGGTTCGATAATCGCGATTTGACTTCACTTTTTTAAATATTCGCACAGATTTGTTGTTCCAAAATCCAAAATCTGTACAAACCGTCACACGCACAGCATAACGTGCATGAACAACTCGTAATTAAGAAAGCATTTTAGGCGCCAGTTTACGTACACTTGCAATTTTGGCTGCGATTTCCAGTGCGGTTTTCCCCTTCTCAAAGATGTGAACGAGTTGACGGTTAAGAATGCTCTGATGTACGATGCCATTATTTGCACATCCTTTACTTATCCACTCGTCAACATCTCTCGAAAGAAGATCGTACAAAAGATAAAATAAAGCAAGTGTGAACGAGCGTTTAATATCCAGCTTATTCAACTTCTTTTGAAATTTTTTTCTCGCGATTCGTCATTGCATGTCTATAAATGTCATTTTACGTTGCACATCAAATGTGGCATAACAACTGCCTAAAATAACAAAAACACTTCTAATTTCGTTAGAGTTGCCATGCTGCTACTTGGTTATATTGGAACGTCAATTTACGTTATTTTACGTTTAACATATAAGCAAAATTGTCAAAGAGCTACGTTTATAGGTGGACAGGTCGCTCCATGCATGTCTACAATATTCAGTTTCATATATATGCATGGTGTATAAAAAAAATTCGAATTCAACTTTCACAGACTACTGTATATAAAATACTATATATAGTAAATGTTATACTGAATTATTTATGGCAATAAAGACTAGCCTATTAGGTTTTCGATTATATCTTTCTGAATACGACCAGAAATGACCAAGTTATCGTCTGCTAAAAATAGTTGCTTGAAATCAAAATTTTCCGCTTATGCATGGGGATTCGAAGTGCACCTAAAGACAAAAGACAATGCAAACTTAATTCATGAACAAAGCGCTTGTTTTGCACAATAAGAAGTTTTTCGATAAATTTGTATTTCTGTTTTCAGTGATAATTATAGCATTTCAAAGCCTTGTTTGACAAATTTTCGAAAGAAAAATGTCCAATTCCCATCGGCAGAAGAAATTAATTTTTATCGACTTTTTTGTCGACCCAATATTCGTTCATTTTTTAACAGAATGACGCGTACTTGGTCTTGGATGTCATTTGAAAGGCAAATAAATAAACTTTACAATGGTGTAAAAATCAACCAATTTCGTCACATATATTCTGCGTAAATACACGCCAAATTTGGATTCGAATTTTTCTTATATACACTGTAGAAGTCACACCTTGTGAATGCGGTGTTTGTGTCGCGAAAAGCGCATTAATTCGCGCCAACTATAATGAGTTTTTAGAGAACGTCTGTTAAAAATTAAACCGAATATCTATGCATGCAGGCATTGATGCCAAGGTTGATAATATACTAATTTTCTTCAAAATTCTTACAGCGTTCTGCGAGAACGTTAGGAAAAATTATATGCTTCTTCGTTTGATTTGTTCCAGGAAGCTATATATAATAATTTAAACTATAAAGACAGCATTGCCGCCAGTCGGCATTTCTCGCCGAACAAATATAAACCATGCATGCATGCCGCGCTATTAAGTTTCATTTTTAATTTCATTTTTTAATCTCCCAGCACCCCCATGCAGCTTTGAGACAAACAAATCTCATTTAACAGTTCATAGAAAATATCAACAATGAGATCATCAGAGTTCAAAACTATATAGTAAAACTATGAACTAAACCAAACTAAACTTAACTATAACACTTTTCAAATGAAACTTTACAAGAATGTGTGTTTATTAACATGTTTATTGCGCTGAAATCTCAATTATACGGAATCTCGTTTTTTGCGCAAAAAACTCGATTATACGCCAAAAAAAAACTTAGCGGCAGAGAGCTTGATGTCTCCAAATTAATAATGCAAAAGTCAAATCCCGACAAGGTAAATTAAAAGTAATTAAGCAAGTTTTAAGAGAATTTCATACATATTTAAATGAAAAATTTATAGCTACGTGATAAATCAATATATTATCATTGTAAAGTAGTTTTTGTCAAGTAAAAATGGACGTCACGGACACTGAAATGTGTAGTAGCAAGTAACTTGTCAACATTAGCCCGATTTATACTAGAGACGGATTATCGGTCTGACCACAGATCAGTCTGGCAGATCATTCGTCGAGTATAAAATGCAATTAAGGCAAAATATCTAGACGAACTATATGTAGACAAATATGTCAGACGAAACCTGGTCGCGCGTTTAGAAATTGCAAGGGAATCGGAACAAAGATGCATGGCAGGGAAATCCAATTTAAAAATGACGGCAAAAATGTAACTAGTGAAGCATTTATCTGGTAAAAAACAATTAAATGAAGAAAATTTATTTGGCAAAAAGAGTGCACAAGCGCCGTTTTATTACGAAATTTTCCGTAGTTCGTCCCCACCTCGTTTTATACTCACATGCAGACGAGTGATGCGTCAAGGCGAACTATGGACGAACTACCCACTCAATTTCGTCTAAATAGACGAAATATGCGGATAATTCGTGTTGACGGATCAGTTATCCGTCTGTTCGCCCATGTTTAAACACAAACTAGAAGACGAACTTTGCTTGCCCAAATTCGTGTAGACGGATGATCCGTCGGGCGAATAACGAGGTTGCCGCAAACCCTTCTGCAATCGTTGCATGGGACATTCTATAGTTTGTTGATATTACAGAATACTTTCTAAATTTGCAGTACGACGGTGTCGGGAGGAATGCATCAAATGGAACATCGCCGGAAGATCCACAGGACATATTCGAGACCGTATTATACACAAGCCTGATCGTAAGCGTCTGCGGTGTCATATCAAATGGCTTTCTCCTGGTCGTCTTTGCTATGGATCCACTGCGGTGCTTACGTAACGTTTCCTCGGGTCTGATTCTCAACCTGTGCATTGCAGACCTGCTCACCTCGACGACGCTAGTTTTATGGAATACAAACACCTGGGACTGGGCATCTGATGAGCTCAGCGAAGTCATATTCTCCCTAGTTTGGTTTGGATACTCTGCCTCATTCCTCACCGTCGCATTGCTCTCTCTGGAAAGATACATCGTAATACGTTACATCTGGTCTTCGGATTCGGTCGTGACGAAGCGGAGAACCGCGTACGCCGTCGTGATCATTTGGCTCATTTCAGGGATGTCGTTCGTGCGACTTGATAAGAAAAACATAAGCGTGCACATATTCATATCGTCTTCCGTCTACGAGCTATGCGTGTTGGTTGTCATCGTATTTTACACAAAGCTTTGGGTGATTCGCAGACGACACACGTTTCAGCATCACCGAGCTCTTAAGAAAGAGAGTGAACTAACCAAGGTCGTGTTCGCGCTGATCATTCTACTTTTCGTAACGACGCTTCCGTTGATTTTCCTCTACCAGTTGTTACATGGATTGAATCTCTTTTGTGGAACTCGCTGCATCCCCAATGACATGGTATATATTCCACCCTATCTCACCCCGATATTCTCAGTCAATTTCGTTATCAACCCCGCTTTGTACGGCTGGAGACTACCCAAATATCGACGCTCGTTTTTCGCGGTCTGTGGCGTTGTCGTGGGAAACCCGGTGAGACAAAAAATTGACAAAGTCGTAAGGTATACACGCAAGGAGACGAACAGCTTGGAGGTGAATACGACGCAGGTTACGAATGGATCTTGCATTTCACTATGATTTCAGGAACGTCGGCGGTAAAAATTATCTCCAGAGACCACAACTTTGCAAATGAAAATGTTTGCATGATTGTCAAACATTCAGCGCTATTAATAAAACTAATATTTTCTGTAAACTATGAAAAATACTGCAATTTCATTGGTCGAGAGGAGTGCGATTTAAGCTTTATTCGCATCCTTTGTAACTTGTATTCGAATTCTTGCTCATAGCCAATAAAAATCACTCTACTATAGCCATTCAGGACATCACAATTCAGGACACCAAATATAAACTGTGGAAGGTGAATAACAAATAAATTTTAATCATTCCAAGTTGTACTATTTACCAAGTATTGTATTTTTATCTCTTTTTGATTAAAGAAGTTGTATAATTAGTAAGGAATAGAACGAGTGGTTGCACTCCTATTCGTTCAATTACCATTATCTATCTCACAATACCTGAGCTAATTGTTATTCGTGTCCACAAATCATTGTGGACACTTGTGCACTTCTAAACGTGATGTTTCTTCATCAACGAAATATGAAGCAAAAATGATGAAAAGATTATCTCCTCTCCTCAACCAACCCCAAAATTCAGAATACGTAGCTGAGTATAGTCACTATAGTGTGAAAGTTTCAACTCATGCGTATAAGTCATGGGCGTATATAGCAGAGCTCAGTTCAGTGTGATATCTAGATAATATTATATGACTTTCCCCCAACATTAAAGTCTCAATATTCACCTAATTAGACTATATTGCTACGATTATAAATTGATAGGACTGAAAATAAGTTTGAGTTTCGCTTGCATTCTTTCACGTAGGGAGCCGTTCTGTTATTGGTGCCTCCTTACACGGTCGGTTCCCCAGCCTATACAAATACTAGGATAAACATAAAAATTAATAAAATAATTCCAGACATTGCTGTGAATGTTGTCATTTTTATAAAACAAATTAAATCACTATATAACAGCTGTAATAAAATACATGCACTTATGCATGGAACAAAAGTACAATGTGCAAAGAGATGATCATTTGAATGATAATCTTGATTCCCTTTCGTAGCGGACATCAAATTATCATTCTGTCGTTGACTTCAAGTCCTCTCGTTGGTAGTCAAGTTAGTTATGGCTTGTTTCCGCTAATCATTAACAACAGGCTCATTTAAGCTTCCTAAGTCAGTTACAACAAGATCTCCATAGTAACTTTCAACATTTTCTCCCTCTGTACGATCTTCCACTTTAACCTGCCTGTCAGACATCCTGAGAACATCCTGTCGACATGCTGAAGAAAATAGTTTTCTCGAACTGTTGATGGGAGAGACCCTCACATCCCCGAGTCTGGATGGATTGACAATTCTGCTGCTGCTTTGTTCGTTAAAAGTTGCAAAAGATGCATCAGTCTGTTGTGTCACCACAGAAGGAATTATACTAGCAGTGTCAGCTGTTTCTACCTTGATTTTTCGTATTTTTGTTTTTCGTTTCCAACCTACATACAACAAACATCATGAGTTAACACAATTTCTATACAGGATAACTTTCAATTCGTGATTAAACATTAGTTGTAATTAGTTAAAATTGTCCCTTCATGCGCCCAAACCAGGTTTCCAAGTATAATACATGCTGATATTCTTTTAGAAAGGGCGATTTAGCATGAGGACGTGAACGTCAAAGACGACGTGAAAATGGGGAATAAATGGCGTGATGCGCCCAAATATGGACATGCCACGCCATTTACTCGCTATTTTCACGTCGTCTTTGACGTTCACGTCCACATGCTAAATCTCAGATCTCTCCCTTTATCAGATTTCTCCCTCAGATCCCTGAATTTATCAGATCTCGAAGTCGCGTAGAGTCTTCTCTCAAAGTGGAATTACATTTCAGAGATTAAAGAAAGTATTTCACTTTGAATACAGTATAAAATACAAATCTAAATACATTAAGATTAGCCAGCTGATCTAAGATCATGACGTCATGAAGTGTCTCGAAAAGACTGAGTTATCATGCGCCTGGAGTCATTTGTCCCCGTTCTTTCAATTAATAGTATAAAAGGCGAAAAATTTAAGCTTTATATCTCCGTTGAGGAAAAAGAAACGTGTTTCCGCATAAAAAAGTAGAATAAAGTAGTGTTTTAGTACATTTTAGTACATATATTTTTGGACTCAAGAGGCTGAGACCGACGTTCTAAGATGATAATAAGATCTTGCTTACTTACGTTTTGTAACGTCACATCTCCAAATATCAACACCTTTGGCGAAACAGTCATGACTCCCGCAATATTTGCCGCCGATAACGAAGATACACAACCCTTCTTTCGGGTGAGAAACCTCGATATTTTGACTTGCCCTAGTGCAGGTGTCATCCCCGTAATTCATATTTTTGTTGAGTTTGTGTTCGTTTGCTCCTGCGGTCCCTTCGTTCTGCGGACCTTCTTCTTCGTGTCGTTCTAACGAGTGGGATCTGTTATGAAAAGTTCTATGCAGCGGATAAATATTATTCTTATCAACCTGCCATTCGCTACTACTGCTGTAACACGCATTAGTGAAGGCAACAAAATTTTTTTCAAGATTATCCAGACTCCCGGCGGAGCAACGTTTGTCAGTGGGGGTCAAAGATGACGGTCGGTAAACAGAGTCCGTTGAAACGGAACAATGACGAGCTCTTCTTTCGCTTGATGGTGTTATCTTTTGATTGCCGTTCGCGCCAGGCGAGGTATGCGGTCGTTCTTCTTCGACAGGTATCGAGGTTTTTGCCCTACTCTTCGTCGTGGAAATGTCTGCAGTGTTTACCATCTGCGGTGGTAATAAGGGCAAGGAAAAGGCCGAGAGTATGACGAGAGCCGCAGAAGAGCGCGCCGGAGGAGATACCCCACCGTGCGGAGTGACAAGGTTCCATGACAATGATTCTTCAAGGAAAACGGACAATATGCAAATTAAGGTAAAAATTAGAATCGTCAAGATTATACGTTTCTTTCCTCATTTAACCAAAAGGCCAGTGTGCTTCAGAGTGCGCGCACGCCATATGTAATTAAACTGTATTAGTTACAAAAACTCTTTTGCCTTAGGCTGGGTTTCTCATGCTTGGGTTTTATGTGACGTCACAGTTCCCCTATGGTGGTCACTTTGAAATCGAGACTTTGGGTTTGGTTGCAAGTATGTGCAATGGATCACACCTGTGCTGCACAATCGTGCAAACATTTCAGGCTGACAGATAACCACCAATCAAATCACTTCCTGAAATCTATCAATTACTGAAAGCTGGACTTCCACAGCACAGAAAATATATTTTCCATCATTGCATGTTTTGAATGCTTGTATTGGGAGCAGTCAAGTTGAATCTGTTTACGCTAACGAACTCTTTCTTTGCAAATGCTAGAGTATATGAGATACGGGGAACAAAGTGCATTTCAGTTGCGGGAAACAACTTATATATGATCAAAGTGAAAACATTTGCTCGTATATAAAGCCTTTCAGCCTATATCTGCTACGCATTCGTGACAACAAAAGTACTAGAGCAACAAAACCATGCTATTTGACAAAAAAAGAATAAGTGCGGTACTGTAATAAATCGCCTACCAAATTCCAGTCTCCATACTTTATTTTGATGCTCTCCATTCGTACTGCCACCGTACACCAGCATACCATTTCCACACTAAAGACGATAAGATATTAGTCTCACTGTGGGATTCACTATAGTTATAGATAGGATAGTAGATAGGACATTATTCGAAGGATTACTATAGTTAAAACGAAGCTTACTCTAACAGCACGATGCCCGCGGATTGGAAATGGTCCACCTCTGCTCTTAATTTTACACCAAGTACTTTTCTCTATCAAAATGGAAGAAGGAACAACAATGGCACAAAATGAAATTCTTTATAAAAAATAATAATCTTGTATAATGTTTCTTATAACCATTATTAATATTATAATTATATTAGTATCTCCATCGTCATTGATACTTGTCATCGCACTTGTATAGTTCAACATTGTTTGCCCGGCAGGATACTACAATAAGACTCACCGAATTCCCATTTCCAGACGTCATTTCTAGGTACAAAAACTTCCAGTCCACCGGCGATCCACATTGCTCTGTTGTAAACAACAGCAGAATGTTCATATCTTTTACCAGGAAGAGCTGCATTGCTCTGACTTAACCGCTCCCACGTATGCTCCTCTGAAAGAGAATAAAATATGCACTTTTGATATTTTGAAAAAAGGTTTCTACCTGCTTTCTCGCTTTTTTTGACATCCAGTTTAGCTTGTTGCAGAACTAGTTAGGCAGAAGGTTGTACAGGATCCTGATTTAAACTGATCTCATAATTTGATCAGATCAAAATAGAAGAGTACACACCTAAGTCAAAAGTCCAGAGCTCATCAGTCGAACCTCGAATTTCGATCAATCCGCCAAAAACGAACATCTTCTTTTGATAAACAACGGCAGAATGGTAGCGTCTGTTCATTGGTGCCTAGGAAATAAGCAACGAGAATTATGAACGCCGTGTATATTTTTTCAAAGCATACAACTAAACTATCAAAGGAATCAAAGGAATTTCTTGCAAATTATGAAAAAAATCCATAAATCATTGGAGTTCAGCATCAGAAGTTATGATTGACCCTGCTAATGCTGGTACTACGAGAGACCTAGAAAAAAATGAACTGATTTTGGGTTCGTTTATGTTCACCACAAAGCTTACCTTGTTATTAGGTAAGACAGAAAAACTCATTTTCTCCCAATTATTGTTGTCTGTAAAACAAAGTTCGATTTGCTATTCAAATGATCAATCAACTGAGCGAGATAACGCAAGGTTAAACCGGTGCAAGCTCGGTTAAGTCGAAAAAAAATTCTAATTTAATCAACATCTGTAGTCTGATATTTACTGTCGTCGCTGGTGCAGATGATTGAATGTGTAATGTACAATTATAGAATAGTGCATTCTGTTAAAGATCTGTTAGAGGATCAATTTTATAGAGCATAGAACCGCTCCGTTCTTTAGAAATAGTGCTTATTCTTGTTCAGTGAAAGTAAAATTAAACAAGGTAATCTATACGGCATTCACTGTATATTCTATAATTGCTCCAATGTCCTTAGTTTTATTCATTTTAACAGCACCACAACGGAAGTGACAAGATTTTGAGTTTCGTGACACTATGTTATTAAGAATATGACCTAACCACGGGCATACTCCTCACATTGATATTTCATCTTACCAAATGTGTACTTCCACACGAACGTTTCACACGATTCAAATTCCCCTCCATAAATATACATACTTCCCTAAGACACAGGATAGAGCACATCAGTACGATGTTTAGCTTTTCAATGTTGTAGATAGCATCTTAATACAATATCGTCACGGATTTTTACAAATTCACGCTCGTCAGGAAAGCTGTCGCCTCACTGGTAAAATCATGCACAGTTCTAATAACACTGCATGTTATCAAGGTCCAATACAACCAGAGAGCAGCGTCTTCAAACAACTTAGCATCAAATGTGGTATAAAAACTGCCTTGAAATAGACAAAGAGTTAGTAATGGTAATACTAACTCTCCTGACGAAGGCCCTCAGGTCGAAACGTCGAGAAGTGTTTTGTCTATTCTAGGCAGTTGTTATACCACATTTGATGCTGAGTTGTTATCAAGGTCATTACACTTTTCGTGTTGTGTCCTTGATAAACTTTCATTCACCCAGTTTGATGTAAAGACTTACTGTACCTTGTATAAAACAGCAGTGTGTCCAAAAATATGTGATGGTCTTTGATCAACGTTTGGCAATTCAGACCAGTTATTCAGCGCTACATCGTACACAGTAGTACATAATTATGGTTCGAAAATTTACAGCACTGGCGAAATTTTCCCGAGAAGAACAAAATGCCCGTCGAATGCAATGAATATCAGTCGAGTGCAAATACTGCCAATGAATTATGTGGCAATATATTTACAAAAATCAATCAATTATATTTTCAGGGGACCAACTATATATAGTAACTGAAATTTGTTATGCCAATTTATATTTGTAAATTTAACCAATATTATAATACTGCACGGTGGCCCTTACCCAACCTCGTACCCAGAGTTTTTCCTCCGGGCTCAGTCTTTGGACTCTGGGTATGTCAGGTGGGCCCTAATCTCGAAGGTTTTCTTTACTGAAGGTTTTCTTTGCATTGAGGACATCCTGTATTGTCGGTGCATGTTAACTCACCTAAGTCATATTTCCAGAAATCTTTAAAGGCAGAGCAGGCGCCTCTTCCTCCCAGAACGTAAAGCGAACCCTGATAAACACATGCTGTGTGTTCACTGCGAGCTTTAGGAGCCTTTAACATCACTGGGAATACTGGACTCCACAAATACGTCGCTTTGGAATATCCACGATGGTTATCTAGCATATAAAGTAATCAGGTAGGCTGAGAAACGGTTGCTTTTTATACAACAATACATGATCACACTTTATGCTTTCAAACAACAGGGATTGTATATTCAAGTCCAATGCTGCTTGAAGTCCAATAACAATCTACTGTATTTTGTGGTAAACAACCGGGGCTGGTTGTATGAAAGCCGGAGAGCGCTATCCATCGGATAGTGTTTTTTTCAATCGCGTTAAAATCGCCTGTTGTTGGGTATAACTTTGAATAAATCTTAGTATTCCAAAATCGAGGATCCTCTTTAATAATTGTTGGTTTCAAAACTGAGATTTTATTGTTTTTCAAGCATTTTTAGAACAGTTGAAAAAATCACTATCCGGTGGATAGCGCTATCCGGCTTCCATACAGCCTGCCTCTTACCTATCTGGTTTTCCAGGGTATTTGGAGAATCAATCCATGTTTGGCTTTGACATCTAGAGCAAAAAACATAAGATATCAAAAATAAGTTAAAGAACTTATCCTACACAACCTCAATTGTAGGTCTTTCCAGTATAACAGTTGGTAATTTATCTCTGACTTTTTGTACCTGACAGAATTTATTTCTGCGGCTTTAATGGCTGCAGCTGTAATATTCAGCGAAATCTAAAACAGCAAAACGTTCGGAACAGTGCCGGGTACAGTACCGGGTACAGTGCTGCATGTATAATTACATAGGTTATATGATGACGAGTGGTTTGGTGTTGCATTCATTGGTATTTTAACAGTATACGGCTGTGAAGAGTAATCCAGCGAACTGCTGCCATGGGTGATTGCATGCATGCTTCGATGTTTAATTTATAGACAGTAAAGTTCTCAGACCGAAAATTCCGAGTTTTCAAGACTATTTCACAGGTGTAGTCAACTATACAACAATGCATTTGCAGATGTAGAGGCTGTTTGAGAACTTCTGTTCGAAACGAGCTGGAAAAGAAGCTCACAGTATACGATCGATTCCCGCGTGTATATACTGTAGATTGTACCTTTTGTTTATCGGTAAAACTTTTGTGACCAAATATGATGTCCAAAATGTATGAATGTTGTTCTGCCCAGTTTCTGAATTCTTCCGGAGAGAGTTTTCCAGTCTTGGGAGAAAAACATTAATTCAGAACATCGTGGAATGGTATTTTCAGGGTTAAAATTTTATGCCGGCCATCTTCGTGTACCTTTTCTGACTTGCCATGATGATTGCATACGTACAGTGGACGAAATTTTCCGTTGAAACATTTTTACACTGATTCATGGTGACGCGTCAAACATAGGGCATTATACGCATATATTATCATATATAATTACCTGACTTGTATCACATTGCTCAAACGCATCATGAACGACTTTCTTAACATGCTCATCAACATCAAACAATTCCTTGACTACCTCTTCGTCTAGGAAATAAACGCACATTTAAAACATACTAAAGTGATCAGAAACAGTGCTAATAGTTATGGAGAGTATCATTTTCGTAGTTTTGTACTGTGTTCGTATCACATTTTAGGAATTCTGGCATGAATTGAACAAGTTTTGAATTCTCGACGAAATCTATCCGTAAAATTTCTATAATTCCTTTGCATATATATGTCAGACATTATAACTTAGATTTGAATAGATGAATATATGAAATTTCGTCTAAATTCAATGCCTGTCAAAGTTCAACATTTCCAACAACCCATCAAAAGCGATAAAGTAGCTAAATTGCACCATATACTGATCGACTGCATGTTTTTCTTTATAGATTTCACATTGCAAAAAAGATGCAACATTAATGACACTTCCATAAAAGAATGGCATAATATACTGCTTACTGTACCTAGGGTGCTATTCTTGATTGGCCCTACAATTCTAATAAACAAAAAAACATTAAAAGATATTTAAATCGACGACTTTAACTAGCCTGTGTTTACTTACTATTTAATCGTTTAAGTACTGTTTAAGATCTTATGCACTAGGACTTGAAATTTTTCCACAAATGTTTATAGTAAAGACTATTCACCTTACGATGAAATCTTAGTAACTTATTTTACAAAAGCTTAACTCTTATTCTTAAAACATGCTAGAACTGACTACAAGAATTGAACACATGCAAGAATTGACAAATCTAATTTCAATATATTGGTTCAATCTTCTCACACTAGATACTGGTTGCACGATGATGCATGCATGGTATTGTTTAAATAGGACACAATGCATATATTTTATAGTTTTGAGCCTAAAATTACTATTCCAACAGCATTCTGCTTAAAAAAGTGCGGGTTATATGCTTTGGTTGATAATATTAGTTAATTTGGTTGATAATATTAGTTCAACTTTCAACTATTATATGACTTTAAGCAGATTAAGTTTCTTACGCAGTTTTGTCACCACAGTATGTTTTATTCACTCTAAATTGAAATTTATCGATATTATTTTAAGAAATCTTATCGTTAGTAAAGTGTATGCGTAAATTATATTATAAGAACGATGGAAAACTGAATGTTCTCATTTATAGAAGGACACCCAAAATCATAAAAAAATCGTGTTACAGAGTTTTCATATACTGTATTATTATTATCACTTTGATTAAAAGTAAGGAGTTGCCTGTCATCTTCGATCAATTTTTAACTCATCAACTCTACAATGACTAAACTTACGCTCTTGCAGCGATTAATGTTGACTTCAAAACTATGGCCAATTCTTCCTCGGAAATACCATCACCATCTATAAAAAGGACGCATGCGCGGTTGATGGAAGAATTGAACAAACCCTCAAAATTGGTTGTCAACAAGTGGTATAACGATGTTAATTTTATCACTTGTTTGGCAGCTCGTTTTTTATGTTGAGGGCAGAACAACGTTCTTTAGGCCAACACACACTGGATGCAAACCGTTTTAATTTCACGGTTTTTTTCAGTTTTCTAAATCATTTAAGTTTGTATGATCATGCTGTGATATCTTCAATAACTACCGAACGATAGTACGTTTTGAATTGTGTGGTGCCGACAACTCACAAAATTTATTTCAGAATTGAGTTTACTTGATTCCAGCCAGGAACAGCTGACCGAAAAATGAGTCAACTATCGGTCCTCCGACAGGAATCGAACCTAAGCTTTTGCCATGCCGGTGCAATGCTCTTGGCAATTCTTTTCTCAATGGCAAAAGCATTGCACCGGCATGGCAAAAGTGTAAATTCGATTCCTGCCGCAGGACCGATAGTTGACTCATTTTTCCATCAACTGTTCCTGACTTGAACTTGAAGTGTGTATAATTCCACTCGAAATTAAGACCCTCAGAACCATTAGAATTTACCTACATCGAGTGAAGTGCTAAAAATCATAGCTATATAAGGTGCAATTATTGATTTCTTCGTTTCAATACTCACCATCAATGTTATACTGTTCCATCACGTACATAAAAGAAAAAAATATATTCTAACTCATTACTCGCTACATTTCCCCTGCTGGTTTTATGTTTTAGAAATCAATAAGTCTATCTATTGGCTATTCTTATCACGCAATCACAGTTCGATTAGCTGGTAATTAGGTTGCATTTACTTAATACATTGCCTTAAGAAACTTTGAAAACAAATTATTACCAAGTCGAAAACAAGTTGAAATTTTTCATCCACTGTTCCGGCGAGACACAAAGCGAGACCACCTTCAAGAGAATTAGCTATACGTGATACATAACTGCTGAATACATCAATAAAGTTTGATGGATTGCATTGAAACAGACGCAACATTTTTCAATACCATTCTCTGAATGGCCAACGAGTGACAATACGTTTTTCGAGAAGTGGATACGAGTTTTCAGGCACGCTATTACGTCATAACGTGTTATAAAAAGCCGTTCCCACGTTATGATGTCACACCGTGTGATAAAAAGCCGTTCCCAGGTTATAATGTCACACCGATGGCAATGACACAAAGCGTTCACAACTGATTTGAAAACTGTCTGAATTTTTCATTTTTACTTTTACAAACAGAATTTTCACTGAACTTTAGTTCATATGCAACCATTTGCAATAAAATGGTATTGCAAACCAAAAGAGTGCTGGGTACATCTATAGATGGACAGTCCATAACAGTTTAGAAATATAGCAGGTACAATATTCTAGTTCAAAAGGTAAACAAAGGGATTAATAGTCTCTAAAATTAAACATAGAATGCACAAAGCATATTTCCTCACCAAGAAATTCTTCTAAATCAATCACATTATTCTTGTCTTTATCAAATGTAGCAAACAACCTCTCAGCTAATATTCCCTCAAGAGGAAAGTAGTTCAAACTAAGGAGAGAAAAAGTTAAATACAAAATAATTTGTCAAATCACTACATCAAATATGTCTGGAAGGGTAGGGGCATGCTATATTGGGACATACTACAGTATATTGGTGAAATGCATGTGCTGATCAAACAGCATTGGTGCCAAACCATATATGTCTGACTATTTAATGTTGCACACTGCACTTTCTTCAGTTAAATCATACAATATTATAAGCATTGCTCTGACTGACTTCTTGTTTCAAATTGTATATTCTTACTGCGGACTCAGGTAGACCATTAAATATGAATAGTTGTTGTGTTAAGTTTAACCATTTCCCGATGACTTTTTTAAGCAGACATGTTTCCAGGGCATGGTTCAATGTTTATATTCAAACTTCGCTGACAACGCTGACTAAAGAGGAGCTGCACATGAAACTTGTCAATGTCTGTCTAGAGAAGTCACCATTTTGCCCAAACATTAAAATTTAATGGTCTACCTGAATCCGCAGTACCATGGGTCCACATACAAAGCATCTGATTACTCAATATTTTTCACACTAGCTGGGCCAACTTTAATAGGTCAATTTAATGTCAACAATTGTTGACGGTTGAAGCAACACTCATCACTGTGGTTACACCACACTTGTTTAGATGTTTTTCAATGTCAATTGTCAAAATATATATTACTGACTTACAATGTTTGTTTGTTAATGTATTCATCCTCAGGAGATAGAGCTGCAAGTCTGTGATAAAGCTGCTTCAAAGTGTTTACTTCAGAAGTACTCACTACAGTTAAAAAAAGAAATTTCCAAACTGACATTTTTGTACAGAATATTGTTTAAAAAAAAATGAATGCATACTTTGTGCATGTTTGGGTAGTGGTGACCCCACTTCACCCTAAAGTGTCAACAAATGTTTCAATCTCTATTAATATGAATACTTCACCCTAAACATGACAATAATTGTTGAAACATCCACTGAGAGTTGCATGAAGATTTGCTATCACATGGTGGTGTAGTATTAAGTTGTAGATAAATGAGATAACTTTGATTATAGCTTTGATAGATGTAAACAGATAAACCACAATAAAGTATACTACTTTAATATTTATAACAACATTAATCCTGCATAACAACATTATAATCCTGCGACAGCAAAATACACATAATCCTTACGTTTCATAGCAGCAGCATGATGGTCTTTACTTAACAATTTCGTTTTCTCTCCGTGTTCAACACGACGTTTTGACGACAGCTTGCTACTATCTTGCCCCATCTTCTATGTCTCTTATAAAACATGCAATGAGCTTCGATTGCCAAAAGACAACAGCACAGCAGTGACAGTTGGATTTCCCAAGTATCATATAAACATGAGGTTTCTCATGCGCTCACATGTCATTGAAGACTCCAATACTTCGACGTTATTCATCAAAATAACTCGCAAGAAACAGCCGACCACATGCTATTAATGATTTCATGCTCGGTTTGCTCTCCAAATAAAATTTTGGCTCGAATGTCAGTAACTATGCAAATCCTAAAACAATGTTAAAACATTTTGTTTATATTACCGTGCTTACTTGCATCACTTGCATTTTCTTTACACACCCATGTACTTCATCTATGAGGATTATCGAGGGTGCTACTGATTTATCACTTCGACCGTTTAACGTGGGGAACCGTAGCTTATTCCTTTTTTTTCAAAGTCATTAGTTCCATCGGAGTGCCCAGGAAAGAATGATATTACGCTACGTCTCTCTACGGTACGGTTGAAGTGAAAAACAGCCCCTACCCTGGCGTATGTGAACGTGTGAACACACGTACAAACGCGACATTTCAAATTCCGCCTTGAACAATATGAATAAAGACTGCAGCGTTACTAGCATAGGCCCTCTTTTGCATTCGTCAGAATGATAATAGCGTACAACTCAACGTGTAGTCTAAAGAGGCATTAATGAAACCGTGTTTCCAACATTTTTTTTTATAAACAATAAACGTAGAATAAAGCCACGACACGAGAACGAGGCTTCCGATCTTGCCCTAGAGCGTCGTTTTTGTATTTTCACATTTATTGGTCAAAACCGATTTTGATGCGTGTAATGACGAAGGATAATTTACATCCATTTAGTTTCGATTGTTTATACAAAATATGTACTTCAAAAAATGCCGAACGACTAATAAAAAAACTTTATATGCTTAAAAATTAAGGTGTGTCCACATGCAAAAAAGTTAGAAACTCATAAAAACTACAAATTTTTTAAACGATTATCAATCTCGATGATCTGATTGGTTTAGCAAAGAGATGATATTAAAATTTATCCTTGCCACAAACTAATTGGAGCAGATATAACCCAAAAACCATACTAACGCTGGATGCCTCGGTGAGTATATGCATGCACGAAGATACTTGAAGGAAGTGCCATACTCTCTTATATGCCCAAAGTTTTAAGATCAAATATGTCACGAAGAAAAATCCCCCAAAGGCTTCTAAGGTAAGCTGATGAACTAAGATAGGATGCATCAGTAGTAGGCCTAAAAGCGTTGCATGAGTTGTTCGATCGAAATCAGTTCGGCTAGCGCGAAAAACACTAGCATACATGTACAAATCCTTGAGACTTGGCCGTAATTGCACGGGTAATATTTTTGTCAGTTGATGAAAGCATGCCAAAATGCATCGCTCCAATGCCAAAATAAATTTAGAGCTTAAGATTGAGAAAAAAATTATACGTGCAGCCGGAAAGCGGAATACAGGTGAATGCATGAAAACGTCATTTTCAAAGTGTCAGATGTCAAGGTTTTTTAATTAAATTTGCCGAATATTTAATTGGCAAATTTTCCATGCAGGCTTAATAATATTCCAATGCCCTTCCTGCAATTGTAAGAGTAAATTCTCCCATGCAGTAAAAACTTTGATCATCTCTTTTACCACGATCCTCGAGTATAGTCCCCTATTAACTGTGCTAAACTAATTGAACTGAGAGACTTATCATAATCCAACATCATTAAAACAATTACTGAGAGAATTAGGTTTTTATTTTGTTCAGTTCTGTTATTGAGTTCCGGTGTCAATTATCTCGTTTAATTTTCTTATGTGGCCGTCTGGCATATTCAAGTCGCGAAACAAAGACTTAATTGTTCTAAAATCTCAAGATCTATGCATGGTTGATGACTATACCGATAAATATATATCACAAGTTTCACTGAAATTTGAAGTCATTATAGATCATAAAAATAGATGATTCCTTTCTATATACAATTTCTTTTTAAAATCTAACACTCTAAACGTTTCTGACAATTTGCAGCTGCATGAATATGAAAGGTGAGGGGTCACCACCAAATGTAAACCATCGAACGCGGGTGTGAAATTGCGAACCAAAGTTTGGGAAGCGTATATGAATTTTCTCTCAATTGTCTATCCTTATTAATTGACTTTCTGCGTTCCACGGAGGTAAAAGACTCTGAGTAGTAGATTGCATTTACTCCGAATATGGAAGTGTGTAAAGCTATGGTATTTTCAGGTCAATCATCAGTCATTCGCGGTACTCAAATTGAGCAAACCAAAGCTAACCACCTTTGATAATTGTCTAATGTTGAGATGTTTTTACCATAAGCTTTAGAGAGCTAGGGCCGTACGCAACGCTTTCTTCGAAAGTTCGATGTATTCTAAGATCTAATAATTTAAACTAAGAGAGGGTCAGTGATATGACGTATAATACATTCGAATATGCTCTACAGGGAACATAAGTGCCCCCCATCATTCCTCATTAAACAGGAAGTTACACAAAACCTAACATCCCTTTTTCTCGCGCTTAATAATGTTCAGGGCTTACGTTTTTGAAGGACAAACTTGTGTTACATGAAATGTATTTTGGTGAAAAGCATGATATATACTCACAGTTTAGCCGCCATCGTTTTGGCATCGTTTTACACCAAAGCATCAATGGTCAACGATCATCAACACTTCACAATAAAAGCAGAGAAAAACAAAGCATTCGACGAATCACATCTCGTTGAAACGTTCAAGATTGACAGTGGAAACGTAATAGCTAAATGTCTTGAGCATTGCCTTGCAAGCTGCCAGTGTCAGTCGTTTCAGATATGTGAAAATACAAAATGTCAACTATGTGCAAGTATAACAAAGAGGAGAATACTTCATTACTTCAAGCCAATAATAGCTGTCTGTATGCTGTATATGAAATTCGAGAACGCATCCAGGTGCGTACAGTGAACAGTTGTTGGGCAACGTAACCTCTATAGTATATCAGGTTTTAAGGGTTGTTCTTTGGTATACATGAGTATCATATTGCAAAAACAATAACTTACTGAAAACTGGAACAATAAGAAAAAATTGCCCGTTTTGCGAAAATGTGCAAAAATAGATGTTGGGTATAATCTGGATAAAAATCATGTTGAAAGCTCCTTACACTTCGAAATGACAAACCTGCCAGCTCACTGCCAGAGTTTTCAATCAAAAAGAATAATAATAGCGGGCCCATTCCGCTATAAAAACTGCGTGAATTTAAATCCACGTTAAAATTACCTATTTATTCATCTTCTTATATAGGAATCGGACTTAGTCGCTCAGTGCTCAGGTATCAGTTGTTACATGAGATACAATTGTTGCCAGCAATCTGGTGTGTGTCCTAAGAACAAAATATGCAACCCGTTCAACTCCTCCCAAAAGCCATGGAAACGTTTTACCTGCGAATGCCCGGATGGTTACGATGGCGACGATTGCAGCCGGCCTATCAGGTCATGCCAAGGTTATGCCAACGGTTTCCCGAAGTCGGGCATGTATAAAGTACTGGATTCTAAAAACTTGGTGTATGAAGTATATTGCCATTTTGGCCCAGACGGTGTTTGGACCCTGGTGCAGTCTTACAGTTACGCAATATGGGAAAATTTCAGTAAATCTTTGTCGCAAAATTTTCCGGTAGGGGAGAGCTCACTATCGTGGAAAAGTTATCGACTTCGCAAAAGCAGAATGAGTTCCATTAAGAAAAGTTCAACCTTTCTTCAATTCACGTGTGACTACAAGAATGGTCGTGATATAAACACAACAGATTATCTCCAAATTCAGCTTGAAAGTCTTGTGATGAAAAAAAGTGATGAAAACGCTAGCGATATTGCCCTTGATATTATTGAGTTCAATGGGTTTTCATCCGAGTTAACTATTGACAACGGATGTGGTAAAATTGGAGAATATCATCTGGCAAAGTTTAAAATTCAGTTGAATCAGAATAAGAATTGGCCATTGAGTGTGCATTTCACCGAAGATGCGTTACATAAACTGCCTAATTGTACCTTGTCCTTCTCAGCATGGTACGGCAGTTACAATGAAGTTTTTCCTTGTGTGAGAAAAATTAATCGTTGTCTACAGAATGACAATTCTACGACACAACTTTGGTTTGGCACGCGCACAGAAAACTAACAGCTATTGAATACAATCTATAATGCATATACATTAGGTTTCTGCCCGCACTGCAATTGTCTAAGGCCTAGGAAAACTTACTGTATTGGTATTGTATTGATTCATTTCTCTAATCAGTTCGTGACCAAAACGTAGTGTTCAGGATGAAAAACTAGGATTTCGTTGTGTAAGATAATTTAATTTGTTTTTAAACAACTTAAGAAACATACTAAATATTCAGCGACTTTTAGTGTCTGGCAGGGCCTATTCTAGGGAATTCTCAATACTGTTGTTTGTTCTTTTGGCAAAAATGCCCCTTCTTCATGCAGAGTAAGTAACTAAATGTGTCTTATAATTATTGCAAACCGAAAAAAAACGAAACAGGAGTACATTATCGACATTATTTCAACAGAGATTTGTAAATATTAAAAAAATTAGTTAAACAAAACTACTTCACTGTCACTGTCTTCACATTCGTATGGTAGTATTTGGTAAATGTCGATACATGCATAGTTAAATGTTATTACTATAATGAGAAAGTGCCCTTTTTTATTAGTGCCCTCCTCCCACTTTCTACTGAATGTTTCCGCGGCCATTGCCTTCAGTGGCCCTTGCAGTGGCCTTCCACGGCTCTTAAGCTTGCGCACGAAGTGGCGTAGCGCACATTCGAAGATGGGCCTCTTAGGTATATTTGGAATTGTGACTTCATCTGGCATATACTGCATACATGTATATAAACCCTAACGCCCGTAAAACCAATGGTTTATCGGGGAATAATTTATTGGACCCCGAGTGTAAATGATCAGGCCTTATGAAGAGAAGCATTCATAATTTACATACTTGGGGGAGCTATGTCGATGTCACCATTGACAACACATCATTGACATCAACAACTTGAATTTTTTAAAAATCCCGCAAAAAAATATGGACGGAAAAAATGGCAGTGCACGTGAGCCTTTTGTTTTTGGTAATTTATTACGGCGCAGTTTAGAAAATCACAAAGTCGATAACCCGAGATTTTCAACCTTAGCACAGCAAGGCGACGATGAGGTTTGTTAAAGCTAAGAAAAGAGCCATTGATTATGATTATGATTATGATTATAATAATATGCATAATTAAATTCGTTGTGTAACTTTTCACTGTTGTTCTTTATGACTATTTGTTCAATAAATTCTGTTGCTGTCATTTGAGCTATTTCACTCGATCTGTTGATGTAGTGTGTTTCATGATTAAACCTAAAATGGTTCCTAGCAACATTTACATACAGCCCTGACAATTAAGTCTTGCTATGCCAATATTTTGGAGTCATTTTCCACCTCTTGTGTAGGCTTGCAGGCCAAACTCCAAACCAAAATCAAGCAAGGCTAACTGGCTAATCATAATGCTTTTTAAAGATTTTAAAAATTCTAACCTCTATACACCTGCATGAGCCAGATGAGATGGTTATGACAATAAAATTAATTCAAAACCTCCAATTCAGAAATGAAGAACAAAACTTCACGATGACAACAATCACCCAATCACCCTTTGCAAGTTGAGAAATTGTAATAGACATATAATTATGATTACAATTTTTAAATTTGGGCGTGGAATATCTGTTTAGGCATATTTTACTCAAACATATGCGATATGTCACTGGGTAATTATATTAGTAATATATTTTCAAATTTAGCTTGTAGAAAAGTTTCTCTCAGAGAATGTCCACATTACTGGTGCAGCAGCAGAACAAAAGCAAAGTCAGTTATATATTGGTTAGTGTAGAAATTAACTAGAATTCAAACCCTGCCTAGCTTGGTCAGCATTTAAGACAGATCCATCCTTGTTCCCAGGTTTTTTGCGCACTTACATACGGACAGACTAGTCCCTAGTCCTCCTTAGCTGCGCCTTGCATTGTTGTGGCGTAACTGACATACGGAAAGATGGGGGAGACATTCAACAGGGGGGAGATCATATCACTGGATCATTAGGATAATTAATGCATAAAAACCGACTTCTCCCTTTTGCAACTCCTGGTATTGCGGGACAAGGTGAAATGAGAAATTGCACCGTGTAACAGAGCTTTAATTACTTACTGCTGTCATATTTATTGACTAGCTTCGTTCTGGGGATTCTATGATGTTGTTAAGAGTTTAGTGGAAGGCGGAGCGAACGTGAATATACAAAATCCTGGTAGTATGTGGACGCCATTGCATGCTGCAACTTTCCAAGAGCATGGAAAGGTTTGTTTAAAAATCAATTCTCGAATGTTGGGGTGAATACCAATATACCATGGGAGTCATGGGACATACCCTGCGTCACAGACGCGCTGGGTCATAGTCTGAAGTCTGAACAGACTGTGCGAAGTCTACATGGAACAGTAGAGACTGGGGACACCGCATTGTTGAGAATGATTAATTTTAGCAACATATCACCTCTATAATTCAGTTACCTGGGGTAGAGTTTTAATAAAACAACTAACTGACGAAAGGAATGGAGTCAATGAACAGGAGTAAATAATAGAAAAATACATTCACAATTTTGACATTCGAGACACAACGGACCACTTAATCTCCAATTTGTCTAAGAAAATCGAACATGCACTGGTTTTGCAGATAGTTATGTACCTACTAGAGAACGGAGCAGATCCAAACGTTAAAGACTCTGAAGGAAGGTGTGTGCTCTATAGTACCCGTGGCCTTGCCTAATTTTATTTGTGCTCAGGCTACCAAAACAAAGGCCGGGCACGGATAAAATGGGCACGGGTATCCATTTTAGTCGTGCTGTGCCAATAAATCGAGTGTAGTGTAATTTTTAAACGGCAATTTCAGCAATAACTAAGCTCTTGCATTGGTGATTTTCTTTAAGGTCTCCGGCCGATTTTGGTTCTGCTTCCGATAAAGTATGGGCGCACTTCGCAGGTAAAAACAGTCCATACTGTTCCAAGATCAGTTGCCGTAATCGCTTGTCCTAACTGATCTCTATCTAATAGCTGAGTGCAACGTTACATTCTCTAATAAAACAACTGAATTCGAGGTTGGAGTATTCACAACGGATTCAGAAACAATAACTCTGGAATGAAGCAAGCGCTTTTAGCTGCTCTTTATGTTCGGCTGTGTTAATGTAGGAAGGAAAACGATGCCCTAGCTGCTGGCAAAGTAACCATGCATTCAGAGTATTTTCTTTCTATTTGTTAAAATAAGTGAGTGGACTCGGTTCTTTTTCTACACTTATGTAGCCCAAGGATGCACCCGTTCCTCTAAACAATCGTTGGTGAAAAATCGTATAATCAGACAGGTACCGAAAATATAGCTGGCAAAAAAAAGCGAATTAAAAGCGAATATACGGTACTGCTAACTTTTGAGCATTTGATTTTCTCTAGACATCAACTTCTCGCGCAGACAATGCTTCGATGGTACGAAGACAGTCATATGATCGTAAGATGCAGAATGTAAACGAGGGTAATGGTTTGCGGTTGCATATGAAATTGACTTGGAAGTAGGTCGGATGACTCGATTTATCGAGCCAATTTTTTTTACTCGTTTCCAGCTATAGTACCCTCTAGAATTGATGGTGATGTGCTGGCCAATGATAAATCACCCGATACCGAGGACCGACCCCATTCTGGTACACGTACTTACTCGGCAGTCAAATCACCATGGGAACGCTAACGTCATTATTGCAACCGGGTTGGATGCACACTCATCGCACATTTTCGACAAGTTTATTGTTTGGCCATCGCCTTACTTCTGATTTCGGTCAAACTTCACCAGCACAACAGCATTAATGTTTTGCGACGATAGAAACAGGGTGTGTTAGCTAGCGTGGAGATATTTTTTCTCCAGTAGCAAAAATTAACGTTGGATGTAAAAAAAAGTAGTTTAATATTGTTTAATAGAAATATATTTTCTCTAATAAATTACATATTGTATAAAGCTCCTGCAGTGAGAAGACACTAGCAAGGTTCAGATATGACTAACCCCGGCGAGGACCCAATCAGATGCTACCATTACTGCGCGCCCTTGAGGTCATTAGTATACATAGGTCAGTGGTTTATTGTTGTCGTTTATGAGAAAATCGCTCTTTTTTCAAATGTTGATTGATAGCAGAAAATGGATAAACTACAGGACATAAATTACAGGACATGACGACCACCAAATGGGTAATTGTAGATTCCATTAGTTATTTCAGCTTTTCAAAAAGGACAAACGATCGTATGCAAGGCCGACATCCAATCGAATGCCAACTTTTCGTGTACTTAAACTTTTCCGTCTAAAATCCCCCGATATCCGAAGACGGAAAAACCCATCCTGTCATGATTGCTGCTTCTCTAACAACTCCCGTTCCTCCCTTTCTAACAGTTCAAATTCTATTTTCAATTCCTCAATTTTATCGTCCATTCGTCCAAGTTTTCTCTTACGCGACACAAGCTTATCCAGCCATTCGACCCACGTCACGTCCTTTAGGAAGAAAAAAAATAGTTCTTGACAGAGCTTGTAGTGAAAATCACGCAGCTGGCATAAGCTTGTCGTTGCAAAATCACGTCGCCAAAAAACCCCAGGTTTGAATAAGCTAATGGGCTAATGGCTACCGATAAACTTACTAATAAAATATTACATATTACAGTATAATGATCGTGCAAGTTGGTGCAACTTACTTTCTCGGTTTCAAATAGTTCTGGGTAATGCATCTTCATAGCTTTTTGAATTCTCCATCTATTTACCACGTTATATATGAACTGCCCTAAAATATTCACGCCTGTTCGTTATCATGCTAAAAGAGAAGCCCCCGTCCGTTCGATGTTAGGGTCGATTTTCTGTTCAATATTTCTGTTTTACAAGTTTTGACAGCGGTAAATATTTGACACTGACCATTTACGTGCGTGTACCTAAATATCTAACGTTTCAAGAGCGTTCAGCACACGAGAAGTATGTTTGAAATATGCCCGAATTTCGCATCAATTGGCAATGCTATTGAAATTTGCGAATGTGCCAGAAACAGCACTCGTGATGCTGAATATATTTTTATATGTGGAACAAAAGATGCGAGGAAAGCTAACGCAAACAGGGGAACAAACCATACCAGAAACTCCAAGTGCACATCCAGTCATTGTAAACAGTGCAGCTGATTTTAGACTTCTTTCTGAGGTAAAAAAAAATCAGGCAAATGCCAGGATTATAAAGTCTTGTTAGCCTGGAATATATTGTAACGGACCAAGAGAGGTCGCGAATCGTACAAGACTAGAACTGTGCAAAACATGCAGCAATATTTCATGTTAAAGACACATAGAAACTTGCAGCCTTACTCATTGAGTATAATGATGTTAGACAGCCTGTTATTGAACCACTGGTCATGGAAAATGTGTAAGAATTGCTCATAGCAAATGTTGTTCTCTCGTTTTGTAGGAAATTTGGTGTAGCATCGCCAGTTTTCACAACTTGGCGAATACCTGTAAAAAATGGAAAAGATTTACTGTAGCAAAAATTGATTGAAAACATTAAAAAACAAAACATCAAGAACAAACTTTACCAAAGAATACAAGTGGTACTATGAAGAAGTTTAGGCCAGTTGATAAACTATAAATGTAGACATTTTTCTTTTTTATAACACCAAAGGTATAACCTATACCAGATCCAGCAATGCCTGGAACAAAAATAATTTTAAATACGTTAGTTCAGGTTGCTTAATTTAATATTTAAGCTATTTTTTTACTCAGAAATCCATTTTGTTTGTTAATGAAAAGGAGTAATTCAGGGACCATTCAGTACACTGTAGAAAGTTCAGGATAGTACTATAACAGGTTGCAGGTACTTGAATGCAGATTGGGTTTGTGGCATGTTCTGGATACAATTCAATGCTTTGGGTTTGAAAACTAAAGAGGTATAATTACATTACAATTTGCATGGTGGATGTCACTTGTAAATTGTAATTGTAGGAAAATATATGTGCTCTTCTCTTATAAAAGTTAGTCATCATTGGAAATTATTCTGTAGTACATAAGTTAGTTGATTTTTGACCTGATAATGCAGAGGCAGCCAGCACCTTCTTCCCTGTTTCAGGATATTTATAAATTGAATGTATGACTGTTCCAGTAACAATGCCAGCTAAACCTAGTGTTGGAAATGAAAATGTTATGGGAAGTATTACAACAACCAGTAGTTGGAATTTCATAAATCATGAAGAGTTGTTTAAAAAACAGATCAAAGAACAGATTTAAAGTTCTATAATAGATTGCAATTTTCTAATGTAAACACAACTGTTTGGTGTCATATAGAAATGCCATAGAAAAGGAGAAGTCCTGGACTGGGTTGCTAGATTACTGAATAAATTAGCCAAAGATTAATATCATAATCTTTGTCGTTCTTTTTTCAGTAATCTGGAAACTCTGGTCCTGGAACTATTTAAAAGTGTAGAATTGGAGAGGCACTCAATGGACGACTTGCGCCTTAGACTAATTTTTGATCGAAGTAACTAGAAGAAAATAAATAATCACAGCCAGAAAGATCTTACTTAAATTAGTGCAAATGCAAAGTTTGGCTACGAAATTTTGTAAAATATGGAAAATATAGCCATGCGAAGTTGGCAAATTTTGTATACTTTTGTATTACGTGCGGAAATGTGTAACTAAATTAGTTACACACTTTTGCCCGTAATACAAAAGTATACAAAATTCGTCAACATCGCATGGCTATATTTTCCGTAATTTACAACAATTCGCAGCCAAACTTGGCAGTTTCACTAATTTTAGTAAGCTCTTTCAGAAAATGTTCCTTTTATTGCCGTGGTAAGAAATTAGTCTAAAGCGCAAGTCGTCCATTCAATATCATTCTTGCTGTCTGCTCAGCCTCCCACAAATTTTACCAATTAGTTGGCCATGGCTACATATGGGATAAACAGCAACATATAACCTTCTTTTTATCCTAATTGATATAAATAATAACGTTATTCATAAATATCTCTATGGACATTTTCACTTGTAGCATTCTTACTGTCTGTCAGTGATCTTAATAGTATTATAGCGAATGGTGGAATCTACTAATGGAGTTTTGGCAATTTCGTGATAACGATAATACCATGATAACGTGAATTTCTATTTATAGACTCACCAGCAAGAGCAGAGTTTTTAAAATATAAAAGTGGATGGATTTTATTCATCATTCCAAGATCTCAAGCTAAATTGTCGGCCATATTGATATTTTTTGACACGTCATGTAAGAATTTTGAAATGGAATTACCCAAGTATTGAACTTTCTTGTGGGCAGTGATTATCAACTGCAATTTATCTGGCTGAAATGATTCAAATAAAGCCCCTGAGACACTTTACATATATTATCTACTTTCATCGTTTAGGCTAACCTGGCAACCCAGTATTCCATACAAAATTATTACTTTAAAAAAGTCAAAAGACTAACACACCGCTACTTCACGGAAGCGCATATTGCATGCCTGCTGACACAATAACTTATTCATGCTTTTTTATAGAGCGTATATATGTACTTTCTATTCATCCAAAGCTAGCTAGCCGAATATCAACTGCCTTGGCCAGGTTTCGTTCTATTTTTCTTAAATTTATCCTTTATACTCTTCTCCCACTCCTTGCGATGAGTATTATACAATTTCATAGCAGCACGCGCATCTTCCACCTTAAGTAAGATTTAAGAAACGTAGACTTCAGTGAAAGGCAACATAAAAAACGAAAATCTTATTCTGTAAATTAACATAAATAATGTACACCAACAAAGCTGGTCAGTCAAGCAATGATGCAGGAAGTTAAACTTCAAATGTTGCCTTAAAATGTCGGGCAAAAAAGTCACAAGTTTTCGCCCAAAAACGTACTAAAAATCTGAACTGATCAGAACTGCTTACCGAGGAGTGTTCACCATCTTGTATTGAAATATACAAGATCTCCTTTGCAAGTCGTTTCAAAGATGGATGCTTCGTCTTCATATGTAAAAATGGTAAAATAAATTAAGCTAAATAAAGACTTATTTAAGTTGTACCATAAGACATGCCTTCTGGATTGTCTATTGTTGTACACAATAGTCCCTGGCAATTGCGGTAAATACTAGAATACTTATATTTAATGTATACTGGAACATGTTTCCAGCAGGAAATGGCAAACAGGCTTGATGTTTCGTTGAAATGAAATGTTAGTCATCTGGATAATGATAACTTTTGGCCGGGTTTTAATGCCACATGTAGTCGAAACAGCGAGAAATTTTCTTATATAATTGTTGAACGTATTTCACGAGTCTGTTTATTACCTTTAATTTCTCTTGAAACGGTTTGTATTTGGCTGTATCGCGAATCCGCTTTCTTGGATGATCAAGTAGTAACACCTGATAACAGTTGTCATAAGGCAAATTAAACAGAGAGTGGTCATACGCGTCTATTGAAATATTGTTTTTGGCAAAATTTAGGCCATTCAAGAGATGCAGACGCAAGTCAGATGAAACAAATCTCGCACGCTACCTTCAGATCAGTAGAAATTGAATGACCAATCAGAATTTTATCTTTAATCAACGCAGCGACATCGTTCTGAACATCAACAAAATTTGGAGCTGTTAAAAAAATGGAGGAACAATATTCCTTTCATTATAATTCCATTAGCTTTGAAATTCATATCTGTTGAACAAAGAACAATTATAGCTAACCATTTCTTAAATGAAAAGGTCTAATTCCACTGACATCCGATCTGTAATCCACAACTCTTTCACGGGCGGCGACATACTTGTCATACAGAACATCACCGTCAATATTAACTATGGATACCCTGCCTAACATATGTTCCAATCCTGCTTTTCCAACTCCAACGAATTCACAATCCATCGCAACATGCTTTGTGACCCTAGAAAAGCAAAGCTTCGGCTACAACATTTCTTTCAAAAAAGTTTGCATCGTGGAGATGAAATGAAGTACCTGGGATTTGGTTTCTTTTCTGTCACTTCATTCGGTTGGACATCACTATGAGCACATGCATGCGTATCATCATCTACCGAAATTTTTCTTCGTTTTGGCTCTGATCCTGTGACTTTTTCAATGTCTTCTGGATCAACATCGTCGAACCAAATATCATTCTTATCTGTTTTATCACTCCTGTGGTAATTATGAATATTGAAGAGAATATAATTAAACTAGGGTATAACTCAGAGTCCTAGAAGTTTTAGTTCGTAGTTTTTAGAACTTGCATAACTGTTGGCAGCTTACTCTTTCCTGTCAATTAATAATGTTATGTAGTTTCAAATTACTTTGCCACTGCAAAATAAAGCGAATGGGTTTTATCCTCCACAGTCTTTGTAAGATATAATCTTACAAAGCTACAGGTTATAGTGTACCCTGTACTGTTAAATTGACTTACTGATTCTTAAATATGTTTTTCTTTCCAGACTTGCTGCCTACAAATCCCTTAGATTTGTGAAATGGTATTCTTTTCCTCTTGGGGACTTTCTGCTGTTTTTTGTTGGCTTGAAGTGTCTGAGGCAGAGCAAGAAAACCCAGTTTGCAATTGAGACATTACCTACTTCATATACTATTTCATCTGGTGGGCTTAATAAGGCAAGGATAATATTTTAGATATTTTTTTGCAAAATATTGGATGTGAAAAAAACCATGCAGTAAACTATGATAGAAATAGGAAGTTTATAGGGTCAAAAAACCTGGAGGGTGATATTGAAAAGTGGTCACACAGTGGGCACTGGAGGCAGTTTCCCCCTTTTTTATGCAAGAAGGAAGTGTGCCAGTTTTGGATCTAAAGTGTATTTTCTGGGGTGATCTTTCTTTTCTCAGAGTCAAAATTGCTTACAATATGCCCACTCTGTTTTATATAATATCAGTGTAATGTTTAATCACTCCCACTCTCGTCCACAGCGGCTTTTGTGTAAGCATTAAAATAAGTAGACAGCAGGAGTTGACAGGCACAGGTAAAAGACTGCCGACTCTGGTATTTCTGCCTGCTATTCTTTCAATGCTCACACAAAAGCTGCTGTGGAGGAGAGTGCCACACTCCTATTTATCACTGCATCCTATCGCTGCACCCCCCTTCTAACTTGGTATAAGCTCATTCTGCAATCACAAAGAGGAGAGAGAATAACTCATGTTGGACATAAATAAATCTGCTCAAGTTTAAGTTTTGCCCCTAGAATGTATTCAACATAACTCACCACACACCACAGGCAACAAGCCCGCGATCAAAACAATTAACAATCACAATGATCAAATATAATACAAACCACTGCTAAAGCTTTCCAATTCGAGGATACTTCACTGGCAGTTTTTGGTAATCTAGGTTGTGTCACAGGTTTTGCCTCTTTTATTTGTATCTTATTCTTTTGCGAGAATTTTCGATGTTTTTGTTTCTGTTTAGAAGCATCATTCGCCATCACCACGTGCATGTGTCACCGTAAATATTTATTTATTGCTGAAGTGCAAGTACTTCATATAATTCACATTATTAATACGACCACTGATTACGACCTTGCAAAGTTTGACCATCTTTTTACTTAATTTAACTTTTAATTTAACTTTACTTTTTTCGCCCTGCTGTTTCGCACTGTTAAACTGAATTTTGGCGAATAAAGCGGTCTGTTGGCAACTTGGCATGCGTTTTGTATTTTTTTTGTAACTTTTTTGTGTTGTTACTACCCAGCAGGCATTCCTGACGCATGGCCGTATGGGATACACAATATACGTTATAGAACACGTCCATGCAAAGTTTTAATATATATATTAAATAATATGATATAATTATGTTTTAGCTTGGCAGCTTGCACTAGTTTCAAAATAAAAATGCAACAATCGACATTTTAGTTTGTGATTATGAATTTATGTATCTTCACTGGGGAACAACGTATTTTGTTTCTCATATTAGTCATATATTAGATATAAGTCGATCGAGATATAAGTCATATAGAAATACTGTATCAACTTAATGATAATATAGTAGGATAACAGGGATTTTAATGCAAAAATTCTTTTCTCAAAATTTTGTATGCTTCAATTCTCAGTAAAGGTCGTTTCCAGAAGAATATTATGGAATTAAGGCTTGCATTCAATGCTCCAATGGTAATACACCATGTCGTCGAGACTCGTAACAAAACCGGGTCGTCTATAACTTGGGTGTAGTACATGTAACATACGGGGTAAGGAATATAACTAATATACGAGACAAGAACCACCAGCGCACATGACTTCAATAATTGCAGTTGTGGTGAAAATCTTCTTTTCACATTCATTCTAGACAAGTCATGGACTTCTGCTGCTGATCGCAAGTCGTCGCTTACATGATTAATTTTCCTGACTTCGAAAAATATCCTTGTATAAGTAAGAGTATTAAACACAAGGGCTGTTAAAGAATACGCCGTAGCAATTATTAGGTAAAACGTCTCCGACGCTACCCTGATGAACGGCAGAATTAGGACAGGCAAGCTAACAAAACAGACGTATTTCAAGATTTTCCTCCTTGTTATATGTACACGATGAGTGAATGGATGTACTGTGCCCATATACCTTTCGAAAGTAAGAACAGACAGCGCTGCTATTGAGAGTTGGTTGAATATCAGTAGGAGTGTTGAAAACGATATTCACGAAGCAGTTTGCAGTTCCTCTTAGTTCATTGACTCGCAGGATAGTGGAAAGTGGTAGAGAGACTACCCCCACAGCCAAATCAGCTGTTGACTGAATTAGGATTAGCAGGTAACAAGCTTTCAATCTTAGGTAAGAGGTCTTGAAGATAGTGAGGATTGAAATACCATTCAATAGTATTGTGGGAATCATCACAACGCAATTTGCCACACAAGAAATAATTTGGTTTAATACGTAGCCTTCAGATGAAAAATGTATAACATGAAAATTACTGGTGCCACCAAATGAACAAAATTCGACCAGAGCGTGTGTAGCGTTATTCATAATTTATTTTATCGGTTGTGAACTGCTGTCTTTGTATACTGCAAGGTTTCTTCGAGTTTGCTTCGTCTGATGCTAACTTATTTCAAACTGAGCTTCTCAGTCAGTGTTTATAGTTTTGGTGAAATGAGGTGAATAAATTATTCTAAACTCTCCGTGTTAATCGTTATCTTTGGTGCAAAATCTTTCCTATATTGATCGACATTTTGTCTCATCATGTTCACGGAAGCGAATCACAAGCAAGCAGAGGGAATTTGCCAGAATCGCTTGCGGATATGAAAGATACGAAATATACATGTGCCGATAATGTCCATGAAATAGAGCGATAAATTAACGTGCAGTTCTACACAAAATGTGCAGTTCTAAAGCAATTTGTGCAATTCTAAAATAAAAATTGTGCATTTGAAAAAAAATATTCGCGAACTTTCAGTATCTAAAATATATATGGATTACACACCGCAATAACCGCCGGTATAACAAAAGCAGTATACCAGAATATTTCAGTTCTTATAGTAAATCATAACAATTACGAAAATGTTTTCTTTTTTTTCTTTGCTGGTTCTTCTTCTTGACAATCTGCCAAATTCTCTTTGGTTTTTGAAGCTTCCAAAAATATTCCCTTGAAATACTGCTGTTGTTTTCCTTTTGGACGATCTCGCATGCGCGTGCTCTTCCATTCATTCAATTCATCACAGCTGGCTTAGGATCCCACTGATCCAACTGTGGCATGTTATAATGCACATACAAATTGAGGTAATTTTCGGTTTCAGAAAGCATTTGAGAACGACCAGAAGAATTCAGTGCCACACTGCAGCTGATCAGGCGTTTTACATCAGCGCTATATGTGGCTTAGCTGCAAGGATCCTTGCAAATGCAATTTTCAAGTTAGGCAGCTTGTCGGACAGGACAAACCTTTGGAATCGTTCTCTAAGTGATAGTTTTCTAAAATCTCCTATATCTTCCATACTAATAACATCATCAAATTTCATACCAAGTTCCATTAAATCTAGGTCTTCAAAGAAATGCTTATTGTGAACCTCTTTCAAATTGGCTGACTGCTGCAAATTTACAAATGCCTCATCTTCTTCGTTCAAAAACCTTTGCGTCAAAAATTCTTTTAGAGACTCGATGATCTCATTCTTAATTGCATCAATGTCCCTTGTGTCAGTGACGTAAAGATGCTGAATGTGTCGACGATGCCTTGCATTTCCACAGTCTAATTCAACTCCTTTTAAAGACACGCCGGGTGCCATCTTTTTCCTGCGATACTTGCTGGTTTAGAGCTTTAACCCATCCACCGAGGAGAGCCGTTTGTTTTAGTCGTAACACCTTTGCTTTCACCTTCGATGTGTATCTGTCCATGTCAAGTAGTGTTGTTGAGTCCGATTGTAGCTGTTGCTGGTATCGTGATTGAGTGCACTCAGTCAGTATCGTATAGTTTTATGTACTAGGTTTTATCATCATTAACTAATTATATAAAATAACAAATTTAATTTGTCAATAACTGGCTATATTAGTATATATGTTTTTGTTAATTGTTTATATGTTAATAATAACTTTCCATGATATATAGACAAAATGTGCAGTTCTAAATATTTCTTATAAAAAATCCTGGACAAAGAGGCTTCATTTGTCAGTAATTATTATATACACAAGCGCCAGATATGAAGTATGCTGCAATTTCATTGGTTGGCTACTAGACAGATATTAACTCATATCTGTCTAGTATAGAGAAAGTAAACAAATGGCTGAAAGATTTGGGGAGTTGAGTGAAATAGAAATCCAAGCTTTAGTTGATAATAGCACACCAAAATGCACCGAAGAGGGGCGACAAAGTTTGTGTATATAATAACGCACGCCGTCGTATCGGCTATCAGCTCATATACGACTCGAGTTCGCAGAATAACTGTTAAATAGTTGCAGCCGGAGGTGCCTCGACAAAACTGAGTTATAATGCGCCTTTGTACCCGTTCTTCTATACGAAAAGTATAAAGGGCGACTTCCGAAAAGGGTATTTCCGCATAGAAATATTGGTTTATATATATATTAGCATAAATTTTCAAGTGCCGAAGTCATATGAAATGAAAGAAATGATCATTCAGTTTTGATAATTCAGGATCTGGTTTTCCACTTCGCGGGATTTTTTGATCGAAAGGATTTTTTTTTCTCATTTTATTTCAGTTTTAGAAGTCGATCGAAGCGGATTCACAAGACACAAGTGAAAAAATTCGTTTGAGCGACGAGTTCCGCAACTAGTAGAATACCACCCTATCATGTGATCTGTAATCTGTATGAACGGTGCCAACCCAAATTAGAGTTTTTAATGCGCGCATGCAGGGATTCAACGATCTGTGCCGGACCGTTGGAATAATGAGATAAATAATACAAATAATGAGATAAGATACCTTATTATATAATACCCCATTAAATTTAGGGCGTTTACGTGATATTGAATAGAAAGTCCCATTTCCCAAGAGTGCAATGGAAAGCGTTCCATTGCACTTTCCAGAGTGCAATTGTACTATACATTTTGTTCCATTGCACTCTTATACTTTCAGTAAATACCATCCATCAACATTCCATCTTTCACCTCGTAAAAATATTTTTACCATGCACTCATAAACATTCATTATTTGTATAATATCTACTTTTCTTCAAAGTAAAGGCCATTATAAACCGGCATTAAAATTTATATTTTCATCAGCCGATCATTATACTTTCACAGCTCTCGATTGAATTTTTAATTAATAAAATGTTTGGATTATTGATTACCGCGGTGTGCTTAGATTTCAATATTGTTTTAATATTTGCTTGCGTCTCGTAAGAGTTGAGCGTGTGTCTATAGTTATAAATTACTTGAATCTGGATTTTTCAATTTCTCAACGTGAATTGATGGAAAGGCCAAGGAGAAACATGCCACGTATGAATTTAGGAGCATGCATAATTAAATCGGGCAATCACTTTTGATTAATTAAACCAATTGGCTTTATAATTGATCGGCATAATTTGAATTGGCAACATGCAATTTATATTCTCCATGTCCATAAATTACTAATTGCGGATGTTCTACTTTCATTGGTGCAGCGAAGCGGATGGTTTTACAGGATGCATAATTTCGTCGGTGTACTTTGGAACAATATGAAATACTGAATGGCATTCTACTGTCAATACGATTTTTTTACCCGACTAGGCAATTAAACCTAATTAAATTAGGTTTCAGATATATAATTTGAAAATTGAAAACGATGATAGTGGGGACATATGGATAACAATTTAAGTATACGACGTTTAGTCTCTACGAAGCACGGCTAACCGCGCGTATTACAAAATAATATTATATCGAGTTATTTTGAAGGCAATGCGAATGGCCCAAATTCTTTTAAAGAAGACATCAACAAATAGGTTACGGTAGGTAACGCAGTGGAGAATTGTAGAGCATTCACCTTCTTGCGTGTGCAGTAGTTCTTGTAGCTAATAAAAGTAATAAAAGTGCATGGTTGTC